AGATAGTAAAAAGCCAAGTGAAAATCTCTAAAAATCTTCTCATTCTTGGTAAGAGAGAAAGGAGAAAAAAAAATTCTTACTGTAAGTTATAAACAAAGAAGAAGAAGAATATTCTGAATGTCGGCTGCCAGGCAGACACACACACACACACACAATGTTTCACTTAACTCTTTCACACACACACAATACAAGCAAACAAAACAAAAAAAAATTTTTAATCGTAAAGTTTCTGAAAAACAAAAACAAAGCCACACAGCCAAAACAAAAAAAACGATACAAACGGACACATAAACAATTCACTTGGTTTTTTTTTTTTTTTCTTCACCATTTCAGTTATTTCCTACACCAACAAAAAAAAAGTTTCATTTCAAATTATCTTGTCTCCAAGTCTTTCTGTGATGTTTGCCTTCTCGTCTTTTTTTTTGTTTGTTATACAAATGTCGCGTTTTCAATTGCAGAACAAACACAAATCGAAGAAAAGTGTGTGTGTGTGTTTTGTCTCTTGAATCAATCTTTTTCAATTTAAATCAATTTTTAAAAGAAGCCATTCATTTGACATTTGAATAAAATGAATGAATGAAAATGTGTCTGAAATAATGACAAACAAAATTTTCACATCACAAAATGAATCTCATTAATCGGTAGATTGAGATTTTTTTTTTGTTTCATTTTTCAAACAAAAAGTAATGATTCAATCAGATAATCAGACAGCCTGGCAATTAAATAAATTGTTTATTGGTTGTAAAATTGACTATATTAGTGCATGTGTGTGTGGGGAGGTCCACAATTTGATTATTAATCAAAATCAATATATATATATGAATGGTCCAAAATATTTCTTGTTTTCTGGGATTATGTTTTTGACAATCAATTTTTTTTCTGGTCGTTGTTGTTTTTTATATTGTAACAATTGTGTCATTTATATGAAACAAACAAACAAAGAAAATATATATATGAATGGTCCAAAATATTTCTTGTTTTCTGGGATTATGTTTTTGACAATCAATTTTTTTTCTGGTCGTTGTTGTTTTTTTTATATTGTAACAATTGTGTCATTTATATGAAACAAACAAACAAAGAAAAACGAGAAATTATTTTTCGCTTGTCATCACACACACACACATACACACATCAGAATCGTGTAAGCAAGTATTCACAGAATCAGTAAAGAATTTAGTGAATAACACACAAATGTAGCTGTTGTTGTTGTTGTTGTTTGTTAAAATAAGCAAAATTAAAAATGATGATGATGATTGTCCAATGGACACCGCCACTATATCATAATCAATGTGACAGATCAGAAAAAAAATCACCAATAGCCAATTATCTAGATTAACAAATATTTCACTATTTTTTTCTCTCATAAAACGGACAGAAAAAAAGAAACAAAAACAATTCTCTCTCTCTCTCTCTCTCTCTCGTTCGTCCACTTGAACGACTCATCATGCTGACTGGCAAACCAAGTTATCATAATTACAATTGATGATGTTGAACAAAAAAAAAATGATGCGAACAAAAAAACAGTGACAAAGTATTTTCCATATTTTCCCATGTACATGTTTGTTTGTTTGTTTGAATTGTGAGAGAGAGAGAGAGAGAGAAAAAAGTCAAAGCCAGAATAACAACCAGAAAAAAAACATCAAGAATCCACTTGAATCGTGATTGTATCCAAAGAAGGAATCGTTGGCTACTGGAAAAAAATACATGAATTTTCTCTGTCCATTTTGTCTAAACTAAACAAGACACACACACACATACACGCTACATATTTAGTAGCGGCTGAAAAAAACAATAAAAAAGTTAGTCAAAATTTCAAATCAAACATGGCGACAATATTTTTTTTCCAATACATAATTATCGATGACCAGAAAAAAATGATAATAGTAATAAAAATAGAATCTAGATTCTAGAATCTGACCAAAAGACAATTTTCTCTCTCCATGTGTGTTTGTGTGTTTGTGTGTGTGAACAGAATAAAATGGACAAATATTTAGAATCACCAAAAGAGATATGGCCAATAACCAAAAATAAAAGGTTCCAAATTCATTATTAACCATTCATTCATTTATTTATTCGTGTTTCACTAGGAATTCAAGAAAAATGAGAAAAAATGAAGAAAAAAATTCTTAGTCTTTTCTAACCTACAAATATTCTTTCTCCCTCTCTCTTGTTTTTTTTCTGGTTAGAATTCTGTATGTGTATTTTTGTTTGTTTGTCCATTGTTTTTTTTTCTCTCTCTCCCTCTCTTTCTTTCTATCACACATACACGCACAAAGATGGAAATGGAAACTTTTTCTTCATCATTCATAGCACACACACACACACATTTAGATTCTCGCAGGCTTGAAAACCACGACGATCACCAAGCCACCACCATCAAAACATACACACCGAAAAAAAATACCCGAGGATCCTTTTTAGACAGAACCGAAACTACCACCACCATCGATGGACAACCTAACCATTCATCCGTTCATCCATAAATCATAGATTTTTTTTCTTGGCTTTTATTTTCATTTTTTTTTCGTTCACAAAAAGATGAAAAAAACCCGAATCCATCTAAAGAATGATGATTGAGAATATTTTTTATTTTTATTATTCTTCATCATCATCATCATAATCAATCCGTTCAGCTAAAAAAGAGAGAGAGAGAGAGAATTCAACGTGAACCAGCTGTGTTTTACGTATCAATTAATTTTTTTTTTGTTGGCAATATCAAAAAAAAGCAAATAAAAAATTTCCGAATCTAATAGATCTGATCTAGAATTTGTTTTGAAACAACACAAATATTGATTTTCATCATCATCATGACCATTTCCATGCACAATAGTTTTATCGATAACAATGAAATCGAATCGAATGGAAAAATGAATTTTTTTTCGGCTGAAATTTTTTTTTTCATTTTCATTTTCTTCTTTTTTTTCCGTTTCAATGTTTCCATAGAATTGATCATGGTTTTCATTATAGTTTGAATAAATGATGCGGCAATAATATTCAACATGGTACACAGGGTCACACATATGGATACAAGAAACAAGAAAAAAAAACATGCACGCAAACACACACACATAGATGACATGACAGTGAAGAAGCAGCAGATAGATTAGTATACTGAAATGATGGATCCATGTCAATGTAGATCTATTTTTCATTTTTTTTTCTGATGATGATCCAAAAAGCAAACAATAATACTTCAAACAAACAAAAGAAATGATCAAACAACAACAACGACGACAACAGATAGCCATAAATAATGACACAGCAGGAATCAAATTCAAGTCATCATAATCATCATCATCATCATCATGGCAATGATGTATTTTTTTTCCTAACCCATCACTATCATCATCATCAATGTAATAAAAATCATCCAAGCAAAAATTGTTGAAATAATAAAAGCAGCATCAGCAGCAAACAAAAAAAAAATTATCACCATTTTTTTGTTGTGGAAAAATATTTCTTTCTTAATGGATACCACGAAAACATACACACACACACACACAAACACACAATGATCATAGATCAATTCTGTGAATTTTTTTCAATGGTAAATGAATGAAAAAAAGGCTTAAGCAGTGAGAGAATGGAAGAAAATGGCTGTTGTTATTTGTCAGTTTCATTGTCATCATTAGAATCGGAATTGGAATTTTTCTGTTTTTTTTTCTTGCAAATTCATTCAATCGTTTTTCTTTTTTTTTTTTTTTCTTGAAATCAAACGGACGGAAACGGATTTCTTTTTTTTTTGATGAAATGAAACAATTGTCGTTGCCGACATAGTGTTGAATTGAAAATGACCGTTTGGGAAAAAAACCCAATTCTCAATTCAGAATCACACACACACACACACACATGACAAACGGAAAACTTTTTTTCTGTTATTCTATCGAATCTCAAAGAATCGTTTCACTTCCTTTTCAGATTTGTTTGTCCAAATGTTTTTTTTTCTATTAACATCATCGTTCTGGTCGAAATAGTCGAGTTTTTTTTCCGATATCCAATCAAAGAACAACAACGACGACAATGATGATGATGATGATGACAGCTGGTTTCTCATTCATTCATTACACGAATTTTGGTTTCGTGTAATAATAATATTTGGGAATTGTTAAAACGAAAACAGGAACAGGAAAAAAAACCGTTGTGTACCAGATTCACAGAATACACACACACACACACAATATTGAACCAACAGAAAAAAAATCGATAACCCTAGCAACATTTATTTCATTAAATCACATCATCATCATCATCATCATCAGCGTTGGTGAACGAGCATGCAAACAAATTGAAAATTGTGTCTGAACAGTAAGCAAATCAAAAAACAACAACAACGGCAAACATTGATCCATGATATTCATTGTGAAACATTTACCAAAAGATTTTCTCTCTAATTCTGTCGAGTCAGAAAATGAAATGAGATGCAAAAAATAAAAATAAAAAAGAAATTCTGATACAAATCATGAATGAAACATGCGTATGTGACAGAAATCAAAAATGGTGAATAGAATAAACGAAACGAAAAGAAAAGAAAAGTGAGAAAAATTAATTCAGATTCTCATTGATATTCACAGAAGAAAAAAAAATTGCGGGGGCAAGCAAATTGAATCCATAAATTCTTTTTTTTTCTGTATTTGAATTCTAGTAAAATCCACAGAATAATAATGTTAACTTTGTCAATCGTTACATTGATCGTTGATTGAATTGAATAATCAAATATAAAAGACTGTTGATGAATAAGAATCAAGAAATCTAGAATTTCATTAAAGCGAAAAATAATTTTTTTTGTTTTGTTTCCAGAAAAAGAATCCAACTCAGCTAACCAGATTAGTAATCAGAATTATGCAAATTATTCAATTACAAATGTCGAAAACATGAAAAAAGATTTTCTCTCTCTCTCTCTCTCTCTCTCTCTCTTAACACAAGCAAAAAAAGACGCCAAGAAAAAAAAATCAGAAAGAATCTCTGACAACAACAACTAAAATCATTGGATTAATTTAATTTAATTCTCGTTTTTCATTTCTCAAGATCGAGTAAATCTAATATAATTTTGAAATAGATTCATAAAGATAAATACATTGAATATGAATTTAATCAAAAAACGGAAATTCGTGTTATGTGTAAACGTGAATAAATTGCCGCAACGAAAACCGATCCGATTATCATTCAATTGATCATGTAATTCAATCATTTTAAATTGAAACAAAGCATTGCGATGATGATGATTAAATTTTATCCAATTATTGTAAAGATAAAATCGAACAATCTTAATCAATTGTCGTGAATATTGATTCAATAATGCCCATGATGTGTAAAATATTCCAGAAAGGACGATTGCAAAACAGAATATTCCTAAAGAAACATAGAAAAGAAATGAATCCATTCGGCAATCGATTAATAGATAAAATAATAAATTCAACATAATTGTAGTAAATGAATAAAATATATGGAAAATCTTTGATAATTGCAGCGAAACTTGTATAATTTCTTGATTAATCGATGTTAATTGTCGATGAAAGATGAATGAATCACGTATGAAGACAATATGGCTATAATTACGAAATATTCGATAATAATCCATTCGTTTCATTATGAATTGTCTATAAAGACGGCGATATCGTAATTTCCACCATACAATCATATGGATATGATATTGTGATACAATAGTACAGAATGAATCAATCTGAATAGACGAAATGTTTTGAAATGATTCCCATAGAAACATTTTGATTATGAAACCGAAGGTGATAGTATGAACAATTTTCATATAATAAAATGTAATGTTTAATATAGAATCCGTAACCAAAACTGATGGAAACAAAATTATTGACAATTGATACAATGTTAATGATGCGTTGAGTATCATACAATGACCACGAAATGATTGAAAATAACAATAATCATTACGACATTGTTTCCGTCTTCGTCGTTGTTGTTTAGGTTGATGATAAAATTTTTCATATTCCAAATGAAAACGAATGATCGGTTTAAACATTATTGCCGTTTTTTGTTTATTTGTAAAGATTTTCATATAGTCCATGACTAGCAGGTAAGACAAAAGAAATGGAAGTGTAAAACGAAAATCAAATCAGAGAGTTTTTTGAAAAAAGAAAAGAAAAAGAGACTGAATGTGCTTACACATTATTAGAAAACTAACGATAAGAACAAGTATCGCTAATGAATATATACGATAATTTGGTTCGGAACCAATTAATGGTATTATTGTTGTAACGATAAAATCAAATGGTAATAAAATCGTCGCTGTTAAACGAAACGAGAAAATAGTATGGAGGAAAAATATGCAGAAAATTATTCGTTTTAAACGTTTTCGATCATAATGACAACGGTAAATATTTTCAATGGAATTGTAACCGATCAGATTCACCAGATACATTGATCTAATTAGACGGCCAGATGGATTAACTAATAGCCAATGATTTAAAATGTTTGAAACCATTTTACGTAATATGCGATAATAGTTTCTAGCCATTTTTGAATTTTCACGCATCTAAACACGGTAAACACTTGAAAACAAATGAAACACCGAGGAAAAGAATTTGGAACAAAAGTTTCAAAATTCTTTATTCTGAGGAACAGCAAAAAAATGATTGATTCGGTAAAAATCATTTGATGAACATTTTTCAGTAAAATTCTTTCATTATGTAAAGTTTTTTTGTGCTAACAATAAAATTATCGTTAGTAATTGAAGGAAAACCAAGTTCAGAAATATTTCGAATATGTGAATTGACAAACAAATTCATAGATCATATCTTGTTAAACTTTAATGTCTTTTTCTCTTAATGTAAAAAAGGGTTTCATATTCTTTGTTCTGAGGAATAGCAATAAAAATTGTCATTATCGAATTGGTGACCGATGATGATCAGCTAGAATAATTTAATGAACATTTTTCTGTGGAAATTTTTTTTCATAATGAAAGTTTTTTTTGCTAACAATAAAATTATCGTTATTCATAAAGGCAAAATTAACTTTGGAAATATTTCGAAATTTTTTTTCAGAAATATTGTGTTTTCAAAAAACATTTTGCCAAAAACAAGAAAAAACAGTTAACAATATGTAAATTGACAAATAAATTAATCGATCATATTCCTGGTAACTTTCAATGTTTCTCTCTCGCCTCAAACAAGTAAAAAAAGACACCAAGAAAAAAATCTCTAACAAAGACAACAACAACAACTAAAATCATTGGATTAATTTAGTTTACTTCTTGTTTTTCAGTTCTCATGAACGAATAAATCTAATATAATTCTGAAATAGATTCATGAAAATAAATACATTGAATATGAATTTAATCATAAAACGGAAATTCGTGTAATGTGTAAACGTGAATAAATTGCCACAACGAAAACCGATCAGATTATCATTCAATTGATCATGTAATTCAATCATTTTAAATTGAAACAAAGCATTGCGATGATGATGATGATGATTGAATTTTATCCAATTATTGTAAAGATAAAATCGAACAATCTTAATCAATTGTCGTGAATATTGATTCAATAATGCCCATGATGTGAAAAATGTTCCAGAAATGACGAATGAAAAACAGAATATTACAAAAGAAACATAGAAAAGAAATGAATCCATTTGGCAATCGACTAATAGATAAAATACTAAATTCAACGTAATTGTAAATAATGAATAAAATGTATAGATAATCGTTGATGTTTGCAGCGAAACTTGCATAATTTGTTGATTAATTAATGTCAATTGTCGATGGAAGATGAATGAATCCTTTCTAAAGACCATACGATTACGAAATATTCGATAATAATCCATTCGTTTCATTATGAAGTGTCTATAAAGCCGGCGATATTGTAATTTCCACCATACAATCATCTGGATATAAAATTGTGATGCAATAGTACCGAATGAATAAATCTGAATAGACGAAATGTTTTGAAATGATTCCCATAAAAACCATTTGATCATGAAACCGGCGATATGGCCGGTGGCATGACCGATTATCATTGAATAAAATGTAAAATTAAATATAGAATTTGAAATCAAAATTGATGGAAACAAAATTATTGATGATTGTAACAATGCTAATGATACATTGACTATCATACAATGACAACGAAATGATTGAAAATAACGATAATCATTACGAAATTGTTGTCGTCGTAGTCGTCGTTGTTGTTTTGGTTGATGATAAAATTTTTCATATTCCAAATGGAAACTAATGATTGGTTCAAATATTATCGTCGTTTTTTGTTGATTTGTAAAGATTTTCATATAATTAATGACTAGTAGGTAAAACAAAGGAAATGGAAGTGGAAAACGGAAATCAAATCAAAGAGTTTTACAAAAAAGAGACCAAATGTGCTTACACATGATTAGAAAACTAACGACAAGAACGAGTATAGCAAATGAATATATACGATAATTTGGTTGCGAACCAAATAATGGCAATATAGTTGTGGCTATAAAATCGAATGGTAATACAATCGTCGCTGTTAAACGAATCAAGAAAATTGTTTGTATGAAAAATATGCAGAAAATTATTCGTTTTAAACGTTTTCGATCATAATGACAACGGTGAATATTTTCAATCGAATTATAGCCAATCAGATTCACCAGATACATTGATCTAATTAGACGGCCAGATGGATCAACTAATAGCCAATGATTTAAAATGTATGAAACCATTTTACGTCGTAATAGGCGATAATAGTTTCTAGCCATTTTTGAATTTTCACACATCTAAACACGGTAAACACTTGAAAACGAATGAAACACCGAGAAAAAGAATATGGAACAAAAGTTTCAAAATTCTTTATCTTGAGGAACAACAAAAAAATCATCATTATCGAATGAATGGTCAATGATAATCAGCTAGAATAATTTGATGAACATTTTTCTGTGGAATTTTTTTTCCATTATGGAAAATTTTTTTTGTGGGCTAACAATAAAATTATGGTTATTCATAAAAAGAAAATTAATTTTAGAAATATTTCGAAAATGTTTTTTTCCGGAAAAATTGTATTTTCAAAAAAAAAAAACAAATGTCAATATGTAAATTGACAATTGAATTAATACATCATCATATCATATTCCTGGTAACTTTCAATGTCTTTCTTTCTCTCTCTCTCAACCCAATTTCGATCAATGTAAAAAAGGGTTATTTTTATTTTCTCAATTATTTCATTACTCGTGTGTGTGTGTGTGTGTGTGTGTGTATTGTATTTCATGCACACGGATGAAAAAGTCAAATGTTTATTGCCCAAAAGAAAAGTAGTAGCAGTATGAAAAGAAAAACTGTTGTGGCTGTTGTCTACAGATGACAATTTTCTTTCATTGTGGTGGAAACGAATAAAAAAGAAATGAGAGGAAAATTGTTGTCATTTTGTTTAATTAAGTTTCTAGAATATTCATATAAGAAGATTCTCAGTTATTCTTGACTGGATGATGATGATGATTTTCATTTAATAATATTATGGATTGTAATAAAAGTTTTTTTTCTCATTTTCTTTCATTTTCATTATTATTTATTATTTATTATTATTATTAAATTCGTAAACAATCATAAAAACCAAAGGAAATTGAAGAAATAAATGAAAACATTAAAAGAAATGAAAAAAAAGACTGCGATGTCAACTAACTAAATAATGTCATAAACCACGTTATTGAAAAAAAAAAAAAAAAAAAACACACATCAAATGATGAAAATGAACGACAATGAATGAATTTTATTTACCGTTGGTTTTGAAATGAAAATTTAGAATTTTCATCATCATCATCATCATCATCATCGATATATTGTACAAGCCATAAAAATATGGTTGTTTTGTTTGTTTGTTTGGAAATCAACCTGAAATTGGATCAGGTTTTCAATGACATTCCATTCTCTCTTTCTTTGTCTTTGGCTTTTTTCGCCCATCATCGTCATCATAACTAGATAATAATGATAATGATAATAAACCAAAATGAAATTTTCGTCGCCTTTTTTTCGTGTCGTCCATATAATTATTGCTAAATGGAATAAATTCTTTCTCTCTCTCTCTCGTTCTTTAAATACATTTTTATGAGTGATGTCTAATTTTTTTTCATTCATTCACTCTCTTTATATTTGTTGCTGCTAATATTCTACGGGTTATTATTATTTTTTTGTTTGTTGCCGCTAGTTGTTGTTTTTTTGTGTGTGTGTGTGTGTGTGTGTGTGTGTGTGTGTGTGTGTGAACTAAATTAAAATCTGGAAAAAAACTGTATGTGAATCGGTGGAATAAAAAAAAATTCCATAAGGAATATTTACCACTAATAAACAAATAATGATTACACGATTCTCAACCAACTAACCGATTCAGACAGACACTGTTCTCTTGGGACATGAAGAATTCACACACACACACACACACACACACACACTCAAATAAAACGATTCTTGCACTAGCTCAGAGAAAAAAGTGATATAAATGTTTCAGTTAATTATAATCAGAATTATATTTCATTTCATTTAAAGTGAACCAGAAAAAAAATTCAAAAATGAAACTTACTGGAAAAGAGAAAAGTTGATTATTGAAATGATGATGATGATGACGAAGATGATTCTACTTCGTTTTATTTCCGTCGGTAATGATGATTTTTTTTTTGGTCGGTTAATTAAAAAAAAAATTGAAATTTCGAATGAATCAGAATAACAACGGAATTGAAAACAGAAAAAACATTTTGAACAACCATAAACAAATTGAAAAACACAAACACATGTACACACACACACACACAGTCCACTCAAAACAGAAACACAGGCACAAAAAGTGTTAAAAAAAATTTTTTCTTATGATCATTATGAATTCATCATCATTAGCCAGACAACAAAAAAAAGAAGATTTCGAATGTTTGGAATCCTTTTGTTGTTGTTGTTGTTGTTGTTGTTGTTGATGTTGTTGTTGTCATCAAGATTGTTACAATTTTTTTTCTTGAAAATTTTGTGAAAACTTTTCTTGATTTTCTTATTTTATTCATTCTTCCATGAATACTGCTGGTGATGATGATGATGAATTCATTTTTTAAATCAACAACAGCCACCGCAGTAGTAATAGTAGTAGTAGTAATAGCAAAAAATCTAAATTTAACAAATCATAACAACAACAAAGTTGAAATGATGATTTTTCTTTTCAAATAAAAAAGAGACGATGATGATGATGATGATATTTTGATCGTCGTTGTGTTCAACACATCATTCACATTGTTTTGGTTGTTTTTGAAAAAAAATTTTATTATTTTGGCACCGTATTCAAAACATTAACATTTTTTTTTGGCAGTCACAATAACAAAAAGCACAAATGATGATGATGATGATCGTCGTCGTTGTTGTTGTCGTTGTTGTTGAAATAAAGATTCAAGCAAAAATTTTTACAGAATTTGAATATTTTGGGCGTCACACGCTGTTGCAGTTGCTGCTGATGCTGCTACAACGGCGAAAAAATTTTCAAATTTCTTTGTAATTATAATGATGAAAAACCCTGGAAAGAAGAGAAACGAACAACAACAAAAAAATTCTTGAATTAGTCAGCATAGTTGTGCAATGTGTGTGAATGTTTATTTTATGATGAAGAATATTCCTCGATTGTTTGTGTGTGTGTGTGTGTTTTGTATGTATTATATTAAAAATTAAAATTCTAGGTTATCGCGTTCAGTGTTTGTTTGTTTTTGTTCTACATTTAATTTGGCGCGCGCGTTTCATTTTTTTCGGATTCTCTATCATCATCATCATCATCATCAGGTTGAATAAACCAGAAAAGTCAAATTTTTAGAAAACAAAAAAGACCGGAACAGAATACAGAAAGAAAAAACTTACCGAAAAATTCATTGATTTTGTCGTCTTCGTCGTCATAGTACCTGTTACAAATGAATTTCTAAATACAAAAAAAAAAAAAAAACACAGCGAAAAATGTAAACAAAATTCAATGTTAAGTAAAATTTTGTTGTTCTGTGTGTGAATTTTTTTTTTCTAATGATGAACAGAATTTAAATTGAATTTCATTTTAAATTAATTTGAAAATAGAATCGTTGATTCGTTGTTGTTGTTGTTGCTGTTGTTGTTTTTTCATCTTTAAATCCACACATAATCAATTCTGGAGAATCAAACACACGAACTTGTCAGTATGACGCTAGGCGTCATTCTGAAATTCTAAAACTAGAAAAAAAACCATCGTACAATTTATATGCCGGAATAATGTGAAATATTTTTTGCCAGTTTCTTTCAGTGTGTCTGCGTGTGTTTGTGTGTATATATATTCACCGAAATTCATGAGAAAACGAGAAAAAAAAATCAAACACCGTACGCAGACATGCGTGCAATGTTAAAAAAAAAACAAAACCAGAATGAATCGCGATCGATTGATTCTTATTCATTTCATTTTTTTTTTTGAATGAGAATTCAAAACAAACGCAAACGCAAACATAAAGAATCATAGACAGACGAAATAAACAAAAACCAACAACAGACACACACACACACACACGGCATCATGGCACTTATTAGAACGAAAAAAAAAAACTACAACACAGGAATCAGAATAAAAAATAAAAATAAAGAATCAAAATCTACAAAAGAGGAAAAGTATCAAATTAATAAAATTCTTTGGTAATAAATAAACAAGCCGACACAAAATATCTGATATCCGTCTCAAAAAAAAAAAAAAAATTCTGTTGTTTCACTGCTGCTGCTACGAAATTCTATACTAACTAGAGGAAATGGATTCGGAATTAATTTTTTTTCAAATTCTACATTGCCATCATTATCATCAACATCATCATCATTATTATTATGGAATATCAATGTATAATTAACATTAATTATCAAGAATAATTAATTAATTAATGTGTGTGTGTGTGTATATATATGTAGAAATGTTGGGTGTGTGAATGTTGAATTTCATCGAGTCATCATAATAATAATTACCATTATCAATTTTTTTTCTACATAATGTTTGTCAATATAAATCTTTTTGAACGGATAAAAAAAATACAGTTGATGATTATTATCAACAACGACGACGACGACGACAATGATGATGATGATGATGAGTGATTATTATCATCGATTGGCCAAAATAAGTATCGATCGATGAATTTTCAAATAATTTTTTGTGTATTTAGATCATTCACTTCACTACTCTCACTATAGAAAAAACAAATGAAACAAATTAATATTGATTGATTGATTGATGAAATGATAATAAGTTTGTTGATTATCGACGATGAACTCAACACTCAACAAAAATCATTCGAATTCGAATGTTTTTTTTTGTTGTTGTTGTTGATTCAATAACGCCATCTATCGGTAATGATTTCAACCTTGATGAAATTTAAAATGTGAATTTTGTTTGTCGTTACTTACGTTTTACACTTTGATTGAATTTGACAAATCAAACAAAAAAAAATTTACGAAATCCAACAGAAAATTCCATTTTCATCTCCTATGGTTCATATATCAGGTTCAAATTTAAATCTAAAAAAAACAAAAACAAAACAAAACAAAAAAAATCAATTAAAAAGCTTAAATGTATCACATCACATCATTTGTTTTGTATGGTGAGATTACAAATTTTTTCTATATCTCATTTCAACACAATATCTGATTACTGATTACTGCTTGTACGATTAAATAGATATAATCGAGATTGAAAATAATCTTTTTTTCCAATCATGAAGCAAAAGCAAAAAAAAAAAAACAAACAGAAAAATCCTTTTTTTCGTTCCTTCGTTTGTCCAACAAAAAAACATACTCACTCATAATCCGTGAATACAAAATAAGCACACACACAATTGGAATTTGGATGAATTTTTGTTGTTGTTGTCCATAAACACCGCTTTTTTCTGGCAAAAAAAATTACATTTCATATGCAAAACCATCACCACAACACCACCACCACCACCATAATAATAATAATAATAATAATGACCACATAGAACATCAACCAAATGGAGAATCATAAATTTTCCTCAAAATCTCAACACTTGAAACTTAAGAAATTTTTTTTTTTTTAGTTTTTTTTCTCTGCTTTTTTTGGACATTAAATATACAACACAAAGATAAAGACGCGGCGACAAGGCTGTTGGATGCTGATGCTGATGATGAAAAATACCGAATTTATGCATTGATTTTTGTTGTTGTTGTTGTTGTTGTTGATGGTCAATCTCCACATAATAACTTCGAAAAAAAAATGGTTATTATGTACCATTGATGATGATGAAAAGAAAAATCCATCTATGTGTGTGTGTGTGTGTGATGTATGCAACTTGTTGCTTTTATTAACAGGTAACACACACACACACACACACACACACGAATTTGGTGACTTTGTGGTGTTCATGCACAAAAAAAAGCCGCTTGCTTGCTTGCAAGCAAATAAATAAACCAAAAGAAAAAGAGGCGACAAAAAAAGATGATGATGACTATTGAATGAGATAGTGTATGATGTAGAAACTTGGTTAATTCAAGACAAGGCAAAACTTTTTTTTTTCTTGGTTATGGATCATTACGACGACCTTAGCCTTTTTTTTTTTTTTTTCTTGGTTAATTTGAAGAAAAAAAAATTTCAATAAATTATATAATAAGTTTTGGGCTTTATTTTTCTAATTTTTTTTTTGTGACCAGCGACTAAAATAAAAAAATGACCATTATGATAATCGGACAATCGGAATATTCAACAACAAGTCTGTCTATATATAACTAACTTTGAAATTTTTTTTGTTGTTGTTTTTGTTTCAATCATCATCCTATAAACGATATGATTTGGTTTTTTGTTTTTACCTCTCTCTCTCTCTCTCTCTCGTTTTCTATCGCGTTCGCATATACACACACACATGGACATAATCTTTGCCTTTTTTAACACACAAAAAATGGCTTAAACGATGTGTTGATGTGATGTAATACGATGATGATGATGAACATACAACTCTTAACACACAAATTCTACGTTGTGGTTTGTCTCAGTTAGTCAGTCAGTCAGTTAGTTAGTTAGTTGGTTGGTCGGTCGATCGATCGATCGGTCGTATTAGTTTTTTTGGTTGTTGTTGTTGTAACTATAAAGATCAGTTGTGATCAGTGAATCATCATGAATTGGTTTCGTCCATGGTTAATTCATAATAATGATAATCATCAACAACAACAACAATCGAATGTAAATTCAACAAACAGCACAACATCAACATTAATGATGACGGAAGAAATTGATAAATTTTTTCAACAATTTTATAATTTCACCACCAGTACCACCCCTAACAACAACCACATGACCACCACCACCACCACCAATAATAATATTTCCTATTACTCATTCTATTATAATTATTATTATAATCAACTTTTAATGCAAAATTATTGTAATTCATTATCGATAAATGATGATGATCATAAACAACAACAGAATCATCATCAAGTAATGTTTCCGGAAAGAAAATCAATAGATAAATTAATTAATGATGAACCACAGCCGCAGTCACAGTCGCAGTCGCAGTCGCAGTCGCAGCCGCAGCCACAGCCACAGCAGCAGCAACGTTTTAAAAAATTCATCTGCATTGAATGTAAAAATGGTTTCAGTAATCGTAGCCAATTGAATAGCCATATACGTACACATACTGGTGAAAGACCATTTGTTTGTGATTATCATGATTGTCAAAAATCATTCACACGTAATGAAGAATTAACTAGACATCGTCGTATACATAGCGGTATTCGGCCATATCAATGTCAATGGTGTGATAAACGTTTTGGACGCAAAGATCATCTTAGGAAACATGAACGTACACATGAACGACGTTTTCGTTCGACATTTTTACTCAATTATCATCATCATTCATCATCATCATCATTATCTACGAAAGAAGCAATATCATCAATCAATAACAATGATGATCAGATCGATAATCATCTTTTCCAGCCAAAATCATCATAATCATCATCATATTTATCAGCAAAAAAAAATTTTTTTTTACTTTTATTTAAAAAAGAAAGAAATTTTTCCAGAAATAAAAATTTCAAATTACTTTTTTCTTATTGAAATTTCCAGAAATATTTCAAAAAAAAAACATTTATTAATCGACACCATAAATTCATTCATTCATTCATTCATCGATGATGATGATTATTATCGAGAACCACCCTTCACATCTTTTTCATCATCATCATCATCATCATATAATAATAGAAATGTGAATGAATGATTACCGAACAAAAAAAAAAAAAAAAATTCTCGCCATCTGATGTGTGTGTGTGTGTAGGTAAATTAAGTTAGCCAAAAAAAAAAAAATCATTCATTCATTCATTTTTCTGATCAATGTCAAATCATTCAGGCAATAGATAGAGAAGTACGCCTTTTTGAACCAAAAAATATATAAAATAAATCTTGCCCTTTTTTTCTACTCCTCGTGATACAATAACAGCAGCAACAACAACAACAACAAGTGTGTGAAAATGATGAATTGATCCACCAATCAATGAGAGAGAATGTGCAAAGAATCACAACTCACACACACACACACACACAAAGACATTATTTGACCATAATAATGATAATAATAATAATAAAAAAAATGTTCATTAATTAGACACCTAGTTTTAATCAAGTTTACCTGTCAGAAAAATGAAAAGAAAAACTCATGGTTAGTATTTTCACACACACACACACACACACACGCCAAGAAAAATAAGAGATACACCACATTCTGATGATGTTATTTATGTTTTTTTTTTTTTTTGGTGGGCACACACACACCGTACACATATTGTGTACAAAAGTCAAATTCTTTATATTGCAGAAAAAAAAATTTTTTTATTTATTTGACACTCCTTTATCAATGAGAATTGATGTGATGGATTAATGTGGTTTTTATTCATTTCTACAAATAATAATAATAAAATAAGTTTACCGAATTTTTTTTTGTTTTTGTTTTGTTTTGATTCTATTTCAAATTTCCAAAATAACTTGTATGTGTAAATAGATCGGAACCAGTTTTTAGGGCTTTATTTTTTGCATCAATCACATGACGTTCATCATAAACAGTCCATGATTCTGGTATTGATTGTTTATCCTGATATTTACGTATTATTTCCGTACCATATGTAGTATTGAATAAATCTTCAGCTGTAAATTCAGATTGATGAATTTCCGTTGCACGATATGATACATATGGTTTTAATTGACAATTGTCCAAATCTTTTGGCACAATGATTTCTGGTTCCATTTCGGGAACATATTCAAAATGACGACCAAACCATACACCGGGATAACGTATACGCATATCATCTATAGCAATAGGAAAATCATATTCCTTTTCCAATAATTCTTTCGGTAATTTATTATGTTCAAATATTCCACGTTTATTTGGTATTGGAAATTTTCGAAAATTTCTTCTTCCATTACAAATGGATGATGTATTGATACGCATACATTGTATGATGGTGAATTTCAGCTGAATATTACGTGATGCTATGATGGTGACGACGTTTTTACATCCATGCCAAAACATTTTCTTTCATCAAATTAACAAACAAAAATCGTGATTGGAAAAAATTTTTTTTTTTATTTTGATTCAAATGAATAAAACACATGTTTTTTTTTTGGTTCATTTGGCGAGGCCATTCATATAATACGAAAACAACTGTTGCACGTGATCGATTTGAAAAATTTGATTTTTTTTTTTTTTCCTATTCCAAATGACAAAAACATATGAAAATTTCAATTTCGTTTGGAAAAAAATGTTTAAATATTTAAATTTAAATCATCCACGAAAAGAGGCAAGTTTTTGTATTTGTTTTTTTTCTCGATCGTCAATTGAATCAATCAATGATGATTAATTTTATTCTATTTTTTCAATTATCCATTTTGATGACGATTAATTCACAATTATTTAATGATAATAGAATCGATAATAATAATCATCACGATGAAGGAATGATTCGTCTGGTCGGTGGTCGAACAATGTTCGAAGGTAATGTGGAAATTAATCATTTCGGCCAATGGGGAATGATTTGTGATGATGAATGGAACATGAATGATGCCAATGTAGCATGTAAACAATTGGGTTTTGTTCTTGGCGCAATTATGGCAACGAATAATAGTCGTTATGGTCAAGAAAATGGTAAGTGAAAAAGAAATTTGATTGTCAAAAAAAAAATGATTCGATTTTTTCTTTTAAAATCAAAGAATTAATTTGGATGGATAATGTCATGTGTGATGGCCGAGAATCGTCAATTTCTTCATGTCGATTTAATGGCTGGAATATTCATGATTGTAAAACCGATGAAGCAGCTGGTGTTATATGTCGTGTACGTTTCGATCAACCACAGCAACCATTATGGCCAATTCCGATTCCGAAACCGACGTTGATGGTAAACAGACAAATGAAAATGCCAGATTTACCAGATTTAGAACCAGATCCAAAAGAAGTTGAAAAATCTGCATACATTGAATCAAGATCAATAATGTATTTACAATGTGCAATGGAAGAAAATTGTCTCTCACAATCGGCATATGAAATTGATAAAAATGATCCAAGTAAGTGATGATGATGATTATTTTTTTTTGAATGTGAAATAATTCTTGAAACATTTTTTTTTGTTTTTTGTTCATAGCATGGATTTTTCATACAAGAATCTTGTTACGATTCACGGCAAGTATACGTAATGTTGGCAATGTTGATTTTCGTCCATTTAGACAAAAAAATCAATGGATTTGGCATTCATGTCATCGTCATTATCATAGTATGGAAATATTTGCTACATTCAATATAATCGATCATGATGGAAATCCGGTAGCACAGGGACATAAAGCTAGTTTTTGTCTTGAAGATAATGAATGCCATAATGGTGTTGATGCCAATTATGTTTGTGCCAATTATGGTGATCAAGGTATTAGTGTCAATTGTGGTGAGTGAAATCATTGATTCTTGAATTTTTATTTTCAATTTTAAATTCAATTTCATTTACTTTGTTTCATATATTCAGTGGATATCTATAAATCCGATTTAGATTGTCAATGGATCGATATAACTGATATTGTACCGGGATCATATCAATTGAAGATTATAATTAATCCAGAAATGAAAGTGGCAGAAAAAACATTTGATAATAATGCTGTATTATGTTCATTTGATTATCATGATGGTCATCGTAATCATAGATCAATAGTAGTCACTAATTGTACATTAAGTTCATTGTGAAACTCATTGGTTTGACTAATTTTTTTAAAATTCATTTATTATTATTGCTTTTTATATAGTTGCCAAAATCAATCAATCGATTGTTATAAATGCAAATTTTTTTTTGTTAATATATTATATATATATATATATAGTAAATATCGATTTGATGCATGCGAAAAAAAAATCACAGGTCCCAAGAAAATGAATGATGAATTTTTTGAATATGAATATATAATGGATGATCATCTGATCAATTCTCAAACTATCCAATCAATTAGGACGTCGTTGATTGTTGCTGTTGCTGTTATTATTAGTTTTCGATATTAGACGTTGATTTAAGCTTCTCATATTGATTTTAGGATTTCGTCTGGTTTCTACAAGTTAGAAGTTGTATTTTGGATGGATTGATGAGTTAAAAATTAAAATATTTTTTCGGAAAATAAACAAAAAAAAACCATATATAATTACCATTCTGTGCTTTGCCCATCGATTGTCTTTCTTTATCCATTTCTAATTCTTCAAGTTTTTCAGTCAATGCCAATTTCTGTTGTATGGCAATTCGTAACAATGAATTCAATGTTTTTTTCTCCTCTTCTGATGCTTTATATTTCCGTTGTAATTCATCAATTTGTGAAACATAATCTTCACATCTAGCTGCAAACATTGAACGTAATGATGCAAAGGTGGCAGCATCTTCTTTCAGGGCCTTGAATAAAAAAGAAAAGAAAGCAAATTAAAAATGAAATTTTTTTTTCGCTTCATTTGGTTGTACCTTGAGTTCATTTCTTAATTTTGTCATCGTTTCAGTCACCACAGCTTTTTCAGTCTCATATTTTGATTTTAGATTTGCCAACGCCACTTCAGCCGTCTGTTTGTTTGTCTTTAGTACGGTTCGTAACGATGCAATCTGTTCACGTTTAGTGGATAGTAATGATTTCAAACGAACAATTTGATCCTGCAGATCATCAACATCTTGAACGGAAACCATCGATGTTGGCTGTTCATTATTGTTAACATCATCATGTTTTTGTCGAAAATTTCTATTTTCAATAGCTTTATCGATGGCCATTTTCAATACTTTTATCTGATCCTTTACCGTATCCAATAGATTATTACATTCAACGGTTTTTATATCATCCAATATTCCATATACTTTATTCAATTTTTCTTTTAACTGATCAATCGATCGATTTGGATCGAAATTTGGCTGTAAATGATTGAGTATTACACGATCCGGTGTTACACCATTTACTATTATTATTGATTAACAAAACAAAACAAAATAGAAAAAAATTCAAATCATCATCAACAAAAATTCATTTCAAATCACTTACTCAAACAGATATGATGATATAATGAAGCCAATTCTTCAGATACTAATGACAATTCTTCAAATGTTTGATTAGAATTTGAATAAAATTCATTAATCATTTTAGCTAATATTTCACAATCATTTTCATATTGTTTCGTTTTCATTTGATAATCATTTATAGAATTTTTCATTTGTTCCAATTCATTTCGATAACCATTCAGATCGATACTGGAAATTTTTGATTTAATCAATTGTTTAATATTTAACAGATCTGGATCAGTCATATCCATCATTGTAGTGTTTGAATCATCTAGATTTAAGTTGTTTAATTCTTCGAAAATTTTTTCAATTTTCACCGTTTGAATTTTCAACTCTTCACGTGCTTTTTCCAACATTGTTTGTGTATCATTCAATCGTTGATTTAGTTGATGTTTTTGACTATCCGATTCTTCTAGCATACGTTCGAATTTTTTAATCTCATTTATATGCACTTCACTGAACAATGATCCTTCTAATGATGGTGGCTGTGTTAAATAATTATCCGATGAATTGAGAAATTCATTTTCTAATTTTTTCAAGGCACTATTATTACCACCACCATTGCCACCATCATCATCATTATCATCATCCATGCCAATGGTTCCATCAAAGTTTTCCGTTTCATCATCTATTTGAAAATATAGTGTGTTTAAAAATCAATCAATCATCATATAACATCAAATAACACATACAATCAAATTTTAATCCAGTAAATCCAACAAAATTATTGATATTCAGATAGGATTCGGAATTTAGTTTTTTATCCAATTCTTTTTTGATTGCATATTTTTGTTCACGTTCCAATTGTAATGCTTCTAATGCTTCTTTTGTCTACAAGAATTTTTTATTTTTTAAATATGGTCAAATGGTCAATCAAAAAAAAAAAAAAAAAATATACTGACCTGTTTTTCTGCAATACTTTTCAATTTAGTACATTCTTCAATCTGTGTTTGAAGAATATCAATTTCACTTTGCAAACGTTGTATTTCCAATTTGAATGTTTCAAAATCAATTTGTGATGATTTCAACGATGACACCTGTTTCTGTAATGAAATATTTTCCTCTTCCAATTCATTCAGCTCCAAATGTAACCTGGATTCACGTTGTTTCGATTCTTTTAATTCATCCAGAATTTTTTTCCTTTCTCTTTCGTTGATTTCTTTTCGTTCCATTAGTTTAATATTTTCCTGGCCAAATTTATCACGATCATCTTTAACATTTTGTAGTTCATTTTTTGCATATTTCAATTCTTTGCCCAATTCAATCACTGTACGTATGAAATGTTCTTCTTTTTTTGCACTTTCCAATAATAGCTGTTCTTCTTGTTCAATTTCCGATGTGGCTGATACACGTTGTATTGTTTGTAATTTATTTAAGGCCTGTGAACAGAAAATGAAATGAAAACGTCGATCGTTTGATTGAATGAATCTCACCTCTTTTAGATCTTCAAAATCTTTATTTTTTGAATCATATCTACTTTCAAGTTCATCATATTTTTTCTGCAATTCTTCTTTTTCATCCTAATGGAAATAAAATAGAAAATTATCATCGTCAATGCATACACACGTGTTTTTTTTTTGATGGTGTTGCCATACCAACAACACTAGACCATATTGAGCTGATTGAATTTTTTCCGCCGTAGCTGTTTTCAATTCTTCATTTAGCTGTTCAATACGTTCTTTAAGATTTTGTATTTCATTATCACGTTGTTGGATAGAATCGTTTGTATCCATTATCATTGATTATTATTACAAACACACATACACACACCTACACCAATACTACATTACATCAATTCAAAATGGAAAAAAAATTCCGGAATACCGGAATTTTTTTTTTTATTACGAATCAGGTAACAGATTTTTGAAGCAGAATTTCTTTTTCAGTTGTTGATTGTTTTTGTTCGTTTCTGTTTTGCTCTATCTTTTTCTCAATATGAATTCAATGACGACGACGACGACGACGACGATGGAAACATTTTGTCGTTGTTATTTTGAACCATTAAATCGAAATAGGAAATTCAATCAAAAAAAAAAAAAATGAATAAATCAATGAATTCATTCATAAATTTATTATATTTTGATTGTTTGATTGATTAATGCCGATAACAGAAAAAAAAATATGACAACAACAACAACAACAACAACAAAAATTGACAACGACGACAATGAGAGAATTGAATCTCACCAATATAAATGGTAAATGTATTCAAGTGTGTGTGTGTGTGTGCGTCTGTTGTGATGTGTCAACAAACTGCGGCGGCGTTGGTTGTATACATTTTCACCATTTTCACAATGTAATACTCGTCTTCGTCGTCGTCGTCGTCGTATCAACAACAATTTCTTTTTTTTTATATTAAAAAAAGACAAAATTCGTATGTGGGGCTACCCGTTTATTATATATAAAAAAAGACAAGCCCAATTCATTTTCACCAATACCAGTTTATATACCAAAATGTCTCGATTTCATTTTTTCAAAGTTTCGATTAAATTGGGAACAAAAAATCTACAGACTTTTTTTGTTGTTATTCATCTGACCCATATATATATATTATTAAAAGATCATTCCAATCAACACCATAAGATGGTGATGGTGGTCATCATTTGAAATAGGAGTTGTGTTTGAAATTTATTCTAAACGAAAAAAAATTCAAAAATTCGAATACAGAAATGAATGTCTGAAAAATGGAATGGCAACAGAAAAAAAAAATTTTGTTTGTTCGATAAATATGTGAATACTTGAAAAAAATGATTAGATGCCAAATGAATACAAAATGTCCACTGGTATTATAAAGAAAAAATCCCCTACAGAAATATCACAGATAAATTTGACAAAAACAATCTCCAATTCTATAATTCGGTTGTAGGTTGTTGATGTTGTTGATGATGAGCAGTAGCTTGTTGTTGATTGAGCGGATAATGAACAGAAAATTCTTCCATTGCTGCATTTATATTGGCAGGTGATTTATAGAAATCATTATATGTAGAAATAAATACAAATTCTGGCTTCGGATAGAGATCAAAATGATTATTACTATTACGTTGATTTTCATTATAATACAATTGATTCTTGACAAAACCGGATAATTGATTACGACATTGTATGACCAACAATATGATTACACCACTGATGATCAACATGCCAAACATGGCGCCAATAATGATCGGTATGATTGATTCCAATAGGAAACAGCCAAATTTATCTTTATGTAATTTTATAATGAATTTATCTTTCAATGCGAATGGTGAATAACAGCGAACATCCAATGCATTTTGTTTCATTATAATTTCACTGACATTTTCATTCAATAATGTGGCCAAATTAAATATCGGAAATGTTATATTTTGATTGAGAAAATAATCCGGATTACTGCTGACGGTTTTGTTGAACATACGAATCAGATGAAAATTTAGCCATTCAAGGCTACAATTACAATTGAATGGATTGCCACGTACGTCTAGATAGAGATCAAATTTTTTATATTTCGTTATCAAATCTATTTGTAGATTTTCAAAACTATTATTGGATAGTATTAACGATGAAAGTGAATAAAGATTATCGAACACATTAGCATCGATATGTTTCAATGCTTGATTATTGGATAATTCAAGTATTTCCACATTTTCAATACCATCAAATGCATCCACATGAATTTTCTGTATGTTTTCATAAAAATTATCAATGAAATAAATTTCGAATGTATATAAAAAAAATGCACATGACTTACAGCTAATGACGAAGTATTGGTTATATAAAGTCGTTTTAAATGTTTTAAATGATAAAATGATTTTGGATGTATAAATGGAAATGGATTCTGGCCAATATTCAATACTTGAATAACATTTTTCGGTAAAAACGATGCCGATGGTATGGCCTATGAATTTTGAAATGAAAAAAAAAAACAAACAGAATTTAATTCAAGTCAAGTTTTTCCACTCGAAATACTAACCATCAATGAATTATTATTTAGATTAAGAATTGTCAAATTATTAAGACCATTAAAACAATTTGGACTTAATGATGCAATATGGCATGAGCTTAAATCCAATACGGTTAAATCATATAATGCAATGAACCAATTATCATCTAAATGTTCAAATTCATTGAAACTTGCATTCAAATGAATCAATACCGGTGTGTTGGAGAAAAGATTTGTGGTGAATTTTGTGATCAAATTATTACTAATATTCAGATTGATAAGATTTCGTAGACCAACAAATGTGTTTTCATTCAATACTTTCAATAAATTGTACGATAGATCAAGTATTTGTAATGTATTAAGATTTTTGAATATAGTATCATTGATCATTTCAATACGATTATAGCTAAGATCTAATATCTTCAATTGATTCAAACCATTGAATGCTTTTGGTCGTAATGTGACCAGCGTATTATTTTTCAACAAAATAATCTGCAATTCATTATTATAACGGAAATTATCATCAACAATTGTTGATATTAAATTCGATGATAGATCCAGATAGATGAGATTTTTATAAACATCAAATGCAGAATCAATACGACGAATATTATTCTGTGGTAGATATAATTTTTTCAATGCTGGATTCAATGTATGTGGTACATATTCTAATTGTGAACTTTCACTACAATTAGTGATTAATAATGTTTCAATACAATCACAACCACGAGGACATGTTCGTGATGCATTGCTACCATTAATGATGATCAATAATATGGTGATGGATGATGATGATGATGATGGAAATTTTAGACAACCTCATCATTGTTGATGAAGATTTTTTCATGATTTTAATGAAATATAGGAATGTAGTGCGATTTATATATGATTAGATTAGATAAAATTGGTCAAAATCCAAACAAATTACAACCATAATATACCAACAACAAAAAACTCACTATGATTGTCTTGGTTTTTTTTTCACAGAAACTTTTCCGATTTTTTAGATTTATTTAAAAAAATTTCTCGAAAAGTTTCTCCAATTTTTTTTCCACTTCTCTTATTTTGTTGTTGGTCATCATTCTTTTTAAAATTTTTTTTTAAAAATTTGGAAAATTAGGGAAATTTGTCGTTTTTTCTTGTTGATGGAAGATTTACATGATGATAACGATGATCATTTATCCACACACTCAATTTGGATCAAGTTCATTTACACACACACAGTGAATGTTTGGATCATCGTTATCATCATCATCATATATAATGTACGTCAATGTTGTATTTATTTTCCCTTTTTCGTCATTTTTTTTTTTTTTCTTAAATTGAAAATTTCGATGATCCCATTTCATTCAAGGTTCATTCATTTGTTATTCATCACCACCATCATTTATCACATTGAATACCTTGTTCGATTTACAACTTTCGATTCATCAATATCATTATTATTATCATGAATTAAATACAAGATGGTGACCGATCCACCGGATCAAACTTGTTCCATCAGGTTCCATTATTATCATAATCACTGGATCAAATCGATATCGATTGATGGTTGTCTTTGATTATAATGTTTGTTTATTTTCATTCAAATATAATTATCATATCGGTATCGATGAAATATTGAATGAATAGCTCAAAATTAATATACACAACAACAATCAATCAATCAATAATGATGATGGTAAGTGGGAAAAAAATGACGAAATAATTTATCGTTTTCCATTTCTGTTATTTTGTTCATGGACATTTTTTGATTTTGATTCTCTCGACGTAATAATATACATACATCCGTCGCACAACAAACAATCGAAAACAATCGATCTATCGATCGAACGTTTTTTTTTTATTTTTCGTTTCAAATATCATGTCATGTTGTGGGAATTTTGACGAAAAACAAAAAAATTATATATCTAGAATATATATATAAAATGACACCATCAAACGACAGAAACATCGACACATCGATCAAATATTGACATGTTATCTATATATTCTCAAGTTCACACATACATAGTTTCCAGATATTATATTATTATTATTGATGTGGCCAAAAACAAGACAAGAGGAAAAATTTCACTTTTTATTACGAAATACCAACACACACACAAAAAATTCATTATCATCCAATATCCAATTATCTCATCATTATCATTCAGTTCATTACCTGCGTTTGTCAAATTGTGGCCAGAAAAAAAACCATTCGTTTTCCCCTTTTGTTATTTCACCATTTCCTCATATAAAACAGGTAAAAATCATTGGTTGCATTTCTGTTTTGCACTTTTATAAAGTTTTTTTCTTCTTTCCCATTAAAAAAGAATGAATGAAAATTTAAAAAAAAAAAAAATTTCGAGCACAATTCGAATCCAAACAACAAAAAAAAATGTGAAAGAAAAAGAGAAAATTTTGACATTGACTTCCGCCAAAATAATATATCTCGACAACCATACACATTTATCAAATGTCTGTATATATTTTTTTCTTGTTTCATTGCTGCATTTCGTTCCAGTTGGAACGAGCATCATACATTGCTGTTGTTGCTGTTGATTTCAGGATCAATAGAGCAGAGCAAAAAAAAAAAAAAAACAGCCATTGAAATTGGTGGTAATAGGAAGAGAAAGTGAAAAACTGAAATAAGATAATTGTGTGAATGAATAAGAACGAAAACAAAACAAAAAAAATAAATAAATAACTATAATGGATACCTTGAAATTTGTGAATAAACACACACACACACACACACACCGACAATTCAATCAAGACAAAATCAGTCATTCGTTTTAGTTTACTGATGTTCAAAAGAGAGAGAGAGAGAGAGAGATAGAGAGATGAATGTGTGTGTGTGTGCGTTTCATTATTTGTCTTTAGGGCAATTAATTTTTTAGAAGAAAAAAAAATGACGAAAGAAATGTAATTAATTAAAAATCGGCAAATGAAAAATATAAATGTTGTGTGTGCGATATATAATTTTCACACTTTTCACTGTTGTGTATACAGTATTGCCGAATATTTTTTTTTTTTTTTGTTTTGCTTTTAAATTTCACAAAATTTTTCATGCAGAAAATTTGTCATTTACTGATTTCATTTCATATATATATTTTATATACAGCTTTTCTTTTCAAATCAGACAGAAAAGAAAAATAAAATCAGCACAACACTAATCATCATCATCGATTTATGGGTTAAATTTCAATTTTTTTTTTTTTTTAGCCAATGGCTAATCAAAATTGAAAAACTTGATCTTTAATCATTTTCCGGAGAAAACAAAACAAAAAAAAATCATTTTCATTGGAAAATCCTATATAATTGAGATTTGTTGTTGTTGTTTTTTTCATATCATAAATCCCAAGAAATACAGAGAGAAAAAAAAAGAGAGAATCTACATGTAATGATGATCATGAAACTGACCATCATTCTGTATGTGTGTGTGTGTGTGTGTGTTTTGTTCAGGAGGTCATCATCATCATCATCGTTATCTACTGTAATTAATTAATTTATCATCACGATAAATGTGATACATTTGGCATTTTTTTATTTTCTATGCTTTTCAGCCACATCATTGAATTCGTTATCAATAATGAAACTAGGTTACTAATATAGTGACGTATGTTGTTTCTGTTGATCTTTTTATCTGTTTTTTTAATTTTCAGTGAAAAAAAAACTCTTTGAACATTTAAGTTCATCATTAGCCTCTGGTTAAATTAATTAATATGCAATTTTTTCTTTGTTTTCATATTTTTTTTGCATCTTTATTTATATTCATTTAAATCTACAAAAAAAAAAAAAATAAACAAACATCCGTTAAAACGCCATTGAAATAAATCATTGTGAAATCATCCTCATCATCATCATCATCATTATTTACTGTTTCATCAGATAAGCGGTTTCAAAATAAAAAATAACTACATAGAACAAAAGAGAGAGAGGGATCCAAAAATGTTGAAACGACAATAATATACCTTGGATATATTCATATTCATTTCAGTAGCAAATGAGACAATTAAACTAAAAAAAAAAAAAAAAAAGATACAAAGATAACAAGTTAATCAAGGTAATATAATCCTAAGTAGTGGAAAATTGAACGAAAAAAAAAAAAAAAAATTAAATTGATTTTACAAGGCTGCTACGGCAGCTGTGTGTTTGTAGAAAGAGAAAAATAAATCTTCATGAATCTTCATTCATTTATTATGACAATTCCAATCGGAAGTGTATCACCCACTCGAATAAAAAAAATCTTTTTCTTTAATTCAACAACAGGTGAGTGTAAAAAAAAAGATCAAAAGTCATCAAAACCGATGAATTCATCAACAGGCTTGGTCCCCCAAAAAAAACAACCTAAATTTGATTGATTGTTATTGAACTCTATATCGTAATTTACCTGTGTGTGTTTAAAAGTTTTTTCACTTTGCTTTTTTTCCCCATTCTAGACATATATGATCAACAGGTAAGCTCACATTTACTGAATAGCAAAGACTTGTTTGTTTTCACTTTCTCATTTTATTTTATTTCATAGCAAAACAACAACAACAACAACAACAGCAGCACACAGAGATCTTTTTCTCGTGTATATTTGTATCAACAACAATAGCGTTTTCTGTCTGGCCCGTAAAACAAAAAAAAAAATCAAAACAAAACAAAAAGAAAAGAAACGAAAAAAATTGAAATTGGTGAGATCTGTGTTTGCGTGTGTGTGTGTGTGGAAAAACAGAAAAAAAAGAGAGAAAAAACGACGTTGAACGTGGTGAACAAACGAACGAAGACGACGATGTGTTATTTTGTGTGTGTGTTTCATATCGATGATGATGATGATGATAATGACACATAAAGCAATACTTCTACTTATTACTTTCATTTCATTTCTGTTTTCGTTGACCATTTCCAGAAACAAAAACAAAACAAAACAAAAAAAAAAACTGTCTTTTTTCTTTCTTTCTCAATCTTTTTTTTCTGTTCATTCACATTTGTCGTTCTGAATCATCAAAACATTATTATCATCAAAAAAAAGTTTACCATCGTTTGATCTGTCTTGTGTGATTTTTTTTTTTTTTTTTGAAACTTTTGAACAACTAAACAACAGCGTTGTTATTGTTGTTGATGATGATGGTGATGATAAAATTTTGCTTGTGATTTGAAATCTTCCGTTCAATATTTTTGTTATACCGAAAAATCATTTTTTTTCATATCTGGAAAAAAATGATACCCGGTTTTTGTGATACATCAACAACAACAACAACAACAACAACAAAAATAATGATGAATAAGAAGAATACCTCAACAAAAATAATTGGTGGTGGTGGTGTTGGTGCAATCATTAATATTCATCAACAAAAACAAAAACAACGACATCAACATCAACAACAAGGATTAATGTGTTCACAGCAATCAATATTAATTGCAATGGAACGTTTTGTACGTTCAATGAATAATTTGGATCAAACAATATTGATACCATCAAAATTACGTGATATGGATAATATTGGCATAAAAACTGAACGTCATCTAATACCAGAAATATTTTATAACATTAATCAATCAAATCAATCGAATCAACAACAAACAACGAATGAATTGCATAATTTTTTTATCATGTTAAATGATGTTAAAAAAGAATTACTTTGGGGTTCATCATCATCATCATCATCAACTAGCTCAATAATTACAATGGCTCAATCATCATCATCATCATCGTCATCATCATCATCATCATCAACTAGTCATGAATTTGTATATCAACATCATCATCACAATAATAATCATCGTAGGAATAGTTCAATTAATAATAATTCACCATTTTACAATAGGTCAATTAGTTTACAATCAACATCATCATCATTTTCATCATCATCATCATCATCGATGATTCCGGTTAAACATAGTCGTCAATCATCACAAGAAGATTGTGGTATTGTTGGTATTGGTATTGGTAGAAGTGGTAGTAGTATTGGTTCATCATTATCATCATCATCATCAACATCCGATACTGAAAGTGATGCTGATTCAATGCTTACAGATAGTTGTGATGATACAACATCAAATCTATTTGTTTCATTTCGTCATCATTTACAAGGTTTACATACAATTCTTAATCAATTATCTGATTCAGCTGATTATCTTTCAATACGTTATCAGGAAGAGATTGATGATATATAAAGAATTTGTATTCTTCAGCTGAAAATGACATTTTTTTCAAAACAAAACAAAACAAAAAACTTTAAATCAAAATCAATCATTTTTAAAAATGCCTCACCTTTTTTTTTTTTTCTCATCATCATCATTCAATTACATTTGCTTGTTGTGTTTCAGATTTTTTTTTTTTTTGAATTTCTGAGAAATTCGTTTTTTTTGGTTTCATTTTTTATTTCTGGTATTTTTATTTCATTTTTTTTCTTCTTATTCATTTTATTAATTATGCGGCCACCACATCTGTGATTGTGTGTTCTCTATCCTTTTTTTTATTTAAAATTTTCAAATTTCATTTCATTTTTCATTTCTTCCTCAATCAATCAATTGATCAATCCATCAAAATACATAACCTAAAAAATTTTGTAACAAAAAAAAAAAACAAAAGAAAAATGTAAATTCATTTTTGAAACAAAAAAAAAAAAAGAAACTGTTATCTTACCATTAATATTATTTTTGTTGTTGTTGTTGTTTTTTTCTGATTATTATTTGTTTGGATTATCATCACCATCATTCATTCATTCATTCATTCATTCATTATATTCATCCACCTTGTTTGTCGTCATCAACGTCATTTGTCCAATCAAGTTAAAATTATCCACCATACAGATTAAGCTGAGACTATATACATGCACCTGGATATCTTACTGATACTGATAAAGCCGTTCGTTTCATTCTCCCCTTAATTTCACATTCATTGATCATTATCATAAACAAATAAACAACAAAAACTTCAGGGGAAAAATTATTCAAACAGTTTGTGTGCGTGTGTCCCAATCATCATCATCGTCATCATCATTTGGTAATTTATTAGTTCCACAATAATAAGTTCATCACAACTAAACAAATAAAAATAAAAAGTAAGAGACATTAGTATTTTGAAAGTAAAAGTTCAAATATAAAATATCTAATTGTATGTGTATGTGTATGACAAAAAAAAGAAATATATAACACATCCGCCGTCATAATAACGACAGATGTTCAACACATGATGATGAACGAAAAAAAGAAAAAAAAACTTCTTACTCTTATTTTTTCTTCATTTGAAAAAGAAAACATCATAATTTTGAAAGCGAAAAAAATGAATAAACAAATTCAAGTTGATCCGATCCAATAATGAGAAAGATTATTATTGATGTACTTATTGAGAGTCAATATCTTCTTATCATCATCATCATCATCATCATAATCGTTGATCATTGACCATTTGATGTGTATGCCTTGAAGTAACAACAAGTGGCAAACGAATTGAGCCATTTACAACATGAACATTTATAATAAATTCACATCTATATAAGAATGATATTTGGGACACACACACACACAAAACATACATTGTAAAAAAGAAAATTTCAACTTTATCTCCTTCATGTTGTTAATGTTGTTGTTGCTGCAAATATTGATCACGAGAGAAAAAAAGTAACAGTGATGGGGGACAAACACGCGAAGAAATTTGGAACAAGAACGACATTTTGAAGATGAAATAATAAAAAAAAACAGGAAGAAAGTTTTCTTTTTTTCCAATCGTTGATAATGATGTCTACGACTCTGATGATTGATCGGAGCAACAATTGTCTATCATCATCATCATCATTATTGACAAAAAAAACGATATAAACCACAATTTGATGAAGACGACGACTACGATAGATTCGCCATCATCATCATCATCATCATCAATGACCTAAACAGAATAATTTATAGCTAGATAACAAACAAAAAAAAATTAAATTAAATAATTTGCTGTAAAATAATTAATTAATTCAAATTCTTACTTTTTCTTTTTCTTGTTGTTGTTGTTTTTTGGTTGATGAAAAAATGATTTTCTTTCTAATAATAATAAAAAAAAATAGATGATTCTTGCCTGATTTTTTTTTTGATGAGAAACTCTAGTAAATTTTATTTCAAAAAATATTTGATTTTTTTTAAATTTCATTAGCAAATCGATATTGGTTTCATAATCATCATCATCATCTTTGTTTTCCATTGATTTTTTTTTTGCATTGCTGAAAAAAAGCAAAAGCGAAAAAAAAAATTTATTCAACTTTTGAAACAAAACAAAAATAAAATACTATATACCATGTTGTTTGTTGTAGAGAGATTATGTTGATGTTGAAACAACACACACACCATGTTCTCGTCGATTTCGTTGTCGTTGTCGTTGTCGTCGTTGTTGAAGGTTGATGTGCTCTTGAACAAGCAATAAAAACACAAGCCGCTAATTTTTTTTTCTCTTACTTTCTTCATCACCATTTTTTTTCAGCGATCATTTTTGTCGGCCCCATTCCATTTCTTCATTTTCATTAATTCATTTTGGAAATTAAAAAAAAAACAAAAATTTCACAATCGGATATCACATGTTTTTGGCCACCACCATCACCACCACCATCTACAAACACCATCAGCAATTTTAATCATGATCATTGATTTTTAACCTTCTCAACAAAAAAAAAAAATTATCTTATGATATAGTCATGGTCAAAAAAAAAAAATCGAAATCAAAGACAAAATCTGTTTAGCGTTAAGCAAAATTGTTAATTGGCCTTTTTTCCTTGCTGCTGCTGTTTGCAAATTATAGTAGTTTTTTTTTGATGGTCAAAAAAAAATCTAACTGTATTTAAATGATAAAATAAAAAAAATCGTTTGGGCGAAATCACTTTCAATCTTTTTCTCTCATTTTCAATCACAGGAATCACATCGCCACAGGTACTAGACTTACCTGTCTTGTCTGTTGTTTGGTCAATGTTTTTTTTTTTGTTATTGTTGTTGCTATTCGATCATCTTGTATATATGACAATTATTCATTCATAATAATCATTGATTCAAAAATTGGCCATTTTATCCATCACCATCAATCAACGATATATATTATTATATGATTCAGGAACTCACAAACTTGTTGTTGTTGTTGTTGTTGTCCATAATAATAAAAAAAACAGGAAAACTATTCGTAACATTGAAAATATTTCGAACGTTCGATAATGAAAATGATGAACGTTTACTATCGATTGTTCGATAGCTGATATTATCATAATTGATATAATCGATAATCGATATTTGACAAAAAAAATAAAATTTTATTTTTTTCAATCATTCAAAAAAAAAAAAAAAAATTATAACAAAAATTAAAATTGCTAAACACATTAAAAATGATGATGATAATGATAATAGCCTATTTATCTTGTTTGTTTATTTGTAATTGTTAATTTTTTGTTTTGTTTTGTTTTGTTTAATAATTTTTCAACAAGAAACATATAATGGACATTTTTTATCCATACCACATGGAACATTATCCAGACCGATTTTCCAAAGTTTATTACAATAAGAACAAGTTGGACTGGTCCAATTTTGTTTAATATTAAATAAACCGGCACGTTTATATACTTGGACAAAATCCTGTATAAATCGATCAATCATTTCATATGAATGTATCGGTGATGGTGCTATACGAAGACGTTCTTCACCTTTCCTTACGGTAGGATAATTAATCGCTTGAACATAATGACCATATTGTGACATTAATTCATTGCAAATCCAATTACTTAGATACGGATTTCCAATCGGTATCGGTATTATATGACTTTTACTATCCAATTGTGGTATACCATATTTTTTTAAACATTGTTTAAAATATGAAACTTTTTCCTGATGCATTTTTCGTAGCATTTGTCCTTCTGGACCTTTGAGAATCTAAAACAAAACAAAAAATCAACAAAAAAATGATAAGTGAACTTTGAAGAAAACAAAAAAAAGTTGAAAAATTACTTTAATTGCCGTAATAGCACCTTTCAATACGGTTGGCGGTAATGAAGTGGTGAAAATAAAACCAGCAGCATATGATCGAATCATATCGACAAAATTCCTATTACCAGCAATATATCCACCAACATTACCATAAGCTTTGCCTAATGTACCGGAAATTATATCCATTTTATCGACAACACCATCACGTTGGCCAATACCGGCACCATGTTCACCATACAAACCAACAGCATGTACTTCATCAATAAATGTCAATGCATTATAACGATGTGCAACATCACACAGCACTTCTACTGGTGCTATATCACCGCTCATTGAATGTACGGTTTCGAATGCAACAATTTTCGGCAATGAATAATCAACATTTTTAAGCAATTCTTCCAAATGCACTGGATCACAACTACGAAAAATATGTTTGGTTGCACCACTATTTCGTATACCCTGGATCATTGATGCATGATTACCGGCATCGGAAAATATATGACAACCTTTTTTTTGCATATACAAAATAATGAAAATTAATTTGAGACCAATCATTCAAGTAAAATTTACACATACCTGGTAATAATTTTCCCAACGTATACAATGTAGAATCATTAGCAACAAAACAAGAAGTGAAAATTAAAGCCGATTCTTTTTCATGCAGCCGTGCCAATTCTTCTTCCAATTCATAATGACATGGTGTATTACCGGATATGTTTCTAGTGCCACCACTGCCGGAACCATATTTTTCAACAGCATCACTGTTATTATAACACATTTATGATAATAAAAAAATGATGATTGATAAACAAATAAAAAAAAGGACTTACATAATAGCTTGTTTAACATCCGGATGTGTAGTAATACCCATATAATCATTACTACACCAAACTTGTATTCGTTTATTATTTTCATCATTACGTTGGTGATGATGATGATCATCATCATTAACATTACTAAATTCATTAGCATATGGAAAATTTTTTGCATCACGTGCCACTTTTTTAAACACACGATAACTATGATCTTTTTTCTTTTTCATAATTTGATCAATAAAAAAACGTTCATAATGGAATTCATCTGTGGGAAAAAAAACATTGTTAATTGCAATTCATTTTAGAAAAAGAAAACATGCATGTTCATCGTTTTTATTATTGCAATTTTTAGCCGCATCATTCATTCATTCATTTTAACCTCAAACACAACAAAAAGAACAAAATACTTACTTTGAACATTGGCCATATTTTTCACTTCACAAATATCTTGTACAACATTATCACTTGCTTTCTGTAATGTTGGTTTAAAAATGTCGAAAAATGGACATTGTGATACATCACCTTCCATTGGATGATTTTCTAGATATTAATAGAAAAAAAAATTAAAATTTTCCGTTAAAATCGAACACACACAAAAAAAACATACTTGGTTTCGAATGTTGTTGTTGTTGTTCATAACCACCATGTTGTTGTTGTCGCTGCTGCTGCTGCTGTTCGTGGCCAGCAGTTGTTGTTGTCGAATTATTATTATTAATGGTGATTTGTTGTTGTTGTTGTTGTTGCTGCTGCTGTTGTTGTACAAAACGTGGTTCAATCGGAAAATCCGATGATAATAATCGTACTTTATTCATATGTGGACATTTATTTAAAAAATTATTCAATAAAACATTTGAATAATGATTCAAAAATGAAAGGGAAAATTTATTTAAAAATGGACATTTTGTTGTTGTCATTGAAAAGGCCATGATTTTTTTTTTGTTGGTTTGTTTGTTTGTCTGATCCAAAATGTTTTTTATTGAAATGATGATTCGTTTCTATACACAACAAGCGCACAGATCAAATGATGAAAAATAAAAATAAAAATTTTCAAGTGGAAAAACTCGTTCTCTTCGTTTCGAGATTGATTGTCGTCGTCGTCGTCGTCGTGTGGTTGTCGTGGTTTTTATTTTATATATGTGAGAAGAAAAAGTGGAACTTTTCTATTCGTTCGACATAAATCAATCAATCAAAATTTATAACAGTACGATGGTGGCTGCTATAAATATATGATAATGATGATTTGATTATGGAAAATAATGTAATTTCAAAACAACAACAACAAAAAAAAAACGTACGAACGAACGTGCAAATTTGTCGTATTTTGTACCGAAAAAATAGAGTGCACACCACCATAAACTGTTGATGTAATTGAGAGCAAATTTTCACTTGTAAAATAAAAATAAAAACAAAACAAGACAGGAAAATGAAACTTTTTTTTTGGACGAAATTTGATTGAATTATCGATTTATCGAGAAAATCTTTGTTTCGTTTGTTATCGTGCGTACAAATTGTGATAAAATTTGTAATGATAATGAGAAAAAAAAATCGAATGATTTGCTTTGATTTTTTTTTCTTTGAAGAGATTTTTTTCTATATAGCACAATCAACGATATCTCTGTGTGTGTATGTGTTTCGAATGTGAAAACCAGTCGAGATAGCAGAAATTTGTTTTTTTTCTTTTTGATTCAATCATCAGCAAAAAAAAAAAACGACAACCAAGCAACAGGCAAACCACACACATATATGTCATTGAATGAATTTTTTTTATCATCACATGTAAAGAGAGACAGACATCAAAAGATAGACAGAGAGGGAAAAATTACAATCGTCATCATCATCATCATCAGTTTTTTCTCTTTAAATTAATTATTATTACAAAAAGGAACGATTTTCATTCATTCAGTTGTTTTTTTTTATATTTAAAGCTTTTTTTATACAGGAAATTTTCCAATTTTCCATAAATTTGTCCCAGTTATTGCATTTTGGTTTTTGTTTTCACATAAACATTTTAAACACATAAATATAAATGACCAAAATTAGCCAAAATTCAAAGTCTCCAATTATTATAATGATTTGGATATCTTTCTTTTTCATTACGTAAAGCATTGATTATCGAGTCCTATTTATGTATGAATGTGAGAAAAAGAGAAAAAGAGAGAAAATGAGAACAAAAGAAAAAGTTTCAAAAAATCAACACACACACACATACCTTGTTAGTTAGCTGTGATGATTCAATTTCTTTGATTTGTTCATCCAGATTATTGATTTTCATCATTTGATTATTGCCACTATTGTTTACATTATTATTAATCAAATTTGATCCATTATTATTATTATTATTACTGCTGATGATGATGTTGCTGCTGCTGCTGTTACTGGTACCGGTACCTGTACCAACAACTAATCCCATTGAACTTGCAGATTTTGAATGACGTGCCGATGCTACAGTCACACATTATTATTATTATTAGCTAGCGGCGGTGGTAGTAAAACGTAATGTTTTCTGCAATACAGCATCCCTATCATTGGAATGTTTCTGTAAAACATTGATAATTGTCTCTTTTTCAGCCAATTTAAAATTCAAATCTTTCAATTGACTTTCAAGTTCAGCACATTTTTTATTTGCAATATGTATTTCATCCATATGTTTTAAACGTTCATTACGTGCTTCAGCAATTAATTTTTCACTTTCATGTGATGTACGTTCAAGTGCAGCAATTTTTGCATCTCTAATTTTTTTTCACCGAAAAAAATGACATAGATTTGGAAAGGAGGAAAAACAAGTACAAAAAAAAATTATTGGCCATTAAATTTCCATTTTTTACTGTAATATAACATACTTTGGTGCCGAAGCAGCACTAACTTCAATCGATCTTAATGTATTTTCTTCAATATATTTTTGTTCCCATTTAGAAACTTCAGCTTCAAGATCGATAATTCTTTTTTCATAATTTACTATCGATGCTTTCAATGTATCTAGATCATCACCGTTGTTGGTTGTCGATTGTTGTTGCTGTTGATTATTATTGCCATTCATTCTAACATCACCGGTATTATTTGATGTTATGGTAGTAGTGGTGGTCGTTGATCCATCACTACTGTTATTGTTTTTATTGATATTTTTATATTTTTCCAATTCTTTTTCCAGATAAGTACGTATACGTTTTTCCATCTGTAAACGTCTTTCATTTGTCGATTGTAGATTGGATAATGCTTTTTCAAGAAACAACGTTTTCTCTTCCCATCCTTGTTTGGCACGTAACTATGTTTTTTGATGGACAAATTTCAAAAAAAAAAAAAAAAAATGATATAGTGATAAACACACACACAAAAATCGATTGATTTCTCTTTCATTTACCTCATTCTCAAGGGTCATAATGTTATTTTGTGCATTAATCAATGCCGTATCCAATATTTCAATATGATTTCTTTGCTCCTGTAATGTTAATCGTTGTGCTTCCAATTCAATTTCTTGTCTTTCTTTATAATTAATTAATTCTTTGTCTGAAAAATGTAAAAAAGGATTTTGTTAAAAAAAAATCATCAAAATTCATTCCACCACTTACTTTTCATCAATAAATAAGAAATCAATGCACCTCTTTTATTCAATTCTTTTTCATAATCTGATTCTTCATAATTCTGAAAAACAAGAACAGAAAAAAAATCAAAATGAAATGAAAACTTTAAAAGTAGCCAATATTACCATTTTTTTCGTTACATTCGAATCTAATCGCTCTAGATTTGTTCAAAAAAAAAAAAATCGATTATCAACACATTGAGATAAACAAAACAAAAAAAAATACCTTGAAGACATTTGTTTTGTTTTTGTAATTTTTTCACTTCAATCTCCAATTTATAACGGGCTTCACGTTCGAATTTTTCCTTTTTTTCTGAACTTTGCATCAGTTCATCATATGACTGGTATATTTTCTGTATTTCAGATTCCAACTATAAAAGAAAAATGCATAACATTATGATTAGAATTTTTTTTGGTTTGGTTTGGTTTACCTTTTGAAATTTTTGCATCTTTTTACAACAAAAATCCAATTCATTTCGTAATTGGGTATTTTCAATCAATAATAAATCGATTGTATTATTATGTTGTTGTTGTTGTTGTTGTTGTTGTGATGATTTATTTGTATTGTTGAATTGTTGTTGTTGTTGTTGGTGTTGAAATGAACCATTGTTAAGATGATGATTATTATTGAATCCAGGTATAAATGACATAATGGCATTCGATGATGATGGATGATTATTATTATGATTACGATTATTATTATTATTATTATTAGTAGTAGTAGTAATGGCCATCATTTCATCATCAGAAAATTTTGATAAATCCGGATGAGATCTTGATATCGTAAATCTTTCTGAAAATGATTTTGTACCATTATTCATAATCATCATCATTGCTAGATTACATGATTTTTCATATTGATGACGAGGAGACCTATTATTATTATCATTATTATTTGTAATCAAATTTGAATTATGATTCAAATTCTGCGGTACCAATGATGGTGATTGCGGTGGTGGTGGTGGTGGTGGTGTTGGTAGAGGTAGATCAACTAAACTATCGATATTAAAATTTTTAAACATAAATGAATCATTCTTTTTCAATGAATTTAGATAATCATTTAACATTGGTTGTTGAAGATTAATGGCAGTTGTTGTGGTGGATTGATGATCATTATTCATTGATGATGACTGAAATTTTATCACAGATTCATTATTATTATTGTTGTTGTTGTTGTTGTTGTTGATAAATAGCTGTGGACCACCACCACCAGCACCAGCACAATTATTAACCATAGTTATTGTTGATGACTTTGCTTGTGTCGGTGTTGTCGTTGTTGTTGTTGTTTTCAATGGATCGGATGAACTATTATTATGAAATTTCAATAGATTAAGATTTGAATATGGATTATCATCATTAACTGCCATTAATGTAATTAGATTATTTTTTATTGATGGTTGTTGTTGTTGTTGTTGCTGCTGCTGTTGTTGTTGTTGATTAATTGATTGATCAAGAATCGATTTATAACCATTTGTCGTTGATGATGATTGTGGTGATGGTGGTGGTTGTAGTGCTGTGGTCGTAGCAGAATTCGATGATAAATTCATTCGTTTATCATAAAAATATGGAAATAAATATGAATTGATTGATTGATTTAATGAATTATTTCCATGTATAATCAATGTATTTGTATTCGAAATTATTATTATTATTATTCAATGTTGATTGTGATGATCGTCTTGATAAGCAATCGATACCAAAATATGTTTCTTCACCTTGTGGTTCTTGTCTAATGCTTGTTTTCAATACATAACGTTCTTCAGGCGAAAGATTCTCTGTAGATGTTGATATATCTGTTTCGCTACCAGATGATGTTGCTGCTGTTGTTGTTGTCGTTGTTGCTGTTGCTGCTACTGGTTGTTTTACCGTATAATCTACCGCAAAAAAAACAAAACAAACATTACACATCAAATAAAAATGATTGCAATCATAATTGGCAAAAGAAACAGAACAGAAAAAAAACGGGACCTACTTGAATAAATTTCATTACCATTCATCATATGAATGGTGGTGGTATTTTTCATCGAAATTTTTTGATTTCGATCATTATCATTAATCGATTGTTGTTTCTGTGTGTTGTTGTTGTGATTGACACGTGTTGATATTTCTTGTGTTCATCATCATCATCATCATTGTTGTTGTTGTTTCATTGAAATTTACAGTAATTTGTTTTTTTTGGAATTTGAAATATGAAACAAATTTTTCGTCGTCGTCGTTGCTCTGTTACAAATTTCTCATAAATAATCAAATCACAAGTGAAAGGAAGAAAAAAATCAAATGTGATAAATGAAAATTTTCATCAAAAAGAATTTTTTTTTTTTGGTTAAAATTCTCGTTGAGCGCGCACATCAACCATAAAAACCACAACATCAACATTCAATTGCCGAATATTATCTCAGGCCACTCAAACATAACACAAAAACCTCATCGTCGTAGTCGTCGTCGTCGGTATTTTTTTCAACGTTCATTCACAACCATAATAGTCACAATAAAAATATGTACGTAAAAAGATTTACATTTGACATGATTTCATTGCAGTAGTAGCATAGATTATTGTTAAATCATTGATCAACGTATCAGTGATACGATAATGATTGTGGCCAATACTTATTTGTATTAATCAACAAAAGAATGTTTGGAATGTTTTAAGTGCCAAAAAAAAGATCTCTCTGTCTCTGTTTTGCAAATTGAAAATTATTTTCTTGTTCATTCAAAAAAAAAAAAAAAAAAGAATGTACCACATTTGTTCTCACAACAACAACAACAAATAACTTACCAAAAAAAACCTTGTCTGTTGTTGTTGTTTGATCATGGCAATGGTAATGGTAATTATCATCATCATCATTAAAATTGTCACATTCGATATATTGCAATCACAATTGTCACAAGGCGCTAAAATAACTAAAATTCCAAATGATGAAGAATTGAAAATTTTTTTGTTTGTTTTTTTGTTTCAAATAATTAATAATTTATTTATTTATAATAATATAATCATTAATCAATCAATCAATCAATTATAATCAATGATAAATTCAAATTTTTTTTTTAAAGACAGATCATCATCAGATTTCATAATAATAATGATAATATAAATCATCCCATAAAAATTGCCACTATAAGACGCATCTATGCTGATATTTTCGTTCCCACAGCCCAACCATAATGGTAACACTATTATGCACAAGTCTAATTTTTTTTTCTCGTATAATAATATGCGTCTTATATAGTCACAATTTTAGGGTAAATCATCATCATCATCATCATCATTATGATTATGTTTTATATAGTGGCTTGTTGGGGTTTTCGCTCTCTTTTGTTTTTTGATATTTGTATGTCTGTGATGTAATGTAATGTATATTCTACAAATTTTAAATTTCCCGCACATTACACACACGCTGCGAATAATGAATGCTGTGAGGGCAAAAAAAAATTTAAATAGGAGAGAAAGCATCGATTATATAAATTGGGATCAATTTGGCTTTTTTTGTTTGGTCGGTGTGTGTGTGTGTGTGTGTATGTGTGTCTTGTGTTGATGTTGGCAATGAGGATGGGTGTTTTTTTTAGGCCCATGAACAATTGAAAGATGAATATTTTTTTTGATTTTTCATAAAAATTCCCAGAATACACGCACACATACACACTTAAAGAAAAACTTTTGGAAGGAAATTCTGATGTTGATGATGAAGAAATTTACAAAAGAAAATTGAAAACACACACACACACACAGACAGACACACGCAAATTGTGAATATATGGGAAAAGATAAGAAAATGATAAAAGCAAATTTTTTAAAAATCCATTTTTTCAGATATGATTTTTGTTTTGTTTTGAATTTAAATCTTTTTTGTGTGTGTGTGTGAAAAAAGATGGCATCAAGTTAAATGGGCCCGTATGTGTGTGTGTGTGTTGTGTTTCAGTGGATGGGTTTAGTTGATTTTTGTCATCATCATCATTGTTTTTTTCGGTTTGTTTGTTACGTTTTTGAATATAGTGATGAATTGAATGTATATAATTTATATATATCGGGGATTTTGGCGGTGATTTTTTTTATCGTCGTTTGATAATTTCTTGAAAAAAATGAATTTGTAGACCCACCAGTTGGTTCTTTCTATTCACTTCACTGAACATTGTCGTCGTCATCATCATCATTATCAATCTACAGAATATTACATTTACTTTTGCGTGGTGGTTTTTGTTTTTTCTCTGGATTTTTTCGATTTATTTGCCTAACAAGATCGTTGAAAATCTGTTTGAAGGATTATTTACAATTATTATCATCATCAATTAACACATATGGATTAAAAGTTAACTTACTTCATTAACATTTATTTTGGCTTTTGCGGATGATTCCAAAAATGCACAATTACTAAATGAACGTGCTAGATTTGCACCTTGGTCTTTACCTACAACACGTTCATCTTCAAGATCACACTTATTTCCTATTAAAATCATCGGAACATCCTCAGCATCCTTCACCCGAAGGATTTGTTCTCGAAGATCCTGCAGATCATTAAATGTTGATTGTGCTGTTATGGAATATACTAATACAAATCCTTGACCATTTTTCATATATAGGTCACGCATAGCGGTAAATTGTTCCTATTTGTATAAAACAAAACAAAAGGAAAAAAAATTGAAACCAATTAATTTTTAATTCAAAAATAAAATTCATAGCCATTCAATACACTACTACTAACCGTTCCAGCCGTATCAAGTATCTCGAGCATACATTGTTGGCCATCAACTTCAACTTGTTTACGATAACTATCCTCAATTGTTGGATCATATTTCTCGACAAAAATTCCTGGAAGAAACAAAAAAAATTGTATTGAATGGAACATATAAAATATTAATAATGAAAAAAAGACGGAATTTTTTTTTGGAAATTTCTTTACCTTGCACAAACTGGACAGTCTATATATATAAAACAATCGTTGTTTTCGTTGTCAAATCGATAAATAAATGAATATGTTTGCAAAAAAAAAAAAAAAAAACAAAAAGAAATTTTGTCAAATATATAAAACAACAAACGAAATTAAAAATATCAACTTACAAGTGCACTTTTACCAACACCACCAGAACCAAGAACAACAATCTTATATTCTCTCATTATTTATTTATATATTTTGATGATGATTTTTTTATATGTATGATGACAGTTGTTTTATTGTATAATGACAGAAGAAGAATGAAAAACGAAAATAAATTTTATAATAACCGATGTGCAAAAAGATGATGATGATGATGATGATATTGGTAATACACAAAAACAAAACAAATCAATCAATCAACAATCAAAAATATAATATAACAATTGTATATGTGTGTGTCGATAAAACGATTTTGATTGTGGATGATGATGTGAAAATATGATGATGATGATGATTATATTGCCAATGAGGTGTTTTTTCTTACTGCTTGGTATATTCCAGATCAATAATTTCTAAAATAAAGAGAGCAGAAAAAAAGAAGAAAACAAAAATCAATTGATTAATTATATGGATGTATGTATATAATATACAAATGTGATGATTGATATATACAAAATCAACAGATCGAAATCAAAGAAAAAAATTTTTTTTTTTTTGCCTAAAACAAAAATATAATCAGAATCAGAAATTAGAAACTTTCGAACAGAACACACAGTCGTTTACACATATACAAAAAAAAATCAAAAAGGAAATCGATTGATGGTGATGATGATGGAATCCGTTTTAATCTGTGTGTGTGTGTGTGTGATGAGGATATGGATTTTTTTTTTTTCAAAAAAAAAAAAAAAAAAAATTCAAACTAACAAACACACATACACAAACACAATGTGTAAATGTAGATTTCTATTTTGTTTTTTTTTCTCTAATGATTTCAATGATGTGATGATGATTCAGTCATATATGATGATGATGATGATGATGATGATTACAGACGAATACGGCGTTGTCGTTTTATTATTAAAAAAAAAAAAAAATGCAACCATATATACATATACATACATATATAAACTCTTCGAATTTGGTTGTTTTTTTTTCTCGTTGTATTATTGAGGGAGGATTTATATAATAATAATGTTGTCGACAATCAACTGAATGAATTGTAGCAAAGTTGAGGAAGAGAGAATGAACAATCTTGTTGTTGTTGTGTTATGAAGAAATCACAAACACCACATGAATAAAAGATTTTTGAAGGAATATTATTATTATTTATATTCTTAAAAAAATTGTGAATACATCAAGTGTTTTTTGTTGATGATGATGTTAAAATGGCTTATCTTTATTTATATGAATCCCTGTGTTTATGAAGAGATGAATATATTCGAATTTTTGTGTTTTATTCCAAAAAAAAAAAAAAAAAAAAATCTTTTTTACTTACAATTTTAGTGTTTGAATTTTTGAATGTTTTCTTCTTAGTTGATTGATTGAATTAAAAAACACACATATTTGATGGGTTAATTGCATATATATAAAAACAGAGAAATAAAAACAGAAAAAATCAACAAACGAAGACGACGACGACGACAACTATACAATTGTATGGCGTTGGTGAGATGGTGGTTGTTGATAATGATTTTTGGTGACATCGATCGATTGATCGAGAAAAAACAAATTAAAACAAAAAAATCTAATCACATCAACAACAACAACGAAAAAAAAAGATGAAACAGAAACGAAAAATTAAAAAACTGAAAACCAGCAACGGCAAATTAAAATAGAAGCAGCAATGTGTGTGTGTGTGTGTGAAAGGACCATAGATATTTTCGTTTTTTTTTTTTTTTTGGTTATTAAGTAATTTCGCTCACACACACACACACACAATCATCAACATAATACAGATATACATGGCTTTTTTTTAAGTGCTCATTACATATATTCGAATATTAGAAAAAAAAATGGGGGTGGTAGCATCTGGTTAAGTTTGTCCGTTGGTCGGTGAATATGCGTGTGTGTGTGTGTGTGGTGGTAGTAATAAAACGCTAGGACCTATACAGTCAGCTCTCTCTTTCTCTCTCTCTCTCTCTGTCTGCACTTACGAACAAATGCGAATCACATAGACTTTTGTATATAAAGTGGAGAAAAAAAATTTTTTTCACAAGTAGAGAGTCCACACTGTGTGTGTATAGCCTCATCATCATCATCATCATCGATAATCATCAATGGTGTGGTAATGGGCGCGACAATATTTTATGAAAAATAAAACAAAAAATTTACGCTTGCGCATTGTATTGTATTGTTTTGATTTTCAAAATAAAATAATTTTCTTCCATATGTGTGTGTATTTTATCGTTTTTTTTTTTGTTTGTTATTGTGTGAAAAAAAAATCATTGATGATGATGAATTTAAAAAAAAATATTATTATTTTCATTCGTTCGATTATTGACATCACACAACATCCTTAAACAACGTATACATCATCATCATCAACAAAAATAAAATCATAATAAAAAAAATGGCAATGAAGAAAAATTACAACAAAGGACAATTGATTAGACATTTTTTACAAGTTTGGCGATTATTGATATTATCTAATAATAATACCGGTGTATTTAATCAATTAGATGCAGATGATGATGACGATGATGGTGATGATGATGAAAATCGGCCACAAAAACGACATAAAAAATCATCATGTTTAAATCATCCATATAAATGGACAATTTTAAACATTTTGTTTCTAATATTTTTATCAATAATTCAAGAAATACTCATTCTTCAAATTGGATTAATTACTGCTCGTTTTTATTATGTACTATTGTTAAAAGATATATTAAAATTTTATTGGCAACTATTCATCACAATGATTCTTGTATTATTCATGTCATTGATAAAATCATTTCGTACATATGTATCGACGGTGATTGAAATTGAATTTCGTGAACATTTAACCAAATATTTGTGTGATGAATATTTTGAAAATTTTAATTATTATTTCACCAACAACAACAACAATCATAATCAACCACAACAACAACAACAATGCCAAAATGGCCATCAATCGTTATTAATCGAAAAGAATGGATTAGATAATGTTGATCAACGATTATGTCAAGATTTATATAAATTATGTTCAGAATGTACAATTTTTATATCGAAATCTGTTATACTACCATTCATTGTTGGTTATTATTCATATAAAGTTTCCATCACTGTTGGCCCATTTGGTGTGTTCATTTGTTTGGCAATATTTCTTCTGTCCACGTTTGTTAATCGATTCCTGCTCAATTCTATTGTCAAATGGACTTATTTGAAAGAAAAACATGAAGGCATTTATCGTTCAGAACATAATCATATTCGAAATCATTGTGAACATATTGCATTCACAAATGTTGAACAACGTATGAAAAGAAATCTGTTTCTAGAACTTCGAAATTTGCTTTCTATTCATGAAAATTTAGCATTACAACAATTTTATCTGAATTTTTTGACCACAATTTTCGATTATTCTGGATCGGTTATATCGTTTATAATTATTTCCATACCATTATTTCATGGTGCATATGATGAACTAAATGAAGCCGAATTAAGTCGTCAAATTTCGGCCAATACATTCATTTGTTTATATCTAATCAATTGTTTTAGTCGAATATTGGATATAACATCAACATTTGCCACTATAAACGGTATTGGTTATCGTTTAACTGAGCTTAAATCAGCATTTAAAAATTGTTCATCAAAAAATGATGATGATAGTCAGCAATTAATTTTAAATTTATCAAACAACAATCATCATGGTGATGATGATGATGATTTATATCTACAATTGTACAACGATACTGCCAAGGAAACGGAAAAATGGCCCAGAAATTTTTCATTACAAGTATATCGTAATGAAAATCTATTCATACATAACGTCAGTCAATTACCGTTATGTAAAATGATTAAACAATTATTACCATTATCATCATCGTCGATAATGGTGAAATTAAATCTTCGAAAATTAACGGACATTATGTTTATAATGTATGATTTAAATTATGATGAATATTTTCTAAAAGTAAGTAAAACAAAAACTTGAAATTCGAATCTAAAATCTCTCTCTTTTTTTGTAAACCAAAGGAACTATTAACCGATCCATTGAAACGTACGACAATCATATCATTGATGAATGAATATTCGTCATTCGATTTTCTTGTTCCTGAAACTGATTATTCTGACCAACACGACAACAACAAATCAAATGTTGATAATAGTGGTGTTGATGTGGTAATTGAAAATCTTTCCATGATACAGAAACAATTGTTAAATTTTTTGATTGCATTCACCATACGACCAAAATTATTGATCATCGAAAACACTGCACAATCAATGATGACTGATGATTTGATTGATAAGCTCTATGATCATTGCAAACGATTAAGCATAACCGTCATAACAATCAATAATGATAATGTTAATGATGATGGTGATCATGATAAATATCGTAAATATCATCATAGATATTTAAAAATTTAATTTTTTTTAAAATTTTGATTAATTTCAATTTTCAATAAATTTTCCAATCATTTTTTTGATCATATTTCTTGTTGATTTTAATGACAATGGATCCTGTTCTGAATCTGGATACATATCGGCACAATGAGCAGTTTCTTTCATAACGAATGCTCTAGCCGTTGGATTGATATCGTGTAATACACCCAATGCATGCCATGGATCAATACGGCCATTAATGAACATAACATTTGAAACAGTCAGATTGAAACCGCCATAATAATTATTAGTAAAATCAATGGAATTTTCAATAAAATTCTTATTAAATTCTGCACCATAAATGTCCATACATTGTTGTGTGAAAAATTTGATCGGAAAATAACGTCCAAATGGTTGATCATCAAGATCGGATGTTTGATAGAAACCAAATTCTGAACATGTTTGATATATCCATTGGCGAGCGGATGGCACTTCAGTTTTATCAAAATCAACGACCAACATTTTCTTAACATAATCATCATAACGATATTCTAGACATTTTTGTAATGTAGAATCTAATAAAATTTGATTAACTTTGGCAATCCGTTCGATAGAATTCATATTTGAATTCAAATCAGTCATTACTGAACATATCGTATCGATGGTAATGTTTGTACCGGGAACACCCTATTTATCCAAAAAATGATGGAAAATTTTTCAAACGATAAAGAAACAACAACTTAATTTACCTCGAAAGCACGATTATCTTTGTTATATTGAACAACACCTTCAAAATTACCGGCAAGATTAGCGAAAAAATTCGAAACATCCAATGGATTTGAACCATCAAATGGTGTACAGAGCATGAATTTCTTTCCGACTTCAGGCCAATTATTAGGTGATTTTATCAATCTGGTTAGATCATTGGTGGCCGATTGGATTTCTCGTACACATTGTTCACCTAATGATTTATCGACAACACGAATATAATCTTTAAAATCAAGTACAGCCTGTACTGGTGCGCTAGATGCAATAGCACCGGCCACTAAATGTGGATATTTCATACGGAACCATGCTGCCAATGAACCTGAATATGAACCACCAAATACGATCCATTTATTATGACCATTGGTTAATCCATATTTATCATTAATAAATTCTATAAAATTTGCTGCATCTTGCAGTGCTTGTTCACTGGTCAAATATCGAAGATTTTCGGTGGACATATTTCTGTGTAAAGAAAAAAAAAAATTGAAATAAAAGAAAATCCAAATCATTTGTTAACACCAACTTGGTCGGTCGTGATTGACCATAATAACGATGTTCCAAAAGTATTTGTAATGCTTGATAATGTGGACCATAATTTGTTGCAATTTGTCCATATTTCAACCAAATTGGATTTGCTTCACCTTCACCACCAAGTTGTAAGAATATTGGTGAACCATTGCTTCGATTAAATCGTTGATCATTGATAAAATATCGTTGTTTCCACGTCATCAAATTGGTTGGATCAAAATGATCTAGTTTTTGTTCAAACCATTCTTCTCGAACGTTCGATGATGATGATTCAGTTGCCGAATGATTACTCGGTGATGGTAAACCCAATAATCCATGTTTATTCAGTGGACGTCCAAATAATAACCGCCATGAATAAATCGAATGATTTGTCACTATTATCGATAATAATAGAAACAATGTTATGGAAAAACTACGCATTTTTTCTATTTTAGCTAAATACACTATTCGATTGATTACTTGAAATGGCTCTAATCATTCGATTTAGGATGATCGATTGATCTTTGCCATTTTAAATCAAAAGTAAATTTTATCATTTCCATCATCATTTTCAATTATTATTTAAATCGATGATCAATGATAATCACTACAATCAAGTACATTTTTAGACAATCGATTTTGATAAAAAAAAATCCACTTCTCAGCGAAAAGATAACAATGTAAATGATGATAATCAAAATGAACAAAAAAAAAATTGAAATTTTTCATTTTCAAAAATATCATGTGCGTACACATACTATATGAACGGTACATTTTTATTTTATTTTATTTTTTTAGATTCTGCCCACTTATTAAAAATCTTTCTCTTTGTGCATACACAAGTGTGTGTGTGTGTTTCTAACATTCACATTCCGATCAACCACTACAACAATCATACCACACACACACACACACACACACACAAAAAGCCCTTGTATTTTTTTCTATTTGCTGCGTTTCATCATTCGACGACGACGACGAACGACAACAACGACGACGAATGTGACTTATACTCTTTAATAATAATTTTTTTGTTTCTTTGAGCTCTCAAAATAAAAAAAAAAATTTCTCGAAATCACCATCACATTATCAAAGCTTTTTTTTTTTTCGATTTATATATTCTCTTTATCTCTATCTAAACACACACACACAAACAAAACATACATTTTACTCAATTATTATTACTGTTAGAATTTTTTTTTTTTCATCATTGTTGTTGTCGAGGCGATTTTTTTCTCTCTCTCTCTCTCTGTGTGTGTGTTTTGTTTGAAAAAAACACACACATAAAACAAAAATTCACATTCGATTTTGATCAATTTGTTGTGATCATCATCATCATCTTCATCATCACCATCACGATCATATTTCCTGTTCATTCTCTTTGATTTGATTTGAACAAAAAACAAATCAACCTCTTCGTTAATCTAAATATATAAAAAATCAGATAAAACAGCAAACGAAATAAAATTTTGTAAGAGAAAGATCAAAAAAAAAGAAATCGAGCAAAATATACACAACAAGCCTACGTTTCGAATCGAATTTCTGGCCCATTCTCTCCACTCTCTCTCGCTCTCGCTCTCTCATTTGGACTATTTTGCTTTTTGGTTGCTGGTGTGGATGATTCGTTAAAAAAAAATTTATTCGAAAAGATTCATTCATTTTTCAGGAATCAATTGATTGATTATTGCAAAATTTCAAAAATTTTATTATTATTATTATTCACAAGTTGATTAATTGAATGTTGTTGTTATTGTAATTGTAATTATTATTATCATTGTTGTTGTTGTTGTTGTAATGATCATTCAACAAAAACGATATCATTGTCTATGGCAGACAGACTATTGAATAAAGCGCCGAAGAAAGATCAAGGCACCATCAACAACAACAACAACTTGAATAATAATAATAAAATTGTTGTGGAGACGTCTGTTAAACGTAAAAAACGTTTATTAAAATCATCATCATTATCAACACCGTCATCATCATCATCGACAACGAAAAAATTATCGTCAAATATTGTTGTTGTTCCATCTGATCATACATCATCATCATCAAAAGAGAGTAGTAATAAAAACAACAACAAAGACAAGTCCCGTTCATCACCAGTTATAACAAGGTTTGTTTCTTATTTCATTTTTTTTTGTTTATTTTCAATTAATTATTATTGAAGGTGATGAAGAGAAATTAATAATCATGGATCAATGTTTTTTTTTATATTTTTAATGTTTGTATTTCTCTTTTTATTTTTTTTTGTAAAAAAAATGCCACAGATCTCGATCTCGAAACATTAGCGAAATTTCTTGTTTTCATTCGAATTCGTCTTCGTCATCATCAATATCATCATTATTTTCACAATCAACAACAACGACAACATCGAGTAAAAGTGATAGCATTGTCGTCATAGAAGCATCATCATCATCATCATCATTACCAACAGCAATCACAACATCAACGTCAGTAAATAAACGCAGTACATTGATTGATACCCGTGAAAATAATAATTGTGCCATAAATCGTAAAAATACTGCTAAACGTTGCAAATTATCATCAAGTTTGGAACAAATCAGCAACGATAACAATACAAATATCGGAAACTCATTGGTATCATCAAAAAAACGTAAAGGTATTCATTTATTTGTTTCATTTATCGAATGATATTCATGATAGTAATATATGTTTTGTTGTATAATACAGTCATTGTTTCTAAAGATTTATCCACTAAGCCTACTACTACTACTACTACTACTGCTTGTAATAATCGTAATAACAAACGTCGTGTACAAACAAAAAACTTGAAACTGAAAACGGAACAAGAATCAATCGATTCGTTCACAGAACAACAACAACAACAATCTTCCTCATCAGGAATTTTGATTAGTAATAATAATAAAACAAAGAATAATCGAAACAAACGTTCGACTATTGAAACAAAGGTTTCAGCTAATAAGAAGAAACAGAAAACATCAGCCAGTGATAGTAAAAATAATTTGAAAAAATTATCAACAAACAATTCAAACGAAACAGTAGCAAGTGGTGGTAAACGACGAGCAGCACCCAGCAGTAGTATCATTAATCGTATTGTTATGGAGCAAAATGGTTCGAATTTTTCGAATGCAAACATAAATAATTCATCATCATCACAATCAACAAATAATGGCAATTCAAATGAAACAAACACAACAGCAGCACATCAACTTAATCCACCTGGAACTAGCGCCATATTAAATACATATGCAATGTCATCACCAACAGATAATGATACGGAAGAAAGTGATATGAATCGTTTGCAAACGATTCTTGAATCACGTGCTCTTCAACAACATTTTCTTGGTATTCCTCGTATGCAGAATCTATTCTATCGTTCGTTTAGTAGTTCATCCAATACAAAAGCTCAACAATTATTGAATGGATTAAATTCTGCTGCAAATGATTCGGAAAAGCTACATTATGTGCTAGAAATGTGTCAGATATTGTTGATGGGCAATGAAGATACATTAGTTGGTTTTCCCATCAAAGCTGTTGTGCCGACATTGATTAATCTATTGTCGATGGAACATAATTTCGAAATAATGCATCATGCTTGTCGCGCATTAACATATATGATGGAATCATTGCCCCGTTCATCCATTGCTGTATTGGATGCTATTCCAGTTTTTCTTGAAAAATTACAAGTAATCCAATGTATGGATGTAGCTGAACAATCATTATCTGCACTTGAAATGCTTAGTCGTAGACATAATAAGTCAATATTACATGCTCGAGGTGTATCGGCATGTCTTACATATTTGGATTTCTTTTCCATTGATGCTCAACGTTCAGCATTGAATATAACGGCAAACTGTTTTCAGAATCTATCACCAGATGATTTTCAATATGTTCAAGATTCATTATCCATTCTTGGTTCACATTTAACAATTGAAGATAAAAAATGTATTGAAAGTATTTGTTTGGCATTTTATCGTCTAGTAGAATGTTATCAAAATGATTGTGTCATAATCAGTGAAATTGCATCAAGAGAATTATTGACAAACATACAGAATGTTCTTATGACTAAACCGCCTATTTTAAGCACCGGACCATTTGTCAATGTGATACGAATGTTGTCCATAATGTGTCTTTCATGTTCACAGATTGCTGTCGAATTGTTAAAATTGAACATTTGTGAGACACTTAAATGTTTGCTATTGTGTGGTGAAAACAATAACAACAACAATAACAATAATAATATGAAAGAAAAAAATGATGAAATGAATTTGATTTCAAGAAGTCCACAAGAGATATGTGAATTGACTGCATTCATTGCTGAACTAATGCCTAGTTTACCATCTAGTGGAATATTTTCTATTGATACATTATTCTCCAAATCAAATCTTCAGTCTTCCGAAGTAGCCATTTGGCAATGGAAAGATGATCGTGGCCTATGGCAAGCATTCAATGTTGTTGATAATAAAATCATCGAATCGGCTCATCAGTCTGGCGAGGATGAACTAGAATTGGCAAGTTTAAATCGTACTTATATCGTTGATTTTAATTCAATGCAAAAAATTTGTGAAGATACTGGAAATTCGTATGCCATTCAACGAAAAACGAATACATTTACAAGTTCAGAGCTTCATGCTCGTAATACAATGCAGACAATCGATCCACGATCAGAATTCATTTATAATGAACATCGATTAAGTAGTAATTTCATAAAATTTGTATTTAAAGTATTATACGAAGTATATAACAATTCAGCTGGCTATTCTGTTCGTTATAAGTGTCTTAATGCTATTCTCAGAATCATTTATTATGCTCCAAGAGAATTAATGATTTCAATATTGGAAGATCAATCAATATCTAGTTCAATAGCAACAATGTTAGCATCACAAGATTTACGAATCGTAGTTTGTGCCGTCCAGATGTGTAATATTTTTATGGAAAAATTGCCAGACATTTTTTCCATATTTTTTCAACGTGAAGGTGTCATTCATCAGATTCGTAAACTATATTCAGATGAAACAAGATTTATTCATGGTGATAATAATAATATTAAATCTTTACAATTATTATCATCATCATCACGTGATATGTTGATGATGAATAATAATAATAATAATAAAACGCCATTATCATCAACTAGTGGCAATAATACGGGCAGCAGCATTGTATATACAAATTCACCGATGGCCATATTGGAAAATGCTCAAATGATTCTTAATCGTACAGCAAGTGAATCAATTTCGGCCGTTATAGAAAGCAGTCTTATGCCTACTAATTTTTCATCACAAACACATTCGAATACTAATCAATCATCAAAATCGTCATCATCATCATCATCGAATAATAAAATTTCGCAACAACAATCAGTACAAAATTCTGATCAACTTTCATCGGGGTATGTTTTCGTCGATAGAAAAAAAAATTTAAATTTATTTACTAATATTTTTTTTGCCATGATAATTTTACAGAAGAAATGAAGAAAATTCACGTCGAAAACGTACACGTAAAAGTATACCAGTTTCTGGGTCTCGTAATCTAATCAATTATGAACATTCATCAACGAATGAAAATAATGGCAATAATACAACAACAACAAGTGACAATGATTTAAACATTTGTAGTAGCCTTTCGACTACCTATTTGAATAATTTACCATTCTTGATGAGTGAAACAATTAATGGTGCCAATTTGAATATGACAGCCGGTGCTGTAACAGCAACCAATAATCATAGTAGTAAAAGTAATTCATCATCATCAACACGTTTAGGCTCCTCATCGAAAGATTTTCTACAACGATTGAATCCAACACGTTGGGCACGATGGACACAGAATTCAGTGAATCCAAATTCGAATGTCATTCCAACCACTTCAAATGTGACGGCCATAGCAAAAGAGATGGTAGCATCCACACAAAAATCTTCCAATTCGAATAAGGATAAGATTAAATCATGGATCAAAGAACAGGGAAAAATTTTCGATGATAAATATTTTCTAAAGACTGATGCAAATGAAAAAGAAAGTCATTTGTCATCAAATATTTTGGCCGATTTAAATCAGGCAATCAATTTATTGAAACAAGATTCTACTAAAGGATTGTTATCGATCAAAAACATTCTAATGGACAGTGATTTATCGTCATTTGAACTTATACACAGTGGTCTTGTGGCAAATCTCTTTTCATTCTTGACAATCAATACTACCGATAACATTATGATGGCCGAAAATAACTTACGAACATTTTTACATATATTTATTGGTGCTCCAAAAAGTGAAATGGCCGAAAACATTGATCAATTAAATTTTGATACAAAACCTATGGCCATTTTGGTGAATAAATTGAATGCTTGTGTATCACAGCTAGAACAATTTCCTGTACGGGTTCAAGATTATGCTGTCCATCCACGTAGTTCACATGCATTTAAAATGATAAATTCACATCTCTTGAAAATTAGTCTTAATCGTCATCCTTCGTGTACTAATCTGAAAAAATATAAAGGCCCATTGATCAAATTGGATCCATTCACAACGGTACATGCAATTGAACGTTATCTATTGGCAAAAGGTTATGGTCGTATCAAAGATAGTGATGATGATCAAAGTGATGATGATTTATCCGATGATGATACATTCGATATAAATCTCAGTTCCTCTAGTCAGATGCAAACAAGACATCGACTTCAATTATTGATTCATGAACATGTATTGCCTTATAATATATCCTTATATCAAGTAATCAAACAATTCATGTCTAATGACAACATTGATAATGATGGTGGTAATGGTGGTGGTGGTGATGATGGTCATCATCATCATCAACAACAACAAAATAATTCAAAATTTTGGGGTTCAACATTTCCCATCTATTATCGACTTTCAACCGATGCAAATACATTGAATGCTTCAACAACAAATTCATCGGTTTCATCTTCATCAAACAATATTAACAATAACAATAATGGCCGATCACGAAGTAAAAGTAAAAGTAAAACAAGTGCAAACAAAAAGAAAGATGAATTATGGCTTGAAGGACGGATAACGAAAAATGTATCTCCATTAGAGCCATATATCCGGAATAATATTACAATCAATGTAAATGCCAATGATCAATCGGTCGAAGTGATTGCACTATTACGAGTTCTATACGGTATCAACCGTTATTGGGGACATTTGTATAAATTTTCACACATCTATAATCCTGCCATACCATTGAAAGAATTTACGAATAATAAACTGACTGTGAAAGCTAATCGTCAACTTCAAGATCCAGTGGTCATCATGACTGGTGGTCTACCGAATTGGCTTTCTGAATTGGCATATGCATGCCCATTCATGTTTCCATTTGAAATACGTTATCTACTTTTCTATGTTGTTTGTTTTGATCGTGATCGAGCATTATATCGATTATTTGAAAATACCCAGGAATTTTCATCAAGCGATAATCGTGAACGTTTTTTGACGCCCAGGCTCGAAAAACGTCGAAAACTTATATCGCGTAATGAAATATTCCGTAGCGCTGAAACATTATTCAATGATGTATCGAATTCCAAATCAATGTTGGAAATACAATATGAAAATGAAGTCGGTACCGGTCTTGGTCCTACATTGGAATTTTATGCACTAGTATCGAAAGAATTTCAACGCGCTGAATTTGAAATGTGGCGTGGTGAAGTTTTGACTAGTAATATTAAAAATGAAAAACCCGATAATTTTGTCAATTATATTAATTCAAATTATGGCCTATTTCCTGCGCCGATTGGACGAAATACTAAACCATCGATTTCGACAAAAATTAAACATCGTTTCAAGCTGTTGGGTAAATTTATGGCCAAAGCATTGATGGATTTTCGAATGGTATTTATTTTACAAAATTCTTTTTCATTCAAATAATGGAATCTTTTTGTTTAATTTTCAATTATAGATTGACATCAATTTGAATATAATATTCTATAAATGGGTTTTATGCGAAGAATTGACACTTTCGGTATCGGATCTTTATCATCTTGACTATACATTTTTCTCATCAATATCACAAATGTACAAGATTGCTCAAAGAAAATCTAAAATGGTAAGAATTGAAATTTTGAATTTTGATTGTTGATTTAATATATTAATTTTTTCTCTCTAATACAGAATGTAAATAGCAATTCTGAATTGTTGAAATTGCAAGGAAGTTCTATTGAAGATTTAAATATTGATTTCATAATGCCTGGATATCCGAATATTGAACTACGTAAAGGTGGAAAAGATATGGCAGTCACGTTGAACAATTTGGAAAACTACATCGAACTGGTGTCATGCTGGAGCCTAATGGAAGGTGTAACCAAACAAATGGAAGCTTTTAAAGAAGGATTTAATTCAGTTTTTGAATTGTCTCGTCTTAAGCTATTTTATCCAGAAGAACTTCAACAATTATTTTGTGGTTCAGGTTATAAAAGTTGGGATCCAAAAACATTGATGGAATCATGTAAAATTGATCATGGATTCACACATGAAAGCCGAGCAATCAAATTTCTATTTGAAATTCTAAGTTCATATAATGCTGAAGAACAACGAAAATTTTTGCAATTTTTGACCGGGTTTCCGCGATTACCAATCGGAGGTTTCAAAAGTCTAAATCCACCATTTACGATCGTCAAAAAGAATCCTACTGAATCGGACAATCCAAATTGTTTGCCAAGTGTAATGACATGTGTCAATTATCTCAAATTACCTGATTATCCAACTGTCGATATAATGCGAGAAAAATTGAATATTGCTATTAGTGAAGGTCAATTTTCTTTTCATCTATCATAGATTGGCCACTAAATGATTAATTTTCGATGATGATTATGGGTCAAGGTATAAATAATTTTGATCTCGTTTCTTCAACTTTTTTTTCTCTCTTTCTGTCTCTAATTTTCTCTTTATAATGAGATATTATAAAAATAATAAATAAATAAAATTTTTCTCAATAAAAATTGAGTCAATTTTAAACAAATTTTTTTTATTGTTATGATTGAAAATTGATGGGGAAAAGTGAAAGAAAATGAACAAAATGAAAAAAAAACTGCTCACTGCAGCAATCAATTGATTACATGTTGCATTTTATAGTATTTATTGAAATCGATACTGAAACATAATTCACGATGATCATCTTCATCTGTATCGATCAATAATTCAAGAAATAATGAAATTTCCTTATGCAACATACGAGCAAAATTATGTAGCCAAAAATTGTAATTTTCTTCAATCTCTTTTCGATATTCATCCATTTGATCGTTCCAAAATCTTTCAACATTTTGATTATTATATACAATATCATTGATGAATGATTCAAGTTTATCGATGAATGACAATATCAATTTGTTGATAACATTATGTTGTCTGAGAAGATTTTCAAAGAAAAATTTTGCCATCAAATTCTGTAAGAAAACATGATGAATTTTGATTAATTTATTCAGATTTCTTGGCTGATCAAGTTCATTTTTCACTTGTGTCCATCGACTTTCAAGTAGATAATTGAAATATTGTTCAATTGTTTTTGTGAACGATAGAATTTGATATAATAAATAATTGAAATGATTACTTGATAAACGAAGAAATGATGCCATTCGTAATTGTGTGGAAATGTTTTTCAAATCAATCCAACATTTATTCAATGAAAATTCAATGGTTTTTGTACGCCAAAACAATGCAAATAATTTAGTATAGATCACTTGACTTTGTTGATTGAAAATGGTTCCAATTGGTCCATCGATACGATATTTTAGTGTCAATATATCCCAGGCATTTTCCATTGGAAATTGTGGATCAAAATAAATATCAATTCGTGATAGAATATCATTTGATTGTTCATAACATTGAGCACTAGTTTTTCTTATGGCATTTTCCAATGTTTGTGATAATGTATATGGGCGTATTTTATTCGCCGGTCGATTTATAATCGGAAACAATAATTCCATCAGATAGCTAATGAAATCACCTTGTTCAAATAGCAGAAAACGTTTATGTGCAATGAAATGTTCATATAATTGATATTTAGCATTCAATATATTCAACGCTGTTTGGCTGATTTCTTTATAAACATAATCCAATAGTCCGGCAAAATCATTGGCTTCTGAGCTATATTTTTGATCAAATAAAATTTCTAGATTTGAATTTTCAAATGAATTTTTCAATTGATCATATAATGGCAATACGGCCGATACACGATTCATACTAACTTCACGCAGCATTGAAATTGCTTTGCCAGTAATTAGGATTTTATATGCTTGTGCTTTGTTAATGAATCCAGGTAACATTGAATTATTGATTGAATATTGATCAAACCAGAATACATCACATAATGAAGTTGTGATCACATTTTTACCATCTTTATCATTTGTGCTGATAAAAAATTCTTTATATTCATCTTTCAATTCACCATAAAAGATCCAATGATTAAGCATTTTACGTATTGGTTTGACAACTTTGGATAAAATTTTTCGATAACATTCACGTACTAATGGATCACCATGATGCATCATATCATAAACAATACTGATCAAGGCACCACCTTTTTTTGAACGACATTTGCCAATTAAATTGATTAATGCTTCAAAACAGATGAATGATTCTGTGGTCCAAAAACAAAGCTTATGCAGTGTGACGGCCGTTTGTTCGGATTTATGGAAATTGGCTTGTATCGATGTCATTAATTTATAGAAATTATTAATCTCATCATTCAATGATGAACCAAAACTTTGCACAACAAAACCTTTAGATGTTGTATTCATTGATGTTTGGCTGAAAGTTTTGATTGTTTTGAAATTCTGTCCCAATACTGATAAACGTTTGGCAAAATAAATTTCATTCATATAGAATAAATCATTTCTTCCGAAAGTGATGGAATATTTTGAATCATCTGGTAAATTTATATGTTTACCATGAAGACCTTGAAATATTGATATTAAATCTTTGGCAAGTAAAGTATATTTTGATCTTATCTTGCCATTGTAATGATGATCATTCTCATTATTATTATCGGTATAAACATGAACGGTATGACGAGGGTTCGTTGTCATTCGATTCAGTGATTGATTATTTCGACCATCACCATTATTACCAAAATGATGTGAATGTCTATATTCTAAATCTAGATCATTTTTAGCAATTTTCATTGTTTCAATTGAATTTGAAATGGAAAATATGGTAGCACTATCATTGGAAGATGAATTTGACAACAGAAACAAACAATATAATAATTGTCGAATATTGAATGATTTTGGCAATGATGATTTTAGATGAAGATATAAATCTTCAAAACGATTCCATTCTTCTACGGATAATTTTTTTAAAAAAGAATGACGAATTTTAGACAGAATGTATTGTTCTTCACAATCTTCGATAGTAATTTTTTTCTTACTAATCAAATCCAATGAATATTGACAAATTTTATCAAAATTATCTGTTTAACGAAAAAAAATCGATTGAAACATTATCACGGATAAAAACTCCAATTTCATCATACCTGATTCATTAGGAACCAATGTGGAACATAAACGAGTGACCAACGAAAGTAATCGACGATTCGATTCATTTGACATTTCTTGTTCTCGATCGTTTTGATTCATTTTTATTTGATTCTATTTTCGTAATTTCAGAATCAATTAATTTACATGACAGATATTATTATCATCAGTTATCATTATTTTCTTAATTCAGTCAAGTCAATCTTTTGGTCAGTCTTGTATTTTTCGTGTTTTCGTTTTTTTTTTTTTTTTTGGTTCAGTCATTATGTTTATGAATGGATATTTTGACAAAAATTCAGACAAAAGCATCATACACACACACACACACACACACTTATTTTTACTATTAGCAACAGCGCACTGTTGGTGACCATGCAAAAATAATCGAAAAAAAAAATTTCATTATCATCATTCATCATTTATTTGTTTTACTAAAATTGTTTTGACCAAAAAAAAAAAAAAAAAAAAAAACAACAACTACACAACATCAATAGCAGCTCAATTATTATTATATTTAAATAAATTTTTTAAGAAAAAAAATTATTCATTTATAATCAATCAATCAATTATTATTATTAATAAATATATATTCAATTTAAAATGGAAAATCAAACCGAACAAGATTCATTATTAACACAATTTATAAATATAACTGGTAAGTAATATTTAGCAAAAATCTATAAAGATGTTTAAAAACTCATTATATTTCTAGGCGCCGATGAATCTATAGCTAAAAATGCATTAGAAGCATGTAATTGGAATGTTGAATTGGCTATGGATATGTTTTTGGATTCGAATTTAGCTCAAACAGCAGCAGCAACAACAACAACAACATCATCATCATCATCATCGGCTGCGGCGGCAAATAATCAATCAAACAATTCATCGGCGGCCAATATTATTACGTATGTTGTTTGTTGTCATCTGATTGTCATTGTAGATTTTATAACTGTTTTTTCTTTACACATATTTTATTATAGGGAAGAAGTTCGGCCACCTATTCCACCAGTTCGTCAAGTGCTTGTCGAAGATTATCCTCGTAATATGTATGCCAGTAGTAGTAGTGGTTTTGATGGTTTTCGTAATTTTCAAGAAGAATCAAGTAAACAACGATAATTGAATTTTCTCTGAAGAATTTAATATAACAAATTTTTTCTCTGTTATAAACAGGATGGCAAGAACAACAACTTAATGATGAACCTGAACAATCAATCGATTCAAGTAATAGAAGGCGAACATTTGACGATTTATTTCGACCACCTTTGGATCTTATATATCGTGGATCATTTGATATGGTATGTTATTGATTTGTTTCATCAAATTTTAATCGTTTAATCGTTTGTCTTTTTTTTTTTCTTGTAAGGCCAAATACGAGGGTCAACGGTCGAATAAATGGTTATTAGTGAATATACAGAATCCAAAAGAATTTTCCTGTCAAGTATTGAATCGTGATGTATGGAGTAATTCAGCCGTCAAAGATATTATCAATGAACATTTTATTTTCTGGCAGGTTTGTGAATCATTTTGGTTCTAACGTGAAAAAAAATTTACTAAATTCTGTAATTTTTCAGACCTATCATGATACACAACAGGGACAGAATTTTATCTCATTCTATCAGGTACATCAATTTCCATACATTTCAATTATTGATCCTCGTACAGGTAATTTGATATTTGAAATCAAAAAATCAATCTTTAACCTTTATTATTTCATAATCATAGGTGAAAAAATAATTTTTGGCATGAAATAGATACTGTTACATTCTGTGAAAAAGTTACACAATTTTTGAATGAACATCCATCACCAACAGGAAAATCACAAACATCGTCGTCGTCATCGGTTGTGGCAAATAATCCCAGTATTTCGTATGAAAATTTTCAAAAAGTAATTCACAATGACAAAAATGTTTTTCGTCAGCTAATGTTAAATTTTTTTTCAAACAAACAGCCAAGTCCTTATGAAGAAAGTGAACGTGAACAAATTGAAGCAGCAATTAAAGCCTCATTACAAGATATGGAAGTTCATAATAATCATGATGATGATGATGATGATGACGATGATTGCAAAATTGTTAAAAATGATTCAATGATTGAACAACAGCAACCAAAACAAGATGATTGGAGAAATTATTTAGGATCAGATGAAAGTAATAAAATGGAAATAGTCATACGATATCCGAATGGTAATAAAGAAAAGGTTATGTTTCCATCGGATTCAAAACTAAAGGTATGTAAATTATGGAATTTCATAAATAACAAATTCATTCATTTTCTGATGATTATATTAGGCTTTATTTTTATACGTAACTGAACATGGATACAATATGAATGAATATGATTTGATTACAAATTTTCCGAAAAAAAATCTAAGTTCATCCTATAATGATACGGCTACATTGGAAAATGTTGGAATTCATTCACGTGATACATTATATGTTCAAACGAAAAATTAAAATTTCTTCAATTGTGTGTGGTTTGTTGTTGTTGTTGATGTTGGTGTTGGCTGTGTGTGTGTGTATGTGTTTCTTTTATATACCAAATATATTATGGTAACAAAATAAAAGAGAAATATAAATATAAATATATTCAAATGTGAATGAATAATAAAAAAAAAATGATGATGGATACAACATTGATTGAATCATAATGCCATTTTTCTTCCTTCTATACTGATTGGCATTGCTCGATTCATTTTGTTTATTTTTTTCATTTCACGAAAATTTCGCAAATGTTTTTCAAATTTTGTTATCGGTTTTTTACTCGATATACGTGACATATCCACTTCGACTGTTGATTTTGGTCTTATGACATAATCTTTCATTGATGGCATCGGTACACGAGCACGTGGAACCCAACCTTTTTCACCTGGACGAATAATCCTGTTACACAAATAATATATATATTCAAAGGTTATATGATTCAAAATGTATTAAAAATCATCATTACTTTTGTTCAGTTTTTGCCATTTTTGAACTGGAACCACCTTCACCTGAATCTGATTGACTTCGTTTAAATTTGGCCATATTTTCAAAATCACGTTTTTCACGTTGATCACGGCTAATGGAATGAAAATCTGCATCTAAATTAAATATTGGCCTTGACCAATGTGCAATCAATTGACCAGCAATTCTTTTATTTTCTTTCGTTTCTTTTGGATGTTTATACAGATACATGACGGCTTTACCAATTCCACTTGCTTTAATACGATCAATATCATCAATATTGAATTCAACTAAAATTCGCAATAATTTTTCACGAATCTGTAAATGTGGTAAACTACCATCTGGTAGCCTAGTTAGCCAATCAGTGATTACACTTAAAACTCCTGAATCAAGTAATGCTTCACGAAAATCAATCTTTTTCAATTGAGTTTCAACTAATGGCATCATTTTCAATTTTCGTGTTGCAGTTTGACGATTACGATTCAATTCAAAATCCTCCTGTGATTGATGAATGAAATTTTTTAAAAAAAATCTGAAAAATATAATACAAAGATGATCACTCACATCAGCAGCTTGTTTCATTTCTTGTATTAATTCAGCAATTATGTCGTCACTATCATTGATAATGTCAATATTTTTTCTACGTCTTCGTCGTGAATTCATTTCTTTACGTTTTTGTAACATTATATCAAAGTCATACATTATATCACTAAATATATAAAATAAAAAAATAAATGGCAAATTCTTCCAAACGATTAGCAGTTACTCACGATTTTACATTTCGATTAACATCATCATCATCGGATCCTTCATCACTATCGGATATTTCAGGTATAGCTTCTTTGGCATTCTGTTCAGGATCTTCAACTTTTTCTTCATCCAATTCTTCTGATGGTCGATTTTCAAAAACTTCACCATCCGATGAACCATCTGAACCAAATTCTTTATCATCATTTTTTTGATCATCATCATCGTCATCTTTTTGTTCAGATTGTTGTTGTTGTTGCTGCTGCTGTTGTTTATCTTGCGATTTTTCTCCACCAACATCACCATCAAATCCTTCGAATTCATCATCACTTTCATCGCTATCACCAAAAATATCTCGAACAATGGTTTCGGTTTCACTCATTTTCAGAAAAAAAAACACAGATATTAGTAGTAAAAAATGAGAATAAGAATTATTTTATCGAAGAAATCGAAGAAAATGTCGAAAAAAAAACATTTGTTTACATTGATTTTTATTGCGAGACATGCATTCATGCAACAATGAGCGAGCCAGTCATAAATAACGTATAAAAATAAAATCAGTGATCGATCAAAAATTGTAAATAGAAAAAGCAACAATGATAATGAGACAAGCATCAACAATGGTGAAAAATCGTTTTACACATCTAATAACGATTCCATTTGTGAATGATGATTTTATTCAAGCATATCTGGATTTTAAACATAGAATATTGGAAGATAATCCTGATATTGATGAAATATTGTTTCAAAATCCAAAAAAATTACACATGACAATTTCTTGTCTATCATTGGATGATCAACAACGATTAACGATGGCACGTGAATTGTTTACAAAACAATGTTCAGATTATGTGGAAAAATTTCCCGAAATTCTGGACAATAAAATACAAATTAAAGGTGTTGATATCATGAATGAAAACCCTAGAAAAACGAATGTATTGTATGCAAAAATTGAAAATGAAAATTTACAAAATTTTGCCAACAACATAGCTGATGTTATGGTTTCGAATGGATTCCTGTATACTGGTGACAGACATGCAAATCTCAGTGGACGACAAAATGTTAAATTACATTTAACATTGATGAATTCATCATTTTTATTTCGTCGTAAAGATTTTTCACTAAAAAAACGAAAACCAATGAAACAAAGATATTTTGATTCGACTGAAATATTGAATAATTATCGTGATCATTTTTTCATGGAAATCCCAATGCCACCGGTTCAATTGAATGAATTACATCGAATCAATGAATTTGGTTATTACAATGTTGTTGAATCTATACATTTGTTGAAACAATAAAAAAAACGAACAAAAAAAATTTGATAAAATTCGAAAAAATCTCTTCTATTAATTCCGAGAAATAGCCAAAGATGTCGCTATTCGTTGATTTTTTTTCCATCAGGAAATGTGTGTTTTGACTCGTGGCTTATCAAAAACCAATCAATGTGAAACGATGCGACGTTTTTAATTTGTCAAAACAAAAATGCCCGTAACCGAAGTGAATGTTTCAAATTTATTTTCAGAATTGAAAAAATTTGAAAATAGTGGTGAATTTGATCGTGCACTTAAAGTGGTCAATAAAAGTAAGTTTATTTTTATTGAATTCTGTTTATTTTTGAATTCTGTTTTTTTTTGTTGTAAATTAGTTTTGGAAGTTGATTCGAATCATGAAAAAGCAATTCATTGTAAAATTGTTTGCCTCATACAACTGAATGAATTCGAAGAAGCATTAAAATATATTGATTCTCATAATGATAATAAAAATAAAAATGAAGAAGAACGACAAACGAATTTTCAGCTAGAAAAAGCATATTGTCTTTATCGTTTGAATAATGTTGGTGAATCATTGAAATGTTTGGATGGTAATAATGTATCTGATGATGATGATTTGGGAACCAATGAATTGAAGGCACAAACAGTATGTAATTATGGTTTTATTTTCGAGTAATTTTTTAAAAAAATCTAAAATTATTTAGCTATATCGAATTGAAAATTTTGAAGATTGTTATTCATCATATGTTGATTTGATTAAAAATTCAAACGATGATTATGAAGACGAACGTATGGTCAATTTGGCCGCCATCATTGTAGGATTGAAGCATTCAAATTCGAATATTAAATATGATTTGGCCAGTATTTCGAATTCTACATATGAAATTATCTATAATAAAGCCTGTGCATTGGTGGCCACTGAACAATACGCTAAAGCAATTGGTAAACTTCAAGATGCTGAAATGGTTTGTAAAAAATTTCTTGAAGATGATGGTGCATCCGAAGAGGAAATTGAATCCGAATTGGCTATTATACGTGCACAGATTGCCTATTGTAATCAACGTATGAATAAAACTGATCAGGCATTAAAATCATATAATGAAATTCTTCGGCAAAAATTATCCGATCAGGCATTGATTGCAGTCATTTCCAACAATATTGTAGCCATTCATCGTGATCAAAATCTATTTGATTCAAAGAAAAAGATTCGTATGGCATTGAATGAGAATGCTGAATCAAAAATGAGTTCAAATCAAAAACTAAATATCCATTACAATTATTGCTTGTTCATGATCAATACAAATCAATTTGATGCATGCCAGAAACATTTGCCGATTTTTCGTTCGAAATTTCCAAAATATGAGGCGGATGCTGTATTGATTGAAGCATATCTGTATATCAAACAGAAAAATCAAGCAAAAGCTATTGAAACATTGAAAAATTATTGCTTTTCACGGCGAAACGACAATACAACATTGACTGATTTAGAGGTTGCCCTGTTTTTAACCGAACTTTTGCTCAAACAAGGTGATCTTGATGGTTGTACAAAAGTATTGGAAAATTTAGATGAAACAAAATTCGCTAAATTGGCCATCGTTTCAATTCTGATTCAAATCTATGAAAAAATGATGAAAATTAAAGATGCTGAAAAATTATTCGATCAATGTATTGATTGGCATGAAAAACACAAGGTAAATGAATACACTGGGATGACAACAATTTATCGATTAATCAAATAATTTTAATTTCTAGAGCTCGAAAGCTACATTAATTTCATTATACAATGAAGCGGCAAAATTTTACCTGAATCAAAACAAACCACAAACATCAGTAAAATATTTGGAGAAAATTGTTAAACTGCAAGGAAAAAATCCAAAAATTATTTCCATGCTCATCAATGCATATTCATTGTTCGATGTACAAAAAGCTAAGAGGTTTGTTCATCCATCAAAATTGAAAAAATGATCGAAATCTCATTCAATTTTCATATAAACAGTTTACAAAAAGAACTTCCATCCATTGAGGAGATTTTAAATTCCGTTGATATCGAACATTTGGAGAATAAAAATTGGTCATTAGGTGTTAAATATGTGAAAAAAGTGAAAGATACACCGAAAACATTGGCAAAAGAAAAACGAAAGAAAACAAAACGTCGAAAAATTTTACCCAAAAATTTTGATCCTAATGGCCCACCACCTGATCCTGAACGATGGTTACCAAAATATGAACGATCGAATTATCGTAAGAAAAAGGATAAAAAAGCTGGTGTTGGTAAAGGTACACAAGGTGCCGTCGGTGATATGTAAGTTTCAATTTTTCAACATTTTTTTATAAAAAAACATTCAATTAATTCATTTTGTTGAACGCGGTAATAGGCCTGAAATTAAACCATCACCTAAACCGGTTACATCACCAATGGGACCAAGACAACAGCGTCCAACACAAAAAAAGAAGAAAAAAGTTGGTCGTAAATAAATGATGAAAATCTGGATATTTCTATATTATAGATTTTTATTATTAAGACTAGAAGTAATAATATTTTATAAAAAACACAGAAGATATTATAGTTCAAAGTTTGTGTGTCATCAATCATCATGGTCATTATTGTTTTTCAAATGCTGCAACCAAGTCTTTGACTGTATGTGAATTTTCTGTCGATGATTTTGATATTGATACTTTGGCTGATGATGATGATCGTGATGGTGGTGGTGGCGGCGGGGGTGTTTTCGGTGGAGATCTTTTTGGTCGGGTGATTTGATTGGAATTTGGCGTATTTGTTGATATTCGGTGATTATTGTTGGTGGTTTTAGTAATACCACCATTCATAAGAGGATTACTATTGTTTGTATCAGTAGTATTTGTTTTTGGAATGAATGGTGGTGGCGGTGGTGCTGGTCTTACTGGTTTAATGGTCAATTCAGTTTCAATTGGAACCGATATGTTTCGATTGATTGGATTCATTTTTGGTCGACGATTATTATAGTCTTTAGCGATAAATGCTTTTTGACCGAAAAAATTTTTAGGAAATTTCAATGGTTTTTTGTGTATGAATAAAAACCAAAACAACAATAGGAATGGTGATAATATAAAGAAAAGATATGTAAATATTAATAATATGTTTGTCGATGATTGTTGTTGTGATGATTGACATTTATCATCATCTGGATGACGATCACAATGTGAATTTTGATATTCTTTCACTTGAACACATTTTTGATCCACACACATTTGATTTAGGCCACATTTTGCTCCATTAGGAACTAGACCAATATCATCTTCATTGAGGCCAAGATCAATCATTGCTGAAAAACATGTAATCGAATCACGATGTGATTCAAATTTCTGTGATATAACCGTTGAACCTTCTGGTCCATATTTAAGTGTCAGTTTTCCATTATTATTTCGATTTGTACAATGTAATCGGCCACAGATTATATCATCTTTACGATGACAACCAATAAATGTTTTAGTTTTTTTATCATAACCACAATTACCACTACTATTAGCATTGGCATTATTCTGATAACAACGATAGCCTGAAACCTGGCTTTCATTACCCCATAATAAATGGCAACGATTTTCTCGGGTTTCACATTTTCCATCAAAACAATAAGCATATCCTTCATTACATTCGGTGCCATCAGTTACAAATTGATTAGCGGGGCAATTTTCACTGTGACCATCACATGTTTCGGCTGGATCACAAATCGATTTCGATTGACGACAAATAAATTTTGAATGTTTTGCAATCAGTTGGCAGGTTGTTCTATCACAACAAACACCACCAGAACATTTTGCATGGCTCATTAATTTACATGTGGTAGCGTTACAACATTTGTTCGTACAAAATTCTGGTAAACCACAATCACAATCTTCACCAGAATCAATAATACCATTACCACAGCTTGGTCGAAATACAACATTTGGCTTATTCATTAGACAATAATCTAATCCATGTTGCAATGATTCTTCAAGCTGTGAAATCGAACAACTTGACCAATGGCGTGGATGTGGAAATGAAGATGATGGACCCATAATACAGTTGTTTGCTTTACAATGACATCCATCATTATCATGTTCCATACCGAAATTATGGCCCAATTCATGGGCAATTGTCGTTGCAATTAAACTGATACTCTGTGAACAAGAATTAATTTTTAAAATTTTGCTATAATTTTAAAATAAACACAAAATTTACCTCATGATAATCATAATTAACACCGCCAGAATATTCATAAGTGCTAAATGGAATTTTGATAATTATTTTTTGTTTATATATAGAAATTACAGATAAAATGATTATATACTAACCACATGGTTTGTTTCAAGGCTTTCCCAACGATACCATTTTCAAATGGAGATGCCGTTATTAATTGAGCATTGTCATTAGGAATTTCGTTCATTAATTTATCACGTCGATATTTAAGAAAATTATTCAATGTTTCACTACTATTATTGCTTAATATAATTTCATTACGTTTAGTCCATACGATAACACCAACCAATACTATGGATATATTGAATGGGCTATACAATGCATTGACAATATTTGCAATCTGTACATTTCGTTCGAATAAAAATGGCAATTTTTCTTTATATTTTCCATACTAAAATAATGAAAGAGAAAAAAAATTGCAAATTATCTATATAATAAACATCAAAAATCGTCACAAACCAATTTGAGATCGTTGACCAAAACCATTTCGACATAACGTTGTTGTTGAAATAATTGTTGATTTTTCACATTTAAAGCTCGTCGTGATCGTTTAGAGGAAATGGCTGTTGATGTAATCATCGTGGTATTGTTATCATTGTTGAAACCTATAAATTGAAAAAAAACAAAACAATTAATTTTGTTCACAATGAAAAAGAAAAAACAATTTCAAAAACCAACCACAATGATATGTATTGATCGTCAATGGATTATTTATAAATATTTTAACTTTTTTTGATTCTTTTTGTTGTTCTAAATGATATTCAACATCATTCAAAATGAAAATTCCATTTAATTGATTATCACAGAATGATATGGCAGCAAAGGAAGACGATTGTGATTGTTTTACATTAACATTTCCTTTATAATGACAATGTTTCTATATATATCGAAAAAATGGCAAAAAAAATTAGCGAAAAATTAATACTCAAAATCTAAATATCTTACATTGGTTTCATAATCATTTTCAGGTGATTCATGATAATTATTAGAAATGAAATAATTTCTTATGAGATCTATTGTGAAATTTTGATTAAAGGCAGTAAATTTGATTCTCAATTCTTCATCATTATTGGAGAATCTTTCAATTTTTGGTTGTATTAATTCAAAATCTATGAGAAAAAAATCAATCAATCAATTTGAAATTCGAAATAGAAAAAAAAAACTTACCAAAACAGGAAATTCTCTGCATTTGATCGCCAATAATGATGGCCAAAAATAGTAAAAAGAATGATAGATACATTTTTGATAGATGATAGCTTTTCTTCTAAAGAAAATTGAATCTAATTATTTTTCCAATGTTTTATGTAATCATCATCATCATTATCATATTATCAACAGAATTTGAAATGATCAAATGAAGAATTGTTTGTATTACTGGAATGGATGAAATTTCTATTTCTTCTTGGCGAAGTAATCACTTATCATGAAATCGAATTTGAAACATGAACAAACCACTAATGGTCGAAATATAATAGTTTTGGTTGATATATTATGTTTTGTTGCGAGAAATTGTTATATCACACAATGAATAATGGACGCGATGGCGACACATTCTCACAAATTAATTGTTGTTGATGATGAATGCGATGAAGAAAATACGAGAAAAAAACGAAATATACACACACATACACACTCTGTCGAGAAATATTGAAAAATAAAAAAAAAAAAATACAGCTACTGTGCAATGATGATGATGATGAGTCAATGGAAGAAGCCAAATTGCGGTTGAGTGCAATCTCAACAGAGAGCCAATAACACAATAACGATGACAAAAAAAAATGCAAAAATTTTTTCGGAAATCAAAATTTGAATAATGCACGCTCTCTCTCTTTTTCTTTACGATTGTTATGTCATTGTTTTGATGAAATGGTAATAATTTTTTTTGCATAATTTTCATTCAACCATCATTCGAATATTACCTGTTCCGGACTATTTTTTCTCTTGTGATTGTGACCAATCTCGTTTTGGTTTAGTTTAGTTTAATTTAGCGTCTGTTTTTTGGTTGTTGCTGTTTTTTAAACTTGATCGATGATGATGATGATGGTTTTAAACACCACGGTGTACGATCAACATTGCAATAGATGGCAACATTAAATATACGAAATTCAATATTTTCAATAGTCATATTATATATGGTTAATAGATTAAATTTTGTCGTATTCAATCCAGTTTGACGATCTCTTCTTCTGGTTATCTAAACATTATAAAATGAGAAAAAGAGAAATAGAAAATTTTTCATTGCCACCAAATACGAGTTTTATCGACATATTACCTCTTTTTGATTGAATAATTTGGCTGTATCACGTTTATAGATATTTTGATCATGAATATGGATAAATGTGTTTGATTGATTTGTTTTTATATTTTCTGGTCGATAAATCTAAATGATTGAATGAAAGAAAACAACAGCTATTAATGATGATGACATTAATTATATATTACCTGAAGATTTGCTTCTTTAAGTCGAGCATAGAATTCATCATCTGAAATTAAATGACAATTATTATTATTATTATTTGGTGATAATGATTCATTATGATGGCAAACAAACCTTCTAATCCCCATCCAAAATAATTGGTTGAAAATCCATTAACTAATTTAAAATGTTCATTTGTCATAAGCAATATTCCGCCAACATATGTTTCATAATGATATTTTGGATGAAGATCTGGTGATGATACATGAAATGGTCCACGAGCTGGAAATCCATATGATAATTGATCATTCAATGGTAATAGATCAACATCATGCATAACAATATATGTACAGGAATTTTGGGCTAATTGAAAACCAATGTTGATTAAGGCACCACGATTAAAACGATAATTATCAATTTGATTTATGACAAAAAATTCATGGCTAATATTTTGTCTATTTAAAAATGAATTTATATGCGGTATAAATTGTAATAATTGATTGAAACGTTCACGAAATGGTATCAATATTGCTAAATGATTTACATCATGATTCACATTCGTGATTGTTCGAGTTGATTTACGAATCGAATTTATTAATGTTTGATGTTCAACATAAGATTGTAGACATTGTGATTCTCGATTCAAAATGAATAGATTTGAAAATATGATAATGGTAAATATGGTGAACAATATCAATATGGAAATGGAAACATTTTTCAATGATAATTTAATCATTTCATAAAATTTAAAAAAAAAACAGATGAATTTGAAAAAAACGAACGATTCCAAAATAACAACATAACGTCATCTGTGAATATTGAACTCATTTCATTTTTTTTTTTTTCATTGGCTTTTTTTTTAGCATGCCATTTTGTATTTTGCCGACACGCTCATAGAAAAAAAAGTTCATTGAGTTTGGCTATTGTTTTTTTTTTTTTTTTTTGGTTGAAATTTCAACAAGTTCCAAACGACAAAAAACCGATCCAATTTGAATATCATGGCTTTTCATTGTGCATTAAGCAATGAAATACCTGAAGAGCCTGTAATATCACCACATTCTGGTGCTATATTTGAAAAACGTCTCATATTGAAATATTTGGACGAGAATAAAGTTGATCCAATTTGTGGTAAAGAATTGACTGCCGATGAATTGATTGCCGTAAGAACTGCACAAATTGTTAAGCCAAAACCACCATCAGCAAGTAGTATACCGGCACTTTTGAAATCATTACAAGATGAATGGGATGCTTTTGTATTGCATGGTTTTAATATGCGACAACAATTACATACAACAAGACAAGAATTATCATATGCATTATATCAACATGATGCTGCTTGTCGTGTTATTGCACGTTTAACAAAAGAATTGACTGCTGCACGTGATGCATTGGCTACATTGAAACCGAAATCATCTACATCAGTTATTAATAATCAAACACCGATGGCTAATAATGATATGAATGAAAATAATCAAGATAATGATCAAAATCGTATGGATGATGATACAAATTCTGGATTACGTAATGATGTTATTGAAAAAATATCCAATAAAGCAGCTATATTGACAGCTGAACGTAAAAAACGTTGTAAAACCATTCCAGTGGATTTAACTAAACCAGAAGAGATAAGCCAATTTAAAACCATATCATCACAAACTGGACTGCATAGTGTTAGTATGCCTGGAATTGTTGCATTGGATATTTGTCCATCAGATTCAAATAAAATGATTACTGGTGGCAATGATCATAATGCCGTTATATATGATCGGAATAGTGAACAAATTGTTACCGTTTTGAAGGGACATGGTAAAAAAGTCAACAATGTTATTTATCATTCGAATCAATCAAATGTAATAACAGGATCACCTGATGCACAGATTCGTGTTTGGTCAGTACCGGAATCCAAAACACTTCAAATAATACATGCACATGAATCACCTGTTACATCGATTAGTTTACATGCTACTGGTGATTATTTACTTAGCACTTCGAATGATGAAAAATGGTCATTTTCGGATATAAATACTGGCAAAGTTTTGATTAAAGTTGGTGATCAAACAGCTAATCATTCATTGACAACGGCTAAATTTCATCCAGATGGTTTAATTTTCGGCACTGGAACATCAGATTCATTGATAAAAATCTGGGATTTAAAAGAACGATCAAACTTGGCAAATTTTCCTGGCCATACTGGTGCCATATCGGCAATGTCATTTTCAGAGAATGGTTATTATCTGGCTACATCGGCAGAAGATTCGTTGATAAAATTATGGGATTTACGTAAATTGAAAAATTTCAAAACCATAACATTGGAAGAAGGATATCAGATTAAGGATCTATGTTTTGATCATACTGGAAATTATTTGGCCATTGCTGGTACCGATATTCGTGTCTATATTAGTAAACAATGGGAAATGATAAAAACATTTGAAGATCATGTCGGAATTGTTACTAGTGCACGTTTTGGCCATAATTCCACATTCATTTGTTCAGTCAGTATGGATCGTTCATTGAAAATTTATTCCACACACAATTAATTGATTCATTTTTTCACATAAACACCAACCATTCTGTAATTCGGAATCTTTTCTTTTTTTTTTTGACAAAAACATCAACAACAAAAAAAATCAATTATCATCTATTATATCATTGCTTGAATAAATTTTTGAAACTTTTTCTCTTTTTTGCTAAATATTTATTGATTATTTATTAAACATTTTCGATAATCGTTGATAATCATCAACATTTTCATAATCCAATGTTTTTTTACCCGTTAATGGATCGATTATATTACCAGATTCATAGACAATTTTTTCCACACGATAATCAATATCCAAACGGAATCGTTCATCAAATTTACGCAACAATACCCAATCACCTGGATTACAGACATTATCTTGATCATGTGCTAGAATGGTTTCATTTTCACGAAAATGTTTATTTAGAAATGAATCAAATTTCAATTGTGGTATCAATAATCGTATCGTATTTTTTTTGGCTGTTGAAATACATTTTCCAATTATTAATGATGATGACATTTTTGGAAGATTTTTGTTGTCTTTTAATAAAAATCGATCAAAATTAGAAATTTGTATGCAAGAAGAATTTGTTGATATATGATCAGCATGGAATCATCCATACAATAAATTCATCAACCAGATGGCATTCTAGTCGCGAAAAATATGGTTTCCTTTACTATGCAGTTGTGAGCACGTGTGTGTTTTGTGGTTTGATTTTTTTTTTTTAAATTCAATTCAATTTTCATCGAACAAAATGGTAAAACAATTTATCTAAATTTTCTCAAATTCTAATGACAGGCTTTAATTTTTTTAAGGTGAATAAACTGTACGTGTTGTACGAACATGCTGCTGGCTATGCACTTTTCAAAGTGAAAGAATTTGAAGAGATAGCAATGTTTTTGCCACAGGTTGAAAAAGCCACATTGAATGCTGTCAAATTTAAAACATTTGTCAATTTGGTTGCATTTTTGCCATTCAAATCTGGTACAAATGCATTGGATAATATAAATAGTTTATCCGAAGGTATCATACATGAAGATTTACAAGCATTCCTTCAAACAAATCTTCCACAAAATGTGAAAAAATCGAAAATTATACTCGGTGTTGGTGATGCAAGAATCGGATCGGCAATCCAAGAAACATTGGGCTATAATTGTCAATTTACTGAAATTGTTCCTGAAATATTGCGTGGAATTCGTTATCATTTTCATGAATTGATTGAAGGATTAAGTCTAAGTTCGCTTGGTTCAGCCGAATGTAGTCTTGGTCGAAGTTATTCACGAGCTAAAGTAAAATTCAATGTTAATCGTGCCGATAATATGGTCATACATAGTATCGGTCTTGTCGATCAATTAGACAAAGATATCAATACATTTTCAATGCGTTTGAAAGAATGGTATTCATATCATTTTCCAGAATTATCGAAAATCATTACCGATAATCATATGTATGCAAAAGTGGCACAAATTATTGGTGATCGTAAAGAATTCATTGCTAATGAAGATGACACAATTACGCAAGAACGTTTGGAAGAAATTATTCAAGATTCATCCAAATCAGCTGCTATAATGAGTGCGGCTAAATCATCGATGGGAATGGATATTTCAAAAATTGATCTCATCAATATTGAATATTTTACCTCGAAAGTTATTTCATTGGCTGAATATCGTAAACAATTAATGGATTATCTTGTTTCTCGTATGCACAATATTGCACCGAATTTATCTGCTTTAATTGGAGAGACGGTAATGTATTTTCTTTCTTTCATTTTTTTGATATTTTCTAATCTAACGACGTGTTTCGATTAGGTTGGTGCACGTTTAATATCACATGCTGGAAGTTTAATAAATTTATCTAAATATCCTTCGTCCACTGTTCAAATATTGGGTGCTGAAAAAGCATTGTTTCGTGCATTGAAGAAAAAAGGTAATACACCTAAATATGGGCTGATTTATCATTCAACATTTATTGGACGTGCTGGTAATAAGAATAAGGGCAAAATTTCACGATTTTTGGCCAATAAATGTTCAATAGCCTCAAGAATCGATTGTTTTGCCGAAGATGCTACTGATGTTTTTGGACAAAAACTTAAAGAACAAGTAGAGGAAAGATTAAAATTTCTGGATACAGGTACTATACCGAAGAAAAATTTGGATGTCATGAATGAAGCAATTGAAGAAGCTGCCGTTGATATTAAAAAACGAAAGAAAAAATTGAAAAAAGAAAAGAAACGAAAATTGGCAGAAATGGAAGCAGCCGAAGAAAGTATGATCGATATGAATGGTAATCATGAATCGGCGGAAATGTTGGTAGCCAACGATGGTGAAGAAGAACAAGAAGTGGTGAAAAAACCGAAAAAAAAAAGAAGAAAAACAACATAATGACGATAGTGTGATGCTCACGGCATAGAGAATGTGTTTGAAACTTGAATTTTTTTTTTTTTTGTTTTTTTTTCATTCATTCAATATATAATCAATCAATCAATTTTATTCATTACAACGATTTATACAATTCAATTCAATGCTTTTATTTCATCATAAACAATATCGATTTTTGAACAATCCATAATAATTGGCAAACAATTCAATAGATTTGTATAATAACGATATTGTTCCAATAAATCTGTTGCAAAAATAAATAATACAATCAATATTGTTGTTAATACAATAAACGAAATTGTTGCTATTATTCTTGATGTCATTGATTTACTTTCATCTGGATGTACAATGGTTGTGATCAGAAAACCGTATATAAAACCAAATACTAATGAATAGATATCGACAAATGGTAATAAAAATCCAGGTACAAAAAGTATAAATAATGCAACAAATATTTTAAGCATTATAATCACTTTTCCATTAATGTTTTGTTGTCTATAACATTCAATGAATAGAAATGAAATTAGTCCCAACAATGATGCATTAGGTCCTACTTCAGGTGTTAATGGTAGAAATATTGCACTGGCCATATTACCACCAATACCGGATAAGAAATAAATCAATACGGTACGCCAAATACCCAATAATTGTTCCAATCGTCTCATGAATACATATTGTATTACTAGATTTATCAACAATTGAAACCAACCAGCATGTATGAATAATGATAAAAATAAACGATAAAATTGATGTGGCCATAATGAATCACCACAAACATCTTCCATACAATTCACTTGTGAACAAAGACTAGCATGAGGATGATGATGACCTTTGATGAATTCACAATATTCTTTTGATGCAAGTATACATTTACCATAGATTCCAACACAACAAGGACGAGCTTTACGAAACGACAAAAATATTGATTTACAATACACGAATGGTAAACAAAAACAAAAAAAACTTCTTACCTTGTACTTTACATTTCATATGAAGATCTTTAGAACGATAGATTGCTTCATTATCATATTGATTACAAATAGGCCAATCGGTTATATTTTTTTCATAACTAATGTTCATTGATTTGTCCATACAATAACGAGGATCATTACCACATACAGGTCCGGATCTATTGGGCCATTTAATCCAGAATGAAGTTCGATTTGAACATTGTGATTGTGCTGTTTGAACACATCCGCTTAGATCATTTCGTAGACAGCAACCATATTCATTTTCTAATGAATTTCGCATTTCAATTGATTTCATTATATTCATATCTCTTCGCATACATGGTGTAAATTTTACACCTGCTGAAATTAAATCCGAATAACTTGGACCATACCATATATTTGGATGTTGATAATAGGTTGCTGGCTATGTGTATTCAAAAAAAAACAGAAAAGGATTAAATAACGAAAATCAAACGAAAAAATTATTGATTGATTTCATACCTGAAACGAATTGGTCTGGTGCCAAATTACTTTTGAAACTTTAGTCTCCGTTTTACCACATGGAACAATTCCATAAGTGGACAAATAAATCATAATAAACAATTCCATTGCAATGAGCCAATAAGTGAACAAAGGCCACATTTCACCTTTGGCACGATTTTTCCAAAAATTATTGGCAAATTTTAATCCTAAACATCGCCAAATGAATCCAGATCTTTCACGTTTTAAACGATAAATTTGTGTTTGAAAATAACGGTCAAATAAATCATGATGATCATTGTTGGATAATTTTAATTTTTTTGCCGCTTCATTCTGTTGGTCAATGTTGTCAAATAGATAATCTTCTTTGCATCGAACTACCAATGCACTTTCAATATCTTGAAAACGACATGGTTCATCATTCGTACATTCTGTATCAGTTGTATCATCAGCATATTTTACATTTTCATCATACTTTAACTAATTGATTGCAAAAAAAAAAAAAGAAGTGAATTACAATGAATTAAGAATTAAGCCATGTCATACGGTTCGAAAATTATCCAAATTTAAAGAAATTGCAAATTCTCCATCGTTTTCCTCATCATGAATTCCATTCGTTTGTGACTAGATTATGTTTAGATAGAATAAAATTTTTTTTAGATTAGAATCTAATAATCTAGAATTTAAAAAAAAAAATTTACTTTTGGCACATCATTCATGGACGGAATCGATCGATGTTTTTTAATCTTTTTGTTCTTTCCATATCGAGAAAGTGTATGATGAAGTCGTTGTTCATAATTATTTTCTTGTTTTTTTCTATTAGAATTTGACATTTTGGATCGGATTTACAATTGCAAAACATTACGATCAAAATTTCAAAGAAGATGCAATATTTTTGCTAAAGTAAACACTCATTTTTGTTGGATTTTGTTGTTGTTGTTATCGTTAATTTGAGATTATGTTGGATTTTCGATTTTCAGTTACTCTTTTGAAATTTCAATGATGAGAATGATGATGATGATGATATGATACTATGACCATGACGACTCAATTGTCATTGACTTTATGGCCAAAAGATGGCATTGTTTTATATTCGATTCTATTTCGAGCAACCATTATTTTTATCATCATCACGTTTTTAATTTTTGTATACAAAGTTCGTGTAATCATTATATTCTAGTTTTTTTTCACTATTTGATTTTTCGTCGTTGAAACAATAATGGAACGTCGTATTAAGCTAAAATCATTAAATCCATATATTACATGTAAAATATGTAAAGGATATCTAATTGATGCTACAACCGTTACAGAATGTTTGCATACATGTAAATTATATATTGGCAACATTTTGAATAATCATCAACAACATTAACACTATTCTTCTTTTTTTTTTGTTTCATTTTAGTTTGTAAAAGTTGTCTTGTTAAACATCTTGAAGAAAATAATACATGTCCAACATGTAATATAACCATACATCAATCACATCCATTACAATATATAAGCTATGATCGAACATTACAAGATGTTGTCTATAAAGTTGTTCCAGATCTACAGCAAAGTATGTCGGCATTATTGTTTTTCTATATAAAAAAAATTTATCCAAAATTTTTATTCTTTTTAAAAAAATAGATGAAATCGAACGTGAAAGAGAATTTTATCGTTCACGTGTTATGCCATATCCAAAATCTAATCTAAATTTAATTAAAATGTTAAAAGATGGTAATTTGAATCATCCAAGTCAATGTACAAGCGAAAATTATCATCGTGATGATGAACAAATTGGCATCGAATTAATAACAAGTTCAGAAGAATTAATTAAACAGATAAAAGCAAAATTTATTCGTTGTTCATCACAATTGACAATAAATCATTTGAAAAAATTTATATCAAAATTGATCTATAAAACTACCGATAAACATAAAGACGTAAGTAGTGTTTATATTCATATTTAAACATTTATTTAATTCCATTTCATTCATTCATTTGTTAAAGATTGATATACTCTATAATGAAGAATTACTTGGTAAAGATCATACTTTGAAATTTGTTTTTGTTACTCGTTGGCGATTCAAGGTAAATATAATATAAATAAATACATTGTTGACTCTATTAATTTCATTGTCTCTATTTTCCTTTAGAGTGGACCATTAAAATTGTATTATAAACCATCACATAATTTAATTTCATAAATTTTTTTTTACATCAACTCATTTTGAATTCATCAATTTATCATCATCATCATTTTATTTAATTAAAAAAAAATTCATTTTTTTCATTTTGTATATTCGTCCATTTTGAATGGATCCTCGATTTTTTTTTTCAATAAATCAACAATAATAAAAATTGATGATGGGTGATGGGTGTTTGATTGATATATTGATTTGATTGATTAATGATTTAAAAATGTTTATAATCATCGATCCACTTTGATTCTCAAATATATTATTTGATTATGACAATAATTTTCGCTGATAAAAGATTAACGATCTCAAGTTTGCTCTCTGGCTTATGATGATAACGCCATCATTTTTTTTTGTTTTGTCAAACATTAATCAATAACTCATTTAGTGTTTTTCATAGTTTACTGTGTGTGTTGATTGATCATGAATTTTCCAAGATCAGAAACCGAAGAAAATCTGGTCCAATACGACCATGAACAAGAACAAGAACAAGAACAAGGACAACAAAATGATGTTGAAGAAGCGTCATCATGTTTCGGAAATATTTGCCATCCATCAAGTCGAACGCATAGATATTTTGTCCTGATATTTATGTGTTTTTTGGGTTTCGGTAATTTTTTTTTTTCATCAGACTACATAATGATTCTATTCTATATTCATTTATTTTTCATTCGATAATGATATCATAGGAAGTTATTATTGTTATGATAATCCGGGAGCATTACAACAACAAATCATAACTGATATGAAGATTGATGTCAGTTCATTTTCTCAACTATATTCCTGGTATTCATGGCCACAAACAATTTTATGTTTTTTCGGCGGTTTTCTCATTGATCGTGTTTTTGGTATCCGTTTTGGTGCCATCATTTTTGCAACAATCATTTTCATTGGTCAATTGGTTTTTGCCACTGGTGCTTTACTTGATCATTTTTGGCTTATGAATTTTGGTCGTTTTATGTGAGTAATAATTTAAGTTTGTTTCGAAATAAAGTTTTTTTTTCGTTTGTTTTTCTGGATAGATTCGGTATCGGAGGCGAATCATTAGCAGTTGCACAGAATACTTATGCTGTCAGTTGGTTTAAAGATAAAGAATTAAATATGGTTTTCGGCTTACAATTAAGTATAGCACGGGCCGGAAGTTCAGCCAATTTTGTTTCAATGGTTTCAATATATGAATTTGTTAATAAACATTTTCATGGCTATAAATGTCTTGGTATTGCTTTATTGATTGCTTCCATCACATGTCTTTTCTCATTAATCTGTGCACTGGTATTGGCTTATTTCGATAAAAGAGCAACTAGAATGTTGAAAAAAGATACGATTATGGTGGATGAAAAAGTCAATATAACCGATGCAAAAACATTTCCATTATCATTCTGGTTAATAGCATTTATTTGTGTTTCATATTATGTTACCATTTTTCCATTCACAGCACTTGGAAGGTAAGTGATATTGATTGATATGGAATAAATAACGATAATAATAATAACCCTGTTCATTTTTCCTGTTGCATTTTTGTAGTTTATTTTTTCAACGAAAATATGAAATTGGACAAAAAGAAGCAAATTTTTATGATTCAATCATATATCTTATATCAACATTTGCATCACCTGTACTTGGTATTATGGTCGATATGACTGGAAGAAATTTATTCTGGGTATTAAGCGCCACATTAATAACATTGATTGCACATGGAATGTTGGCATTCACATTTATTCATCCATTAATGGCTATGATCATAATGGGCATTGGATATTCGGTATTAGCTTGTGCATTATGGCCAATGGTTGCATTGGTTATACAACAACATCAACTTGGTACAGCTTATGGTATTATGCAATCTGTACAGAATCTTGGCTTAGGCTGTGTTGTATTAGCCGCTGGTTATATTGTCGATTCAAGAGGATATATTAGCCTGGAACTTTTCTTTTTATCATGGCTATGTTGTAAGTAAATTAAATTGTGTAAAAAAATTCTTTTCATTCATCATTTTAATTTTGTTTTTTTTCTCAGTATGTTTTTTCATTATCATTATTTTATATATGGATGATAAACGTAAAACAGGTGGAATGCTTAACATGTCGGCTAAACAACGTAAAACTTATCAAGAACAGAATCGAATAGCGTATGTTTTTTTTTTTTTTTTTTAATAATTCATTTAATTAATTATTATCATGTGTCAATTTATAGAAATACAATCGAATCTGAATCATCGAATCAGGATAAAAAAGATGATTAGACATGCATACCACTTGGACACATTGATTGATAAAAAAAACGAACAAACAAACAAATCATCATTGACCGTTATAATCGATAGGAAATTCCATTAAATTAATTAAAATTCAATAATAATATTTTTTATTTCAATAAATTTTTGATTTTTTTAAATTAAAATTTTACACGAATTACGTACTTTATGATGAGAACAAATTCGAATGTTTTTTTTTTTGATTACATGTTCGACATTGACGTTTGATTCATTAATTCGATCAATCATCAATTGTTATTGATTGAATATCGTCATTGAAAAAAAATCATGTCCGATTATACTTATTTCCAGAATGAAGACGATGATGAAAATAATAATAATGTTCAAGATGTTGAAAACAATGAACAAGAAATGTTACATTCGACTGCAACACATGATCAATACAGTTTTGATGAAATTGAATCGGTTCTTTTCATCAGTTATCAAGATCATAAAATAGCTTTTGCTTTTTATCATATTGGTTCATCCAAGATTGAATTATTTCATGAAATGTATGAATTTGAAGATTTTTTGGTCACTCGTAATGTATTGGCAAAACTTCAGCCATATAATGTGTTTGTTGGCACACAATGTGAATCAAAATTATTTTGGCTTCTAAAAAAATTATCATCAAATTTACGTGAAGAAATAGTGACAGTAATGATAGATGATGAAAATGATACAATTAATTCTAATGAGCAACAACAAGAAGAAGAAGAGTCTATACAATTAGATACTACGGGCAATGAAGACTATGCCACAAATTCAATGATCAAAAATGAAGATGAAGAAAATTTGTCATTCGCATTAGAAGGTGATACAACATTGAATCTACTGCAAAATAGTTTTAAACTTCATGTTGTATCATCGAAATTATTCAATTATGACCAATGCAAATCACGAATTGTATCGTTCGATTATAAGCCAATTTCACATCTAAGTGATAATACTATTCGATACATTTATCTTACATCACATGTTGATTTTTCCGAAAAAAACAGCATTCGTTCACTTGGTGTATTGTTATTTTTCATTGAAAAACATTCATTGAATCAATCATCAACATTACCTCTTAACACTACTAATATCAATAGCATAACGGATATCGTTTATTTCTTTCTCGATTCATTTGTATCGATTGATCAAACAACATATGAAGCTTTAGATATTTTTAAAAATGAATGGCATCCATCACTGTCGAAAAAAGGATTGACAAAAAAAGAAAGTTTCTCCCTATATGGTGTATTCAATTCATGTGCCAGTAAAATTGGCTCGAATTATTTGCGTAAAATTTTTCTTCAACCAATTACCAATATTGACATTTTAGAAGAACGATTGAATATTGTCGATTTTTTCACTTGTCAAGAACAAACATATCTCAAAACAATGATATATGATTTTCTTAAAAATATCAAACATATACCACCGATAATTAATCGTTTTCGTTCATCAAATTTTCAAATTTCCGATTTTCGTATATTACAACAAAATCTTATCAGCGTTATATCGATAAAAAATCTTGTTACTAATCGTTTAGCGAATCTGGAGCAAAAACCAAAAATTTGTGAAGAAATAACTGATCATTATATAATTGTTTTGAATGAAATTCTTGAATGTATAGAAAAAACAATCGATTTTGATAAATCCAAAAATGATGGAAAAGTTGCAATCAAAACCGGTATCGATGAACAATTGGATAAGAAAAAATTCTATTTCAATAAATTACCGGAAATTCTTCGCAATGCTATTGCTGAAGATACATTAATCAATGATTTGATCCAAACATATAATATAAACATTACGCTTTATTATATTCCACAATTGGGATTTCTACTAAAATTATTATTGATTGAAGCGCAGAAAATTACCGATATCGATAAATATGGATTAAGATTTTTGTTTTGTGCCGAAACTGCTGCTTATTATAAAAATTCAAATACAGATCAATATGATTCTTTATTCGGTGATATTCATGGTGAAATCAATGATCTGACACATCAGAATCTTGTGAAGATTAAAGAATTCATCATTGAACGTATAGATAAGTTATTGGTGGCCAACAATTATTGTGCATTTCTTGATGCAATGATAGCGATAAGTCAAGCAGCAATTGATATGAATTTCAATCGACCAAAACTTAATTGTCAAGGCACAATTAACATCTGTGAAGGTCGACATCCACTTTATGAATTAATAACACGATCATTTGTACCAAATGATTACTATAGTGACAATCAATCATCAAAAACAATGATCATTTTTGGTCAAAATGGTAGTGGCAAAACTGTGTATTTGAAACAGATTTGTTTGATAATTTTTCTTGCACATATCGGTTCATTTGTTCCCGCTAAATCGGCTGAAATTCAAGTGGTGGATAAAATTTTCACCCGAATCCGTACGCCAGAATCAATTTCAACACAATTATCATCATTTAAACTTGATCTTAATCAAATGATTGCGGCAACTAAATGTGCTAAACGTCGTTCATTGGTTATAATCGATTGTTTTGGCAAAGGTACACTACATGTTGATGGTTATTCATTGCTCAAAAGTTTTATCGATTATTGGACCAATAATGACCAACAGCCATATCTTATCATTTCAACACATTTTAATATGCTATCAACAACAATGATTGATCGAGATAAAGCAGTCATGGGCCATTTCGATAAAGAATCACAAGATTATAAATTAAAATTATGTGAAAAAAATGCCAATGAAATAACGACCGTTCATACAGCTCCGGAATTGATTGATTTATGCCATAAAGTTTATGATGAACAAGAAAAAACGGAATCAATCACAGAAATGAAAAATAAATTTCGATCTTATATACAACTTGCTGATATGGTCATAAATAATGAACCAATCGAATCGATCAACTCATTGGCTAAAGATATAATTTCAAAATATCATACAAAATGTAAATAATCATATCATCATCATCATTCTTACTCACCATTTTATATATTTCATAATTTAATCTTTTATTTTTTTCCATTTTTTTCAAAATAAATTTAAGAATAAAGAAAATATAACATAGAATATACTACAAGATGTGATCATCATTGTTGGTGTTTTTAAAAAAATAATAAATACAAAAAGCACGTGATTATTTTTTTCGGTAAATTAATAGAAATCAAGAACAAGAAAAAAAAATAATGAAATTAAGGCCATAGATGAGAAGGCAATGAACGATGATGATGGTGTATGGAAAATGTGAAAATCATTTATGTGAACGACAATATATTGTTGATCAACGATGAGAGAGAAAGTGAGAGAGAGAGAAGTAAATGTTGTTTTCTTTTAAAGACGACTAGGTGCACCACCAAATAATCTTTTATATCAGTTGTTGTTGTTTTGTTTTAAACGAAAACAATACAATTCTAATGACCAGAAAGATGGCTCATTAATTGATTGATTGATTAAAGTTCATTTTAATCTTCTTCTTTCTTTTCAGGTTTGAGATCAACAACAGAATGTAAATCTTCTGGTTTACATCCTAAAAGACTTTGTAGGTCACAAACAAAACGATAAACATAACGTTTACCAGCCGTCTTATGAATAATATTTTTATCATAATAATAACGAAGGCCACGACTTAATTTTTCATAATTCATTTTTGGCTTATTTTTTCTAAATAAATTAAATAAAAAAAAAAAAAATAAATACGTATGTGTGTTTTCGATAATTAAAAATTCATCAATAATTCAATAATTAATTACCTAATACCCCAACGGCGTGCTACTTCATCGGGATCGGATAATTAAAAATTCATCAATAACATAATCTTCCAATAATTAATTACCTAATACCCCAACGGCGTCCAAAAATCAACGAATAATTCAATTTAAATTCCCAACCATCACCAGTCCATGAGATGAAACTTTGACAATCTTTATCAGTTAATAATTCAAGCAAAAATTGCCACAATTGTATTGGTCCACTACCTGCTTATTATTATTATTAGTTGTATTAATATGCAAAATAATCAATAATGAATGATTTGTTATTAGAACGAAAAAAAACAATGAAATTCATACCTGCTAGAACTGCTGCTTGAATGAATGGTTTTCCATCTATAGATGACTGGTGAAAAATATTGGCTCCTTGATGTACACCATTCGAATGTATAATATTATTGTTGACCATTGTATTCAAACCGATTTGATCACGACCATGAATTGGTAATGATTCATAATTGGCATTCATATGATTTGGAACTAATGTATTAATATTCGGTGATGGTATCGTATTTGGCATCAATGTTGAACCAATGGTTGAACCAATATTTGCTAAATCATTTGTGGGCCATTGTTCAGGTGATGGTGTATGCGGTATTGATGATGGTGTCATTGTTGAAAATGAATTTTCATATTGGCCATAATTATCAATCATACTGGGTAGCTCATTACCCGTATATCGACCTAAGTGACATTTTACAATGAACAAAAAAGAATGAACAGGTTGCAAAAAAAATGAACAAAAAAAAATAATTACCAAAATAATTATGTGGACCTCTATTGAATTTTGGTTGATATTGTTGAGAGAATTTACCACTATCAATCACCATTGTATGAGCTAAATAGAATTCTGAATGAGCTTCCAAATAATGATGATGATTATCATTATTATTATTATGATGATTATGGTTATGATGATGACCATTTGTCGAGGTAGGCAAATGTTGTTGATAAGTTTCAGCATTTTCCGTTTCAAAGGATTGATGATGATGATGATGATGATTATTATTATTATTATTATGATGATGATTTGATTGTTGATGACGATTCATGGCGATCATTTTATCTGCATTATTATTATTATTGCCAGTAGGTGATAATTCATTCATTGAGGCAATTGATTGAGAATAAGAACCTATTAAAAAAACAATGAAAAATAGATATAAACAAAAATGATAAAAAAAAAAAAAAAATCAAATCATTACACGCACACAAACAACAACAACAACAAAAAAACATTTCATACATGATTTTCGTATATAAAATTGACAACAACAAGTTAAACGATTCAACAAGTGGTTGTGGTGGTCCATAAATAAATTGTCCATTTAAAACCACCAACATCAAAAAAAACGATGACAATGATGATAATAACCGATAGTTTTTTTTTTGTTTTTGTTACCCGAAACAACAACTAGACAAACAGGCGTTGTTTTATTGATGAAAATGTGATTTTTAGAACAAAAAAAATTTTTTTTTTTTTACTATCGTTATCGGGCATTACACAATCATTATATAATAAAAAAATAATGATAAAGATTTCAAATTCAAAATTTCTATTTGTAAACTAATTATAATCTCGAAATCAAAATGAAATCCAAAATTTAACACTCTATCCAATCACAACGATGATGATGATAGTGTGTCCATGTAACTAACTAACTAACCAAACAACCCGATATTCATATGCTTATTCGTTTTTTTTTTCTTCTTTGTTCTTTCATTTTAATATTTTTTATTATTATTATAAACATTATATAATGTTTTGTGTGTTCTCGGATATTTTTTTCTTTTCCACTGTTTTTTTTTGTTTTTGTTTTGTTTTGTTGACACAAGGCGCGCGAAGGTCGGACATTTTTGAATAGAAAAAAAAACAACATTTAACATCATCATCATCATCATCAACATTCAACTTAACAACATTCATCACATATATAAATGGTACGCCATAGGAACAATGTATACACACACACACACACACACGACAACTACGGTGACGACAAATATCATCATCATCATCATCAAAATATATTTAGGCGCGTACTTGTTTTTCATTTCATATAGTCGAAATACGGACCAACCAAAAAAAAAAAAAAAAATACATATTGGATGGATACCATGGATGCTAAAATTGTTTGTGTTTATAATGATCTATAGCTTTAAATATATGTTATGTTGTGTGTGTGTGTGTGTTTGTCAAAAAAAAAAAAAATCTTATTATTATCAACAACGACAAACATCCGTTTATTGTTCCACTTTTGGACACTCATACACACACACACACACGAAATGGCGACGAATTTTTTTTCGCTTTACTTCGCTATTTAGTACAATATAATGTGTATGTGTAATGAACAAATGATTTGTTTGTTTGATTGGCTGGTTTTTGGTTTTTTTTTCTTCGTTTGATTTGGTTTGGTTGTTCATTGATGTTATTCGTGTGCCTTTTTTTTTTTTTTGATTTCGCCTTTTGAAAACATTTACAATTCAACATTTTCTATACTAAATATAGTTTTGATGATATAAATTCATTTTCCCATTCTATATGGTGTGTGTGGCCGAAAAATGTTTTTGTTTTCATTTTTTTTTGCTGTTGTTCATATCATCACAAAGATCGAAAAAAATGTCAAGTTATTAACGGATTCCGTTTATGAAAAAAAAATCCCGATCAATTGGATCAATCGATCGATCGATTAACAATCATCATTGGCATATAGCAGACAATTTGTTATAATTTCGATTGATTTGATTAATCTATTAATTAATTAATTGAAATCTAGTTTTTGAATTATGTAATTTATATTTATAGCTAAGTGGCCAATATATGATCAACACAATATCCTAGTAATTGAATAATAAATGAATTGATGATGATGATTAGAGACACGCGATCAAAGCTTGAAATCTAATGTTTCACATAAATAATATACATCAAAAACCATGATTTTGATAAAAATCAATCTCAATCAATTCAAATTGCACTTGATTAGTGGTGGTTGTTGTGTTCAATTTGAAAAAAGGCAAAAAGAAAGAGGGAGAAGAGAAAATTCTATAGCCTATTATATTATGTACATGATTCAATGAAAATGATCTAATTAAATTGAATTGACTCAATTAAAATCTAGCTTGCATGCTGTGTGTAAAACGATTCTTATGGATAATAAATGAATTGATGATTGAATGAATCACTTACCATCGATAAAATTTGATAAAGTTGTAATTGCCATCGGCGTTGTTGATAAAGATGATGATGATGATGATGATGATGATATAACATCAGGCATTGATGATGTCATAGGCACATTCATTATCATTGACTTGTTATGATTATTATTCGGATTGTTGTTGTTGTTGTTATTATTGATAGTATTTATTGTTGAATGTTGTTGTTGTTGTTGCTGTTGCTGTTGTTGTTGTTACATTATCCGTACACGATGAAATTATGTCTGTATTTTGTTGTTGTTGTTGCTGTTGATTATTAGTTATTGATGTCGATGATGAAGAAGATGACGATGATGATGATGATTGTTGTTGTTGTTGTTGTTGTGAATGATGATGATCATTAAATGGTGATGAATAAATAACATCAGATTGATGATGATTTAAATGTTGAAGATTATCATGATGATGATTATGATGATGATGATGAGAATGATTATGATGACCAATAACAATAGGATCAATATTTGTTGTCGATGATGATGACGACGGCGATGTTATTGGTGGTGGTGTTGTTGTTGTTGTTGTCGTTTGTAATTGATGTTGTTGTTGTTGAAAAAAATCATTAAATTCTGTACCACAATCAATATAATTTGCTGTTGTTGGAACGTTATTATTATCAACTATTGATCCATCGGAATCTATTTGGTTTTTTTTGTTGTTGTTGTTGGTGGTAAATAGAAAAAAAAGAAAAAAAAATTATCGATAAATTGAAAATGAAATATATAAACAAAACACCAACAAAAGTCATTTAAAGTTTGGAAAAAAATGATTCAAACACTCAACATACACACACACACACGCACATAAACACATGAAACCGGATGTAATTAATTAGCCATTAGCTAGCTGTACATGAATGTATTTGAATTGTAGTGAAATGGATATTGAAAATTGGACAAAAAAAAACAACGAAAACAAACAAAGAAAAAAAAAATTTCAAAAACTAAAACTTTTCTCTGATGTGTCTAAATTCTCAAACTATGCTCCTTATCAGATCAGAATTTTTTTTCGTTTTGTTTTCGTATTTCTCTGAATCTCTCTGTGTTTGTGTCCATTTCACATCAATGAATCATGTTTTTTTTTTGGTCTGTTGAATTGAATCGCCAATACAAAAAAAAATGGTCATCAATGTACTACACCCATGTATATATATAGAGAGAGAAAGAGAAAATGAAATAGAAAACCAGAATCAAAAAAAAAAAAAAAAACAGAAGCCAAATAAAAACGGCGCAGAAGAAAAAAAAAATGTATATCTATTACGATTTTGGCTATATAAAATGAACTACGCTGTATTTTATTTTTTTGGACACCCTTATACATCACTACTATACCACCATATTACACACACACACACACCATCAAAAATAGAGAGAGAGAGAGAGAGAGATATTTATGATTAAGGCGGGATTGATGATGATGATGATGATGTCTAACCAAAAAAAAAAAAAAAAATTATGTGTGAAAATTGTAAATTATCATGTTTGTGTAGGTGGAGCTTCAATAAATGTGTGTGTGTGTGTGTGTGTGTGTTTGTATATGCGCCATATGTAAATGGTGTTTGAAACGGAAATGATGAACAAAATTAATTTATTCTTACCTCTAAGTAATCGATCCAAATGTTCCCAAAGTATATCACCAACATATGGTGGTGTTTGAGCCAAAAACATTTCTTTACCCATTTCACAAATCATTTTACCGGTCATTAGAAAACTTTGTGCATCAAATCCATCAAGATTAAATTCTTTTATAGCCCATAATAGCCAATGATTTACATCGGATTCAGACCATAGCTGTGGATCTATTCATTAGTGATTTAAAAAAATAAATGAGTGAAAGTTATTTTTTTTCCTATTCATCATCATTACCTTTAGGAATGTTGAATTCATCTCGTTCTTTTTCCCAACTAGCAAAACTGGCCGCTAATGCTTGTGACATTTTTTGATTTGTACCCGGCGTCAATGGAGGCACTTGTATTGGTAGATCTAAAATTTGAATATGCATATGTGATTGATTGAATATCAAAAGAGAAAAACAAAAAAAAAAAAAAATTAAACCATAAAACATATCCATGATACAGAGATAAAATTAATCATCATCATCATCATTTATAGTCAAATTGTGAAAACAAAACAAAAAAAAAAAAAAAATCCAAAACAAAAATCCGAAAAACACACACACGGTATATTTCGGAAAGTCAGAAAAAACCGCCGACGCCGCTAATTAACTAATTTATCATTTCATTATCATGACTGTAAATGAAAACAAAAAAAAATCATCATCATTTTTTGCCACTGATCACAAATCATCAGTTAATCGACTAGGCAATCATCTATGATAAAACAAAACGAAACAAAACAAAATCCAAAAAAAAAACACACACACACACACACACACAGAAGCCTATTTTATTTTACCATAAACATTTCAGTTTATCCAAAACAGCAACAATAACAATAAACAAATCAGGTCAACGCATCATAATAATCCATTTTACATTCACTAATCACAAGCATACACATAAAAAAACATATCGGCTTTTTTTTTGTTGTTGTTGTTGTTGTTGTTGTTACAAATACAAAAGAAAAATATTACGTAATTTACATTGAATTGGCCATTTAATAAAAACCCAAAATGAATTTTTTTTTTTTTAAATGCAGTGACATTTAAATCTGTGCCATAACTTAACGGTGAAAAATAACAACAACAACAACAATGAATTGTGATAAAAATCAAAATCAGAAAAAAAAATTAAAATCAAAACAGATGGCCAATGATCATCATTTTGTTGTTGGTTAGGGTAAAAAATGAAAATTGAAAAACAAAACACACAAGAAAAACGTTGGCCACCTGTTGTATATATGTGAATGTAGAAAAAAAAAAATTAAATGGACACACGACATTTACGTATCATCATTAAAAAAAGGTAGCTAGTTAGTCATCGTCATGGTCAGGTCAGGTGCGTGTGTGTGTGTGTGTGTGTGTGTGTGTGATCAAAAAAAAAAGTCAAAAAAAAGACCTTGGCGACATTTTTTTTACTTTGTAAAAAAAACATCATCATCATCCAAGGCCTTCAAAACACATCACACACTGTACAAAGATAATTGATTCAAACGGTGGTGGGCTAGTAAAGAACAGAAAAAAACCAGACGATAAAAAAAAAATTCGGTCTTATAATAATGGGTGATGTTTTTGTCGTTGTCGACATTGTCATTTTCGGGATAATTTCATTGTCAATGAAAAAAAAAAAAAAAAAAGAAAAAAAATTTTTTTTTTGCAAAAAAAAAAAATTATTACAGAGTGAAATTAGAAATAATAATGAAAAAAAAGAAAGTTAAAAAAACAAGAACAAGGTCAATTCGATTGTATATACACGCTTGAATTATGGCCTTATGACACACACACACACTTGTATATCAAACACACACGAGTATATTTCCAACAAACCACCACCACACCACCACTCATCATCATCATCATCATCAAAACCCAGAACCCAATGTCTTGTCATGCATTACACGGAATTGATGGCCAGATATAATAAACAAAAAAAAAGGAAACGAAAGCAAAAAAAAAAAAATTCCATTATAAATCTGAAAAAAAGAACCGAACCAAAGAAGAAAAAAATACACAGAAATGTCACAAACAAAGTAAAATAATAAAGATCTAGAGTAGATGATTTAGTGTGGTTTCAGGTGTGTGTGTGTGTGTGTGTGTGTGTAACATATGGCTGAATTTTTTTTTTGTTTTTCATTAGAAAATAAAAACAACAAACAAAAAAACATTACCATTGTACAAGTGATGAGTGGATTACAAAAGATGAAATTAAGAATTATTTCATCAATTTTAAAACAATTAAAATGGTAACAAAACAAAACAAAAAAACATCAAATGGCCAAAACAAGCTGGCTAGCTAGCAAGCAATCATCATCATCATCATCATGATCCGGTGATTATTATTATGATGATGTCAATTGGCCAGGGTTCAGTGGTCACACACACACACACACACGAGCAGAGATTCTTTACTAAAGTTTTCAATTTTTTTTTATTTTGAATCATAAATCAGTTGATGTTAGCCGACGACACACACACACACACACACACACACACACATATACGAAATTATCGTATAGAGATCATCATCGTCATCAATATGAATGGACAAATGAAAAAAAAATGGAAAATAAAAACTAAAGTTTAAACATAATTTCCGGTCTTGTTTTTTTTTCTACATTGATTTTTTTTCTGGTGCGTGTGTGTGTGTGTGTGTGTGTGTGACCAATGAGCCAATGAGCCAGACCAAAATGAGTTTAAAACTACCACCACCACCACCATTGAACTATCCTCTTTAATTTTTGTTTTGTTTTGTTTTGTTTTTGTTGAATGAATATCTGGCATCTGGTTTGTCGATGTCGATGTGGTCATGTTGTAATATTTTAGTTTTTTTTACCAACCCCCCTCATTTGGCAATATGAATTCAAAAAAAAAGATAGATAGATAGAGGCAAACAACAAATGTTTCGAGGATAGGGGACAATATCGTCGTCATCGTCATCGTCATCATCGTCGTTAGATCCGATGACAATTGACCCAAACGAATATTTCGACATCAACAACAACAACAACAAAAACAACTTGCAAAAATAAATGAGAAATTAATTGCCACTCACTTGTACTTATATTCAACTACTATACTTTACATAAATTTCACAATAAGGTTTCCACCCTCAATTTTTTTTTTTTTACTAATATTTACGTTTGGGTGTGCTTGATGATCAAAAAAAAATTTTTTTTTTGTTCTTCACAATATTGCACTTACTCGTAGCATCCAATGATGATGATGATGATGATGATGGCAATGGTGGTGGTGGTGGTGGTGGCGGCGGTATTAATAATAAACAATTATCAAATCTATCTGATCGTAATGAAGATGTGGATTGTTGTAGTTGTTGTTGACTTAATAATGCATAGGTAAGATTATAGGCTGCTGCAGTTGCTGTTAATGGTATTTGGGGCGGTAGTGGTGGTGGTTGTCGTAATGATGACATTGATTGACCACCATTAGCCATATTGATCAGTTTTTTGTTTTAAAAAAAAATCAATTGTCAAAATTCAAAACAAACAAACAAACAAAACACTTTTTTTTTGCAAAATAGCTAAAACATCAAAGTTAAAATCTAATACTAAACTAAACCCTGTATACAAAATTTATAAAATAAAAATAAAGCAAATGAAAGAAACAAAAAAAAAAAATGGATTGAAATTTGAACAAAGAAAAAAACCTTGGTGATCATGGTTTGGAACAACAACAACAACAACAACAACGAGAAAAACCAAAAAAAAAAAAAAAAAAAAAAATGCATAAAAACCACTTATTCACACATCATATTTACACACAGACACACACACACATACAAGCAGCAAATACAATGGTAAAAAAAATAGACACAAAAACCCAGAAAACAGAAAAAAAAATCATAAATTGAAATCATTTCATCAACACTTTCGCAAATATTACCAAAAGAGAGAAAGCTGAATAAAAGAGAACAACAACAGATTAGCATAAATTTTTTTTTTTTTTTTTTTTTTTTGGTGAATAAATGACCACCACCACCACCATAACAATAAATATTTGGCAATAAACCAGACACAGACAGTTTATAGAGACTAATTAACCATTGGTTTCAATTCTGGAGAATACAACCAGAAAAAATTCATCATGATGAATGATTGAAAACTTGAAACAATTTGCTGTTATTTTGTGAAATTAATTTTTATATGAATAAAAAAAAAACAAACTAAGCACTGTATTTTTCTTTTGTTTTATTTTTATTGCACATATCGATTTCAGGTTTACCACCTGATCTAATTATCAGATTGTTAGATCTAAGCATAGGTATGTGTGTGTGTGTGTGTGTATTTCCCTCAAATTCTAATCTATTCAAATGATCAACAACAACAACAGATATGAAAGGTGTTTATTGGCAAGCATTTTTTTTTTTTTTGTTTTGTTTCATAAATCAAAGAAATCAATCTTTGAGAGAAATAATCTTGGTGGTTCAAAAAAAAAAAAAAAGAAAAACAAAGTAAATCAATTATAATCATCCAAGCCTATCACTTTTACATTCACTCTCTCTCTCTCTCTCTTCTCTTTCTCATTCTCACTCACCTATATGTATGATACCAATTATTTCACATTTGACATTGATACATTTTGACTATGGCAATAATAAACACGTGCTAAAATTAAACACGTATTATGCAAATAAAAAAAAAGAAAAAATTTTTCAATTGAATCTAGAATTTGAATAATAGAAAAAAAATGTACAGAAAAAAAATCGTTCAATTTTGAATTTAATTTTTTTTTTTTTTGATTTCTGAATCAAAATTCATTGGAATCGATAAATGGGAAAAAAACAACATATACACACACACACACAGACAGGAAACAGTGTCGTGCGTTTTTCTGGCCAAAAAAAAAAAAACAAACGATGATGATGAAAAATGAGAATCATTAAAACAGGAAATTGAATCGATACATACGTAATTATTAAAGTGAATGGGCAATAATTATTTGATAACAAAAAAAAAAAAAAAAAAAAAAAATTGGATGAAAACAACAAAAACAACAACAACAAGCCAGTGAAAAAAAAAAAAAAACGAAATACGAAATACTATTGCCCACCACTTGTTGCTGTTGTTTGATTTCAATTTTCAATTTCAATTGTCATAGTTTGACGTTTGAAATTATTATTATTTTTTTTTCTTCACTAAAAAACCAAAATTCATTCACAGTTAATGTTGTTGTTGTTGTTGTTGTCGGCGTTATATTGTTGCTAACCGATATCATTTTCTTCGGTTGGACTGTTTAGGATCCATTTTTTATTTTGTTTGTTTTGTTGTATGAGAATTAATGTTAATGAAAAAACCTTGAAACTCTCTCTCTCTCTCACACTCTATTCTGTATAAGTACGAAATGATTTCATTTCAAAGATCAAAAAAAGGGAGATTTTAAGAATTGAAATCAATCAAATTTTAGCCAATTGAACAAATAATATTGATTATGTAAAATGAGCTCAATGTATATGCGCGTGTTTTTTTTTTTGATGAGATTAATTTATTCATTCATTCATTTTTTTCTGGCAAATTAACATAACCGTGACCAGATTTTTTTTATGATGAAATAACCGATTTATCAGAAAAAAAAGATTTAACACGTGCTTTTTTTTCGTTAATCGCCACGTCTATATATGTGTGTGTAAGTGTATGAAAGCGAGCGATTATACACTTGACACAAATATTCATTCATTCATACAGAAAAACAAAAACATAGCCAAAATGGCCATATTTTAGATAAACATAAACAAAAAAAAAAATTTACATATTTTTTTTATGCGAGGATGATGACAATGATTGTGTAATTATTATTTGGCTAATAATAATGGAACAACAACAATTTAAAATTACAAAATTCAACAACAACAAATCAAATCAAACAATTGAAATAAACAAATAAAAACCCTACCTGAGAGAATGGCCGAAAAAAAAAAACATCCAAAAAACACAAACAAAAAAAATTTGTCGTCGTCGTTGTTGTTGTTGTTGTTGTGTGTTTGCCGAACAACGGCAATTGCTCAAATGATGATTTTTCTTTTTTTTTTTCATTATTCGACTTGATTCATTTATTCGAGATGAGCTTTATTCAATGAACAGAACAACAACAACAACAAAAATCATGTAAGCCACAACCAGATAAATAAAAAACAACAACAACAACAACAACAACAACAACAAGCATATATAGAACATGTACATTTATGCATTTTGAATTGAAATTCTTATCATCATTTTGGCAGACCATCGAATTTTTTTTTGTGTTTTTTTTTGAAAATCCAGAAAGGAAATTGATCACCACCAACGATCGATCGATAGATCGAACAAACGAATGCAACTTGTTTGTTAAAACGAAAAACATTGCACACACACACACACTTGTTGTTGTTGTTTGAAATACAGTGAAAAAAATTTTTCTTTCTTCTCATTTTCATCTTCGGTTATTTGTTTCAATTTTTTTATATATCGTTTATATTTGATCAATATTTTTGTCTGTTGTTTGACAACGAACAAAACAAAACAAAAAAAACCAACACTATAAACGAAATTGTTAGAAAAAAAATAGTTCATCATCATCATCATCATCATTATTTTTCATTATGATGAATGCAATTATTATTACTAAAAATCTGGGGATTGTATGATAAGCTTGCACATACAGAAAGAGAGAAAAAAAAATTCTGGTCAACCAAATTCACAAATCAATCGATTGATTGATTGAATGATTAGCATATCAATCATGATTATTATTATTCTGTGTATGTGTGTTCGATGTGAGATTAACAGAACACACACACACCAGTTGAACATATTTTATCATTTGGAATTTATATCCATGACAAATTAGCCATAATTATCGACATTTAACACCATAACAAATAATCATCAAGCAAACTGCAGTCTCTACATCAGTTCGATCAGGCTCATTAGCTTCAGAAAAAAAATGACTAAAGCCAAGCATAAAGTTAAAGAAAGAAAAATATGATCCATATACAAAAAAAACGATTAGAAAAGAAAAAGTACTCAAAATTTGAATTCATTTTTTTTTTTGCTCTGAGATTTCTATCACATTATTTATCCCAAGCTATCTATATATCTATCTATGAAACAGAGAGCGTTTGTCAAGCATGTGTTCAAGGTTATTCCACACACACACACACACACACTCAATATGTTGATGAAATTTGAATACAAAAAACATGCACACAGATTTGAATAGACTGCGTTATAACCAGAAAAATAAATAAAAAATAAAAATCCAATCTACATGTTTGATTGTCTGACTGCCATCTATCCAATTGGATTTGGAACAATAAAATGAAAAAAAAAAAAAAAAACTTACCACCGGTATAGATATCACTATTATTATTATCATAAATATCACTTAATGATGGAACTTTTTGTATACTACTTGAATCCGATGATATGGATGATAATGATGATGATGATGATATTATATGATGATCATTCATCATCATCATTATTAAACTAGATGATGATGGTGGCGATGATGATGGTGATATTGATGATGTTGTTGAACAATTACCCGTTGTTCGTATTGATGGTGTTTTTAATACTGTTGTTGTTTTAGCATCCAACATATCCATTGTTGTCGACGTTGTTGTTGTCGTCGTTGATGATGATGATGTGGATGATGTCATATTATTTAAATCAAATAAAATATTTGATTTACAATCCAATTCATGTTGTGATGATAAAAGTAGATCCATTTCAAATTTTACCTGTTGAACAAAATGAAAAAAAAATTGTGAAAAAAAATTGAAAATTTAATCCAAAATATCACACACACACACACACGCACACACACCATCTTTATCATCATCGTTATTATTTATTGATTCATCAACAAAAATTGATTGATTGATTGATTTGATTATATCAAATATTACAATATCCGGCGATAATGATGTAATCGAGAGAGAGAGAGAGAGAAAAAAAAATGAAAACACAATGTTTTTCTCACACAAATGAAATAATCTTAGTCGTCGTCGTTGTTGTTGTTGTTGTCGTCGGAGTCGAAACAAGATTAAAAAAAACCCTGAAGGTTTTTTTGGTGAAAATGAAAATCAAAGATTTCTATTTATTTTTCGAAAGAAGAAGAAGAAGAAACATTGTGAATCAAAAAAAAAAAAAAAAAGCAACAAGTTGTTTTGAACGGAACACACAATTCATCGAAAAAATAGCCATCAAAGTTGTTTCGATAAAGACGACAATGATTGTGATGGTGGTGGTGGTGGTGGTGGTGGTTAACGATAGTTTTTTCTTTTTCGGTTCATAGTGATGATGATGATGATGATGACCTAGAAAATAGGCGCGAGCGTGGGAAATTTTCGCGTGCTACGTTTGCTTGCTTACTTGTTGGCTGTGTGGCTGCTGGCTAGCTAGCCGTCGTCATTTACTTTGGCCATCAATTCGAAATCAACTACAATCATCATCATCATTGATATTTGAGTGAGGGTATCGAGTGAACAAGACGAGAAAGTGAACTTTGTGTGTGTGTGTGTGTGTGTGTCACAATTTCTTTAATGACCATCAATCGGAAAAAAACCAAAAAGAAAGAAAGAGGGGAAAAGATCTACGATTTCAAACTACTAGCCAATAACCGAAACAAACAAACAAACAATCATCATCATCATAGGCCAGGTGTGTAATGTATAGACACTATGATCATCATCAGCTGCCTTCATCTTCCGATTAAACTTTGTTTTGTTGAGTGGGGAGGACGGACGGATGGATAGATAGATGGTTACAGTAAGAATCAAATGTTTTTTCAGAGTAAGAAAAAAATGAATGAATGAATGGGAGAGGGGTATGAAAATGAATGAAATACTGAAAAAGGTAGCATGATGATGATCATCATGTTGGAAAAGAGTTGAATGAATGAATACACACACACACACACACAGACACAGATATACATACGATAAAAATGGTCGTAGTATTTCTTTTTCTCTCTCTCTCATATATACAGATTTTCATTCATAAAATTTTTTTTTTCTACAACTTACATCTGTGTGTGTGTGTTTGTACAATCTACATGTGTGTGCATGTACAGTGATTGAACGGAAGTTTGTACATTACAGAATAGAAGTACAAAAACCGAAAGAAAATGAACTGAAAATCAACAGGTCAACAACAATCATAGCGGTCTGTTGGCCGTCTATTTATATATAGTAAACGTTTACGGTTTGCATGTAAACTTAAAAGTTATAATGAAAGACCAAAAAAAAAAAAATTAGGTTTCCATTAGCTGACCAATTCTATCATTGGGTGTTGGATAATTTTTTTTTTCTCATTTTAGATTTTGTTTTTTTAAAAATTTTCAATGTCAAACAAAAATATGCACATGACAAATGTTAATGTTTTTTTTTGTTTGAAATTTCGCAATAAAATTTCATGAGATAATTTTTTTTTAAATTTTTCATGCAAAAAAAGGGTTGAATCATGTAAATTAATGATGATGATGATGATGATCATCATCATCATCAAAAAGACCATTAATGATCATCAAGATGTTGCTGCCCTTAGGGACAATCGACATCTATCATCTCTGAAGATTTTTCATTCAGTGGTAACAAAATCAAAAAAAAAAAATTAAAATGAGAAAATAATCAACAGGTAGATTTTGTTTCATTGTAGATTATTATTTATTGGAAAATTACGTGCATACTTCATTTTATATATTTATATTTATGTCTATTAATCGATCGATAAATAAAAATTGAAAAAATTTTCAGAAAAAAAAAATTTTCCCACGCTAAAGTTCAATTAAGATGTTGATATTGGCCATGAATTTATTATTACATTCAAATTCAAATTCATTCATTTGATGGTAATTGAAAATTCTTGTACACCTGAAATGTTTATGTTTTTTTTACATTATAATAATGATGTGATTGTCACATCTTCTTCAGCAATAAATACACAGAGACAGAAAGAACGATCAAGATCGATTGCATGATTTGTACCCTGAAGCTAATTTTGTTTTTTTTTTCGTTTTGAAAATAGCTGCAGAAAAAAAAAATTAAATGAACGACAACTTTATGACTGAATTTTATCTGTTTTTTTTTTTTTTCGGTTCCTCAGATTGTACACTTTGTATATATTAAATGAAAGAAAAAAAAGATGAGACTAAGATAGATAGATGGATAGATTTGTTGTGGTTGATGACACAGAATACAAATGAACTAAAAAAAAAAAAAAAAACAAAAATTTTGTTTCATCGTCGCTGTCCAAGGAAAAAAGTAATTAAAGTCCTATATATTTATTCGGGTTACGTGTTTTGTACGTATTTGAAGACGACAATGAAAAGAAAAAAACGATTCATCAAAAAATGATCTGGACTCAACAGGTCGTTCGTTCGTTCGTTCGTTTTTGCTTTGTTTGTTTCTTCTAAAAAACGACATCCGAAAATGAAAATAAGCAAAATGGAAAGCAATAACGAAAGAAAGAAAATGAAAATCGACATTGACATTTCGGTGGTAATGGTTCGACGACAAACAATTCAATATGAAGATGAAGATGATGATGATGATTTGTTTGCCGGAAATTTATTAGCTTCAAGGCATACGCACGAATCATCATCATCATCATCATTATTATCATACGATCCGATTGAATTGAACTAAACTAAACTAAAAATAAATGTATGACAACCGACAAAATTGAAGATGATGAAAAAAAAACTTCAAAGATGAAAATTTCTAATCCACCCCCTTATTACTACTACCTCCCTATATCTACCTCCCTACCTCTCTCTCTCTCTCTCTCTTTCTGCCTGCTTGCTTGCTTATTTACCTAGCAATAATGAAATTATTCGACCGACCTACAGACCCATTAGATTCATTAATAAAAAAAAAAAATTAATTTTTCATTCATTATGATTCTCTTTATAGAGAAAGAAAACTAGAAGACTATCAGGTAGTGTATAGTAAAATCGGATGTATGATTCATTCATTCAGATATAATTTTTTTTTGTTTTGTTTTGTTTCTGGCCAAAATAAAATAAGGTGGAGAGGACCAGAAGAATGATAAATCGTAAGGGGGCCATAGATGAACCCATGCATGACCATGATTGTTGTTGTTGTTGTTACTGCATTGGAAAAAAAAGTTGACAAAGAAAAAAAATGATCAAGTCAACCAAAAAAAAACAACTACGACAACTAAATGTAATAATCTGTATACTATCTCTTTCTGGATATGATTGTTGGACCGAGGTATATAATTTTTTTTCCAACCTTGATTTACGTTTGTCATTAAATGGATAATAATGATCATCGGAACTAGTGTTGTTCGACATCATATACTGATGCTGATGATGATTTCACTTTTTTTTTCACTGGATTCATCAGTGAAAAAAAATGAACTAAATTTATTGATTGGTCAATATTTTCTTTTTTTTTATCCTTTTTTTTCATTGTCGGGAAATTTTCCAATCAAATTGAGCAGCTGTAATGTTTTTTTCAAAATTGTTAACAACTTGTTACTACTAACAAGATTGATTGTTTAAAAATAAAAAATTGAAATTGAATTTAACCGTTTGAACTTGCTGAGAAAACTTTTAAACTTTTTTCGTTCTCACATTTTTTTTATTGTTATTGTTATTGAATTGATCATGAAAATCACCCAATATATAAAATTCCCATATATATAGTCTATTGTGTATTGTGTCTGCGACAAACAACACACACACACACACATAGACATAGACATAGACATAGAAACACGAGATGGAAAAAAATGGGCTGGTTGTTGAACAAGGTCAGTATGGTCATGACCTCTCTCTCTCTCTCTCACTCTGTATGTTTGTTTTCATCATCATCATTCTCATAAAATGGCTTGATATTGGTGGTGGCCATGGGTTAGTTAACAATACCGTTTTTTTTTAATCATTCGAATCGATAGAAAAAGTAAAACACATAACTATTTTAACCTAAACTATTCATAAAAATTTTTTTTTCTCGAATGAATGAATATTAAAAAAAACAAAATAATAGAGAATGGATGGAAAAAAAATCAATCATCGATAATCAGAAATAAAAAAAAAAAAACATAAGCTACACACTTACTTTCAAGGGTGAAGATAATTTTTTGCTATTCATAGACATTATTCCACCATTATTATTAAAACCATTAGCCGAATCATGATCATCATCATGATCATCATCATGATAATCATGATTGGTCATCGATGATGGCAATAATGTTTTTATATGATTTTGATGATGATGATTCCATATATCATCATCATCATATGGATGATGTTGTTGGTTTTCTTGTTGATTTTGATAATGATGATTGTGGTGGTGGTGGTGGTGGTGGTCGTTGCCTTGATTTCTATTGTTATTCATATCTTTTATTGTTGCCGTTGTTGCAGTTGTCGAGGTTATTAATTTTTCATTTAACGTTTTGGTTTGATTGAAAATATTGTCCAATATTGTATTTGAAGGATAATATGATCGTTGATTCAATGATGATGATGATGATGATGGTGTTGTTTTATGATGTTTTGCAGCATGTAGCACAAGTTCCATGTTTTTTTTCAATTTGGATTCGATTCGATTCTATATTCACTCGAATAGTATCAAAAAACAAAAAACAAAAAAAAATCAAAATAGAATCGAACGACGAAATGACACACACACACAAATATGTGGATGAGAAAAAAAAACAAACTAAATTATCATTCGATCTGATTGTAATCAAAGAATTATCTTGTGACAAATTTTTTTTTTCATTGGCACAAAAAAAACACGTTTTTTTTCGTCTCCAGCAACAAAATGACAATATGACTGGCTGGCTGGCTAGATTTTTGTTGTTGTTGTTGTTGTTCACGATGCAATGTCTTTTCTGGATTTTCGATTTTTCTTCTGCGTGCATGAGATGTTTTGTATGGTCGTTCATAGCAAATAGCAGCTGGTAAATGGCAAACCAAAGATTTTTTTTGTTGTGCCGATTGAACAACAACATCAAGAAAAAAAAACCAAAAAAAGAAAGAGAAAAAAAAAGACGACAACCTCCCATTCGCATATATATCAATGATGTGTGTGTGTGTGTGTGTGCGTGTGTTTGTGGTGGTCACGTCACCTTGAAGATTGTCTCCTCTTTTTTTTTCTAAACATTTTTTTTGTCAACGACGACGAAACATCCACCACCACCACCACCACCATCATCAACATCAGCATGATCATAACGACCCCTTATAAAAACCCCATGGCCATCTCTGTCATTTCCCAAACTTTTTTAAGGGCCGTTACTTGAAAAGATGTAAAAAAAAATCCCCGAATCACATGAACATACTAACACACACACACACACACTACCACCATTTACCATCCCTCATCCATATCATCGGTTTACTGCACACACACACAGGGTACGTAGTTTGTACGTTTGTATCACGGTTCAAAATTTACAAATTCATTCACAAAAAAAAAGAAAATGATTTCATTGAGAAAAAAAACCGAAACAGATTTTTTTATGAATGAATGAATGAAACACACAAGCAACAAGGTCCTCTCTCTCTCTTTTCAGAGGTCAAATTTATTTGCCAATGTCAATGATGATGGTGGTGGTGGTGGTTGTTGTTGAGGACTAACACACACACACACACACACACACACAGACACAGACTAAGGCCAGCCATTGTAATCGGAAGTTTTATTTGATGTGGTTCGTTGGTTGGTTGGTCTGTTGAAAATGAAGAAAAGTGGAGGAGAGGGTTCATATATTTATTTATTTTTTTTTTCTGGTCACCGACCATTTTTTTTAGGGGTTGACTTTTTTCTTTTTTTTTTGTTTCGAAAAAAAAACTTATGAATGACTTGATGGAATTTTTTTTTTTTCTTTCTTTTCGTTTTTGTTTCGAATGGCCAAACCATTATCATCATCATCATCATTGTGGACATTATTTTGTATATACATGTGACAAGTTGGTAAACAAAACAAAAAGTTATTTTTTCCATTCTCTCTCTCTCTCTCTTTCGTCTAAATACTTTTTAATGGATATTTTTTTCATTGATTTTCAATCGTTTCGATTGATGCTAATGATGATGATCAATGATTTTTTTTCATTATTATTGCCAAGGATTTTTTTTTTTTTTTTTTTGAAAATGAATTTTTCATTTACATACAAAAAAAATTTAACTTTTTAAAAATAAAATGTATGCTAGCGCCATCTGTTGACCAATCGTTGATGTACCGATGATGCATACCATGTGATCAGCGACAATTTTGACAATAATAAAACGACGACGACGACGACGACAACAGAATCAATCTGTTCAATCGATCCAAAAAAAAAGTATTGATAGATTTTTTTTGGATTCGATTGATCGGATAATTGATCGAATGATGAATGATTCGAATAAAGATATTCCACGTGCATCTTTAAATGTATCGACAACCAGTACTAGTGGTGGCGGTGGTGGTAATGCAACTGGATCTGGACGAACAAAAGTAGCATTGAAACCAGGTTATGGCCTTATGGGTTGGGTACGTTTTACATCAAATTCTTCGAATCTTACCGGAATTCAACCAAAATCTGGCAATGATCCTCGTACAAATATCATAACGATGATTGAATTATCGAAACATGATCAACCAGATGATTGTTGGATAGCAATTCGTGGAAAAGTATTCAACGTTACTGCATATCTTGATTATCATCCAGGCGGTATGGATGAACTGATGAAAGGTGCTGGAAAAAATGCCACTTCAATGTTTGAAGATGTTCATAGTTGGGTCAATTATGAAAGTTTATTGGAAAAATGTTTTATTGGCCGTCTAGCTGGTTATGATTTGTCATCATAATTTTCATATTCATTGTTTCTAGGATTTTTATTTTTCAATTTTTCTTTCTTGTTGTTATTGCTTTTATTTAATTTAATTTAATTTTAATCTCATTTTATTAATTTTCATGCTGCCAATTTTATGAATTTTGAAAATAAAAAAAAAAAATCGAACTTGATCATCATTATCATCGCTCGACAGCGACATCTATGATCCGATGATGTTGAATCGTTTCAATCGATATTTCGAATGTTTAATGACAGGACAAAGTAAAAAAAAAATTCACAGTAGCAGCTGATTGATGAACTTTATTTGTCCGCGATTGAATCATCCAACAATCATCATGTCTGATCGTGGTCTTAGTCCATTCATAAAAGCATTTGTTTATTTTGTCCGTACATTGAAACCATCGAGAATTATTGGAACACCACGTGCACAATTCATCGGCAGTGATCATTTGGGTAATAAATATTTTGAAATTAAAAATGGTAAATTTTCAATATTATGACTGTTCATTATGGAATTGGTAGATTGAAATTGAATTTTTTTTTTCATTTTTTAGATCCAAATAGAAATTCGAAAACAATCAGATATTTTAAATCGGTAAATATTGACGATTGGGATGAATTACCACCTGAATGGAATGGTAACTATAGGAATTGTTTGTTGTAATTTATTGTTTCACCGGAAATTTTTGTTTTCCCCGTAGCATGGTTACGTATGCGACGATTAGATCCACCAACAATGGAAGAATCAATGAGAAATTTACAAAGAATTCAAAAATTTAAAAAGTCATCTGAAATAATATCATCAAAAGATATTGGTGGCCGTGGTGGTCATGAACCACAAACAAATTTTCCTAAATTTCATGAATATGAACAAAATCCTGGATCAAAATACAAACCAGATAAATGATTTATGATTGGAAAGATATTGGAAAGAAATTTATTTTGTAATCATAATTTTGTATATGGTGATAAATAGCGAAAAAAATGATGAAAAAAAATTCACCAATTCGATGATGATTTCATTTCTCTTTCTTTGCCTTTGATTTCATTTTAATCTTTTCAATGGATTTAATTTTTTTCTGTTGCTGTTCAATTGAACGTGCCAATTTCAACGATAGATATGCACTCAATGCAAACAAAGGTGTGGTAATCAATAGAATCAATATGACAAAATTTGATGTATGCTCAATGGCATATCTGGATATGAAGGCTAAAAATTCTTCCAACATCTATATATAGAAAAATGTGAATGATAAAATAGAATGTTTAACAAAAAAAAAAAAAAAAATCAATTAAAAAATACCTTGAACATTATTGGCTGATTGATTGGTCCTAATAATCAAAAATTTTTGGAATGGATAGAAATAGAAATAAAAAAATACTGATCATTGTCAATGACTCGATTGATTTGTGAATGAATCACATTTCATCAATCATTTCATCAATTTTTTTTTATTTGTTTTGGTTATATAAACACAGTGAAAACAATGACATCTAGTGGCCATATTTAATTTTTAAATTTCTTTTTATAATCAATCCACGAATTAAACGTTTCCAATTATCGATGATTCGTTTTTCACGTTTTTCATTTTCTTTTACACATTGAATATGTTGATCTTCATTCCAAGCATCGATAAGAATATCTTTATATTCTTCACAAACAACATAACCATCTATAATTGGATGTGAACTATTACGATTGCCATCGAAACCAACAATAGCTGGTGAACAATCAATATTCAATTTATTCGCTATACGTAATAATCCAGCCAATTGAAGATGTACGGTACCGATTGGTAACATACATTGTTTATAAAGATCAACATTTCCATAACCATTACGTGGAACGATACCATTTTTTGCAATTGGTGGTTCATATGGAATTGTTTGCCATTCACCGTAAACACCGATCATTTCTTTTTCAGGTTTTTCACCAAATGCCGTCGTTGTTTTCCATTTAAAACGTGATTGTACCATTTTATATGGTTGTTCATTCATTCGAACGGTTCTTGCTTCACGTAGCCATGTTTCACGTGATTTCAATGTATAAACACAATTTCTTGAATAAACAGGTTGATCACGAAAAAAACCTAATGGTGGTGCATCACCTGGATAGATTGCCTGAAATTTTAATAAATCTTTTGTCAGTACAAATAATGGATGATTTTTATATTCAGCCATTTTTTTAGGCAATTCAATTTGTGCGATAATTTGTTCAAATTCAATATGATCAGCATGTTTATATTTTGATGAATATCGATGATTTGAATTGAAAAGATTTAATGTTTCTTCTAGCCAACAACCATCATCATCTTTGTTGATTCGTCGTTTTTGCATCGAATTCGACATCCAATCCTTGGCATAACGTGCAGTAACTTCAACAATATTATCTCGATTATCAATAGCCAATATATACGTTGGTTTTGTAGGAAATTTTTCGGCCAATTTCCTAGGATTATCATAGATTCGATGCTGATAATCATAACAAATCCAACGATTATTTCCATTATCGAAAATTTCAATCCAATAAAATTCTTTCTGCGTCAATTCATCATCATCATTATTATTGTTTGTTGATTTTGATTTCGGTTTATCACCCAATAAATTTGATGGTTTTATTGGCAATGGATCAAATAGATAACATAATCTAATCATATGATTTGTTAATCTAAGCATGGCTATTATGATCAATTTGAGTATTAAATAATAATCGATGGATAATCGATCGAAACTGTGAATGATTTCCTGTTGAACATCGATACTGTAGTCATGATTTTCTAGAATTGAAATAGTAAAATTTCTTGTAAATTTTGCGATGAAAGCACCGATATATTTTTCCAACGACAGTTTCGTATCAGGCATCAAATAATTCATTGATAAAGCTAATGCTTGAGTCATTGGATCTTGTATTAAAGAATTTAGATACTGAAGACGATTAATGGCGAATAGAATACAACATTTATGCTTCGTTAATTGATTTTCTTTACGTATTCGATTGATTCGTTGTCGAATTGCTGCCTGTATGGGATCGATATTTTTCTTTGTCTTTGTATTAGATGATGAATCTAATGATATTTGAATTTTTGCTGGCAATTCGGGCTGATAATCATCTGGATCGAAAATTTTTGCTTCTTCAACTTCTTCCCAATCATCATCATCATCATCATCATCATCGTCGTCGTCGTCGTCGTCGATTTTTTTAACATTCTTTTTGGATTCATGTTTCTTTACACTGGGTTTTTTGGTCTTTTTCTTTGCAGATTGATTGCCACATTTATTCGATTTTGTTACCGATACTTTTTCCATCATTTGTTTACGAATTCTTTTTGTAACCGGTGATCCATAATCATCATTATTATCATCATCGTTTGTAATCAAGGAATCTTCATCATTGTCGGGGAAATATTTACTTCGAAAAATTGTCAATGTTCGTTTAGGTCGTGGCATTTTCCAATGACAGTTACTTTGAACAAAGGGACATTTGAAAGTCAAAGTGTACAATGTAATTTTGACAGTTTAAACGGGATAATAAAAACAAAACAAAATTCACATGTGACCAAAAAAAAAATTCAAAATAGATTCACTAGATGGTATTCGCATACAAACAGAAGAAAATTTTAAAAATGAGAACTTTTGTTGCCATCTATGATTTAATTTGGAAAAAATTTTTAATATTTTCAAAATAAAAGAATGATGAAAAAAAACACAAAACAAACACATTATGAATATGAATGGTGGATAAATTATATGTTGAATAAATTGATGATGATGGATGTGTAGTATAGTGGAATTTTTTTTTACAATTTTTCTTCACTTTCTACTTCCAAATAATTTTCATCATCCAATTCATCATCTTGTATATTCAATATTCTTTCAATACATTTGGCTGCAAAACAATCGCCAATTATATTCGTACTGGTTCGAATACGTTCCCTGTTTTCAACAATCAATAATAATTAGTCAATCAAAGAAAAAAAATGGCTAAACTTACATCATCCATTCAAATGCTAAAACATAGGCAAGAATATCCTGTGGATTATCTACACCTAAAACAGATGCAACGGCCATATGATTTAACATGGTTGTACCGGTTCCAATGACGGGTGGTACACCCATCGACATTATAACGGCAAATAAACTATTTTCAATGATTAAAAAGAATTTTTAAAAAAATGAGAAATTCCAAAAATATTCTTACCATAGTACAATGACTGAATAGAAACCAACCGGTGTTCGATTGATGTAGGCAACAAAAATTGCCGTCATTGGAAAATACATTGCCGGACCATTCATATGTAATGTCATACCTAATGGTAAAACTGTTTGACATATACGATTTGAAAGTTGACAATTCTTTCGCATACATCTCATCGTTTCCGGTAATGTTATTGCACTTGAACATGAACCAAATGCAATGACAATGGCTGAAAGAATATTTTTATACAATTTAAAGGGATTTTCTCTGGTGAATATGATGTACACAACAGGATAGAAAACGAATAACCAGAACATGAATGCACCTACGGCGATCAGATAGAAATAAGCCAATTTTAAAGCCATTTCCGATAATGATGCCATTTTCAATGATTCAGCAAACATCCAACAAAACATACCGATTGGTAATAATCTGAAAGAATATGAAAAAAAAAACATGTAAATTCTAAAAAAACATGAAAACAATGACAAACTTCATTAGAAATTGCATAACATAATGGATAATTGTATCGGCTTCATATAATAATGCTCGAATACGTTTTGTACGATCTGAGCCTAATTTCTGCAGAATAACACCTAAACAAAGTGATATTATACAAAGTGATAACATATTTGCTTTATAATTGATTAATTTTTCATTCTGCGTTTCAATATAATAATTTGGATCCAGCAATGTTGATAGATTGGCTGGCCATAGAATTTTTGTTTTTGAATATGATGAAATAAAAAATGGTGTAATCATATTATCGGGAAAAATATTTCTATAGAAAAAAAATAAGAATGAAATGGTCAATTTGATGATTTTGAAAAGAGAAAAAAAAATAACAAACTTACAAAAAACTATTATAAATAGTATCATGTTGATAATATTTATGAATTATGTAATGTTTTTGATTTCGGATATTTTCATCCGAAACATCAGGTATTGTTTGATTCATGGCTAAAAATTCATCGGCATCATCATCATTATCATGATCAGTACTGTATGGTGATGCAAATGAACCGAATGTAAGCATAAGACATGCACCAAATATTGAGGCAAGCAATGAAAATGCACCGAATACAATAAATGTGACGATAATTAATTTTTGTGCATCCAATTTTGCCGTCTTCTTTTTCGTTTGTTGCCTCCTTTGTTGTTGTTTCTGTTTTTGATCATTAAATCTTCGTAATTTATCGAATGGATTCTCAGATTTTATTGGCAAAAAACTTAACGATAATGATGTAACCAATAATGGTGCAATAATCAATATGAATGAACGCATATAAATTACACCGGGTAACGATAAATATCGTAATAATTGATGATCAATTTTGCCATTCGGTTCGGTACGTAAAAATCCTTTAATGATTTGAGCAAAAAATACACCTGTTAATACAGCAAATACCGTATATAAGGCAAAACGATTAGTATCGATTAAACGCTGTTCATTTTTTATTATTAAATTGAAAAACCAAGAAAAAAAATCAATTAGAAATCAGAAAATTCTGCAATACTGACAGTTTGAATACCTTGAATTTAGATGAAATGATTGCCATATTGATATGATGATGATGATTCGTTGAATGATGAAATTGATGAACACGTGCACGTGCGACACAATTTTTTAAATTGAATAAAAATTTGAAAAAAAATCACATAAAATTGATGATTAAATTCTTGTTTTCTTTTTCTTTTTTTTAGTTATCAAATCATTAATCTTTCGGCACCATAATTGAATTGAATCAATAAATTCAAACATTGACTGTGTATTTGTCTATGCGTGTAGATCTGTTTGTTCAAAGACACTATTATTTGGTTGAGTGAGTGATTGATATCCTAATTACCCAGTAAATAGAAAGAAACGAAAAAAAAATTAGGAAAATTAACAATCTTGCAGGATACTTGGATATATAGTATATTGTCCAATGTGATGATGAACGAATATATAAAAAAATAAACGTCGTATCAATTGGTGATATTGGATGAGAACAAAAATTTTTTCAAAAGCCGCGATCGCAAACATAATCAGTTATCAATAAATGAACTAAAAAGAAAAAAAAATATAAGAAATCACAATCAGACACATCCAACAAATGTATGTATATAAGAAAACCAACCGTAAAGCCATTGATGAATCAAAATCGAATAGAAAAAAAATCGAACAAATCAATCAATCAATCAATCATTTCATAGTAATAGAAAAACTATCACATGTACCATAACATTGATAATCTTAACCCACTTTTTTTTCATTTTTCGATGATCAACAACAACAACAAAAATTAATCTAAACATCCGAATCGATGATAAAATAAAATTCGAACATTACTGAATTAAAAAAAATTACCACAAATCAATATCATGGTGATGATCGAAACTATCGATTGTCGGTGATCGATGGTGATAATTTTTTTTTTTTTTTGAATTTTTATTGAATTTATCATGACAGATGATTGTAATGGTAAAATAAGATGCAATGCAAACGTAAATAAATATAAAATATAAATATAAATAAAGCAAAACAAAATGAAACTTTTAAAACAACGAATGCAAAAGAAAAAAAAATTATCACTCATACATACATATAACATAGAGGTTGTTGTCTCTGAAGATCAAAAAAAAAAAAAAAAACAAAAAAAAAACAGAAAAAAAATAAAATAAAACAAAACAAGACATATCGACGACGACAACAACAACAACAACAAAAACAATGATTGCAAAAAATTGAATTTTTTTTTGTATTAGGAAAATTCTGATTTGTACTTGCACATTACACATTTGTTTCAAGGTATGTGGGGTTGTGATACATATTCATGAATTTGTAGAAATATTTGAACGAAAATTGGGAATATTTTTTTTCCTGTTGGGTGTGTTTACGATCAATCAATCAATAATATATGTGTGTGGAGAATAGGTGAGTGTAGATTGTAGTTAATAATCAAATAAAATTATCATGATGATTATGATGATGATGATGATGAATTATATTATCAATTATCAATATTGGGTGTTTGTTTTTTTTTGTAAATTGGAAAAAAATGGTTTCCTAAAATAATTTAAGGTTAAACAAAGATTATTTGTCATTATTATAATAATCATAATATATTGTAAATAAATGTAAATTTTGGGGTAGTAGACATTGGTTGTAATATATTAGTTGGTGGTTGTGACTAGATTATTATTATTATTATTATTTTTGTTTCAATTTCTATTGCGTTTTGATGATCTTTTATTCAATGTTGATATGGATGATGATGATGATGATGATGATGCAGCAGCAGCTGCTGCTGCTGCTTTTTGTCTTGTAGTAGGTGGTTCCGGTGGTGGTGTTCGTTGCCGTTGTTCATTGCTTGTTGTTGATTGTTGTTCCGTTATTGGTGATGGTGATTCTGGTTCTTCGATTTTTACTTTGGTAATAACCATCTTCTTCTTCTTCTTCTTCTTCGTCATTATCAGTTTTATCATCAGTTTGTTCACCATCATCATCGTCATCATCATTCTCAGTTTTATGACAATCATTTGCATTCGAATTTGATACATCAATCAATTTACTTGATGATCTTGTTGAAATTGTTCGCGTTTTATGTGTCGTTTGTTGTGAATTTGATGTTTCTTTCGTTTGTTGATCATCATTATTAGTGTTGGATTTTTTAGATTCCAAATTCATATCGTTACCATTTTTTGCCATTTGTTGTCCACAATCGGATTTTATCGAATTTTTCACATCATCTGATTTATTGATTGATGTGGTGTTGTGCAATGATGAAGGTGTTGTCACAATACTATTATTATTGGCAACAATTGCCGTTACAAATGATGTTGCAACCACAACATTATTATTATCTTGACTATCCATCGTAGTTGCTATTGTACTGCCCATTGAATTACTATTATCATTTCCGATACTAGAGGTGAATGTTGGTGGTGTTGATATCGATCCACTAGCACTACCTTCATTGAGATTATAACCAATAATGCTCATTATACGCGATGAAGATTGTGATGATAATGATGATGATGTTGCACAAGCCATTCGTAATTGATTTGTATCCGGCAAAAATTTATGACTATTAACCATATGATCACGAAGATAACGTAATTCACGAAAACCACGAACACAATTCGATATTGGACAACGATATGGTAATTCACCTTTATGTACCATCATATGTCGTTCAAGATTATATGGATCGCATAGCCGTTTACCACAACCAGGCCATTCACATGGATACATTTTTTCAGAATGTATCCGCCGATGTCGTTCACAATCATATTTTCGGGCAAATTTTGCACCACATTTCGGATAATCACAAATGAATGGTCGTTCACCGGTATGAACCATTCGATGGCTAGCCAAATTTGATCGTGTTTTATATGCACCGAAACATCCGGGCCAATCACAAAGATATGGCCGTACTTTTTCATGTACTTGACGAATATGTGTTCGTAACTTGTAATTTTGATCGCACATAAATGCACAATTTTCCCATTCACATTTTATTGGTTTTTGGTTCGAATGATTCGTTACGGATTGTTGAGTCGCATTGATTGTCGATGTTATTGTTGTTGGTGATAATTGTGACAATTGTTTTGCAGAGGATGCTATAGAAAATGTTCGATTATTAATCGCCGAAGTTGTAGCTATTGGTATTAATATGGTTGCTTGTTGTATTGGTCTATTCATTGATACCTGTGCTGGTTGATTTATAGTTGTTAATCGTTGTTGTTGTTGTTGTTGCTGCTGCTGCTGCTGCTGCTGTTGGTTATTGAGAAATTTCGACGTTGATGATAATTTTGATGTTTGTGGGTCTTGATTTTTACTACCAGCAATTGGTAACAATGTTATAGAAGAATCCGATGATGTTGATGTTGAATTCGAAGTTGTCGTAGTAATTGGATCAGCAGCAGAATTGACCGGAATGATCGATATATCGATTAGATTTTTACGTTCCGAAACGTTATTCGTTCTATTTTGATTACGTCGTAGAGAACTACCGGATGTATTCAATGACATTTTTCTATTATCATTATCTTCGTCATCGTCATCATCGTCGTCATCATCATCATCATCATCATCTTCCATTGCTTCTTCTGCTTCAGCATCCTGTTGATAATGTTTACCAATATGTAATACCATTCTTGTACGATCACGTGATAGAAATCCACATTGATCACCAACTGTACATTCATAGCAAATGATTTCTTTTGTATTTACATCTCTAACCACTAAAACATGGAAAATAGGAAAAAATTAAATTTATGAATCAATCAAGAAAACCACAAAACTTACCTAAAATTAAATCATTTTTACCATCAATTTCTTTTACAAATTTATCCGGATTTTCTTTCTCCAATATTTCCGATAGAGCCACATATTCTTCAATATCTAATTCTTCTTCTGCATCATCATCATCATACTCTTCATCATCAAGTATTTCTTCTTCTTCAATAAGATTTACTTCATCATCATCGTCATCATCATCGTCATCCTCGTCATCTTCATCATCAATGACCATAAATGATCGTAACATTGAATTTTTTGTTTTCGTATCTTGTTGTTTATTTGTGGAAGGTGATTGCAAATGATGATCCGACGATCCATTCGATGATCGATGATGATCTTTAATAAAATGACTAGAATCATCACCATTATTATTATTCGATGATCGTATTGGTATCATTTTAATCGATGATGAATGACGTAATTTAATTTTTTTATTCGATGAAATTTGATCTGATGATTGATCAATTAATTCACGACGAATTATTTGTGATCTTTGTTGGTGACCATGATTATGATGATTATCATCCATATTATGACTATTTATTTTTTGAGTATTTGATATTCGACGAATCGAATTCAATGATGATGAACATGTTGCACGTTGTTGTTGTTGTTGTTGATTTAATGTTGAAACAACATTCAAATCTGAATTAAGCTCTTTATATTTTGATTCTAGAACATTTAAACGTTCCCATGTTTGTCTGGTTCGTTTACAACAACATTGTTGCTGTATCTGTTGTACGACTAGACGATATTCTTCAAGAACATTATTCATTTTCAGAATTTTAACAATATTTTGTAATAATTTATGATGACGAAGATTAATGTCTGTTATCTGTGATGACTGTTGCTGATGCTGATGCTGCTGTTGACGTGATGATGATGACGATGATGATGATGATGATGATGGTCCAACCGGAACAGTATCGATACCGGTTGAATTTGAAACTTTTGTAGTCATTTTGTTGAACATTCGATGGCCACGAAAAAGAGCGATACGGATCAAAATAGTGAAACGGAGAAATTTTTTTTTTTGACGTTTCGAAATTGTTTTTTTTTTAATTCGAAAATCGAATTTTTCCGAAAAATTTCTTCTTCAAATAATTACATTACATTACATATTATCTATTTATTATCAGTATTTATGAAAAGTAAAATATTGCCATCATCAATCATTATTATTGTGTAGAAAATCGATCGATTATATTACTTTACAAGGAACAACAAGTTTGAATTCAATGTGATGATGATATAATCGATATATTGCCACTAAAAAAATATTTATAGTCCTGTTATAGTTTTGTTTTCTTTTGTTTTTATCTTCAAATGAAAACAAAATTAATCGGAACAAAACAAAAAAAATCTTTATGACTAGAATGGTCGTGAATAGAATGATGATAAATTGGATATATTGGTGATTGGTTGATTGATATACAATTCTAAAAACAAAACAAAATATTGAAAAATTTCATACATTTGAAACATTAAAAGTTGTAGAAAAAAAAACAAACAAAATTTTCTATTTACCTTTCAAAAAAAAAAAAAGTGTGTAGTGATCGATTAATTCAACATTGCACATTTATTGATTTATAGTGATGATGATGATAAGGATGATGAATAATCACTATCTTCATCACTTTTGTCAGTGTTTCATAGATAAAATTTTGAATATATAAATGTATTGATGATGGAACACTGTGTAATAATGATGAGAAAAACATCAAAGATGGCTGAGCAAAAAAAAAATGATGAACATGGGAATAATTTTATATGGAAATACCACTTCTCATCATCACATACATTGAACTCGAACCAAAAATTGAAGCAAAAAAAAAAATTCTTTGCCCGAAGCGCAGCAGCAGTCCAATACACACACTCATACACAGCGATCCAAGCAGCAGCAGCAGCAGCAGCAGCTTTCAGGAATTCTAGTATTCTATACTGTAATAAAAACAGCACGCACACACACACACAGCTTGAAAGAATCGAATCGGTGATGTTGGATTCTCTCTTTCTCGCTCTTTTTGTAGGTTTGGTGTGTGTGTATAGAGAATTGTGTTGATGTGGATGTTTTATGAAAATAGGAAACGAAAAAAAAACTCAAATCACGAATGTAATCACAAAATCAAATCATAAAGAGAAAAAAATCGATGATGATGATGATCGACAGACACACCCACCACGAAAATGAGATCCAATAAAATTTGTTTTTCTTTCTTTTTTTTTTGTTGAGAAAATTAAATAATTTCACAGAATTTAGAAAAAATCAAGTTTAGAAAAAAAAATATTATCGTCTTAGAGTAGTGACAAATATCATTGAATGACACAAAATAAACATTCGAATTTGAATTGAATGCAACATGCAAAGTGAATTTTTTTTTTTCATTTAATTTCTTCGTCGTAGTCGTCGTCGATGATGAAGATGGCCGGTTAGAATGGAATGGAATTTATTATCATCATCATTATCGTCATCATCATCATCATCATCACTGGATGGAGAAAACAACAACAAAATTAATCATTTAATCATTCGATTCGAATGTTTGATTTGTGTGTATATGCGGTGTGTGTGTGTGTGTGTGTGATGTATTTTTTTTTTCGTAAAAAATATAACTGTGTTGCTGCTGCTGCTGCTGCTGATGTATAGCTGGCTCGATTGATCGATACGATGCGATGGATGAATGGATCGCCATGGATATGAGATATATATCCACCACACCAATACATCATATAAACAAAACAACAACAACAACAAAAATCTGGTCGACAAATTTTTTTTTTTTGTTAATATGAAAAGATTTTCAGTTTTTTTCTGTTCATTGATGAGCAAGCGAATGTCATCTACACAGGCACTACAAAAAAAAAATAAAAATTTTTCGCTAACAAATGATGATGGCACGGTTTTTTTCTTTTTTTTTTTTTTTTTTGGTTTTGTTGGTTGACGAATCCATAATTATGCCACTGCCGCAGCTGTGTGTGTATGCGTGTGCGTGTGCGTGTTTATATATTGCATATAGCTAATAGTGATGATGATGATGATGATGATGAAGATGGCGTACGCCTTGTAAAGCCGCTAACCAACCAATGGCCCAAAGTTCTCTGAATGAGATATACACACGCATACACACAATCTATTAATAAGTATATGGACATTTAAACATTCAAATTGAATGATATTGTGTCCATATAGATTTTTTTGTTGTTGTTGTTGTTGTTGTTCCCAATTTGGATTTTCTATTTTGTTTTCTTTTTTTTTTTTTTTTTTTTTGGTTATAAATGGAATTCGCCCCGTTCACCATTGGAAATTGGAATAAAAATTCGACATTTTAGTAAGTACACTTACGCTATAGTTTGCGTATCTATCTCTATCTCTATTATATATATATAATACAAATGGTCTTTTAATGCTTGAATGTGAAGCCAGTCTGGCGCAAGCCGCCAGCAAAAAAAAAAAATTTTACGTAGGAGTAGACAACTTTTATTCTGTGTTTCATTTCTGTTTACCGAAAAGCAGCGGTAGTTGTATATTGATAATAATAATAATAATATATGTGTGTTACCACTGGCTGAAAATAAAAATAGCGGCAACTTTTGACCGAATTCGGTGTGGGTGGCAACGGCGACGGTGGTGGTGGTGGTGAAAAAAAAACCGAAACACATAGAAAAAAAAATTTGTTTCACGGAAATTTTCTTTTCATAGAAATCGAAAACAATTTCCTTTTCAAGAAAATTTCCACCGATTATTAAAAAAAAAAACAAAATAATGAAAACAGAATTATGTAAATTTTTTATTATTAATAATTTTTTTTTCTCAGAGTATTTTCAATAAAAACTCGTTAATAATATAAATATTAAAGAAGACGAAGACATAAATTAATGTTGTTGTTGTTTGTTTGTTTGTTTGTTTCACAACAGAATTCAATATATCAATCATTTTTTGTATGTAAATTCTGTTTTATTGGAGAGAAAAAAAAATTGTGTGTGTTTTTAATATACCACCAAAAATTATTCTGTGTGTGTGTGTCTGTGGACCCTAAATGTTTTCTTTGTGGTTGAAATTTTTTTTTCTTTTTTTGGCCACTTTATAAATCGTTCTGTTGTGTATGTGTGTGTGTGTGTGGATGGATATATTGAAAAGAAACAAGAAACAAGAAAATCCAGAAAAACAATAGACAAAACATGAATTGGAAAAAAAACATCGACGATAATTGTATTCTTTAATGCCTAAATTTTGTTTGTTGATTAAATTTTTTTTTCTGTTTTGTGGTGTTTTTTTTTTTTTTTTTTCTTCTTCATGTTTTTTTTTGGAAAAAAAGAGTTGTATACATAAATTGAAAATCAAATTATTCATCATAATGATGGTGCATAATGGGAAGAAAAAAAAAGTTGTAAAGACATTACATTTTGTATTTATGATTTTTTTTTTTTTTTTGAGAGAGAGAGAGAGATAATTGTAGTAATTATTGTTGCCAAACAAAATTTTGTTTATTATTTTTTGTTTTGTTTTTTGTTTCTATAAGAAATAATCCGGTGTACGTCTGGTAACATGTGGTTCACCACGTTTTGGTGCAGGATCAAATTGTAAGAATGTATAATTTAATGTATCATCTAATTCCATGATTGCAGCCTGATTACCACAACGATAACAATAATTTGGTGCTGAAAATATTGTAACAACATTATGATCATGACACCAATTAAAACCTTCCATTACTAATTGATGAGCACGTGCAACCAATGTTAGGCCATTTGTATGATTAAATGTTTCTGATATATCATGACCAAAAGTATAGCCAGCACCACGTGGTGAAATGCCCCAACCACCACGATCATCTGGATCCGACCATAATAGATCACACATCGGTCCTTCATGTGGTACCTCTTGTAAACGATCCAAAGCACGTATATGATCCAATGTATCAATCGATGGTGAAAGGCCACCATGTAAACAGAATATTTGTCTATCAACTAATTTACAATTCAAATTAAAAAAAGATATAATTAATTCAACAATTAGAAACAATTAAACCATACACAACAACAACAACATACCCAAAGCGGTTAATGGTAGATAATCAAAAAGATCGGTAAAATATTTCCATACATTCGATGTACCATATTTACGTAAACATTCATCATAGAAACCATATACTTGTGTAATTTGTCTGGATTCATGATTACCACGTAATATTGTTATCCGATCCTTATAACGAACTTTTAATGCAACCAATAATGTAACCGTTTCTACGGAATAATAACCACGATCAACATAATCACCCATAAATAGGTAGTTTGTATCTGGTAATCGGCCTGTGATAGAAAAAAAAACAATCGATTTAGATAAAAAAAACAACATTATTAAATGAATATAAAACACGTGTAAAATGTATTTTTTTCTCAATTTAGGCTACAATAAAAAAAAAATTTTTCCCCATCATTTCAACAAATAAATTCTCTATATAATATCTAGATGACCATTGCAAATGAATCTGTATGTGATTTTTTTCTTTGCAAAAAAAAAATGTTTTCTTTTGTTACATATACACCACCACCTGTCAATCATATATAGAGGACACACAGATAAGATAATTTGAGAATTTATTTTTCTCAAACCAGACAAAATAACATTTTTTTTACAGCTGATTATATATGATATTTTATATTTTATTATCGTGTTTTTCTTTCTTTAAATCTCTGATTTTTTTTCTAAAAAAAATGATATTCATCTATATTTTAAACAGAAAAAAAATTATTGTTATGACTTTTTTATTGTTATGTTTTTCAATGTAAAAAAAAACAAATTGATATGAAAAGGATCTAAAATCATATCATTCTCGTGATGTAAAATTTTTTTTTTCTTAAAAAAACCTAATTTGGTCATAAGGTTAAACAATAACAAACAACAAGACTACAACCCTACAAATGAATAGAAATTTTTTTTTCTAAACACACATCTTTTGAATTTTTCACAAAAAATCATTATCTAAAAATAATATACATACCACCAATACGAAATAATTCCATTAGATCATGAAATTGTCCATGCACATCGCCACAAACAGTAACTGGACATTTAACATCCTGTACATTTGATTCATTTGTCAATATATCTCTAGCTTTGTCACATAATTGTTTCACTTGTGATTCAGTCAATTGTTTACATTCCATTAATTGTTCAATCCATTGATCTAGATCTTTATTAAATTGTAACATATCACCACCAGCACCGCTGGATATCTGTAATGTTGTTGTTGATGTTGGCGTTGTTGCTGCTGCTGTTTGTTGATTAACCGTTGTTGATGATGATGTATTATTATTATTATTATTAACAGTATTAATCGTTGTCGATGATTCATTATCGGATTTATTTACAGCTGCAGTGTTTGTTGTTGTTGTTGAGCCACCACTAGCGGCTGGATCACCACTTGAATTTGAAGACATTATTGTTACAATAATCTTGAATAACTTTTTTGTTGTTGTTATTTCAATGGATAAATCTTGTTTTTATTTTTATTTTCACTTCCGAATGACCTAATAATATTATTAGTAGTATGATGATCCAAGAAAAAAACTTTTTTGCAACATAAAAAAGGCAATAATAGAAAGATTCTTGTCGTGTATTATTTTTTTTAATATTCACACTTTTTGAATCACTAAAAATAGAATCAGGGAATGGATGGAATTATGAACAAAAGAGAGAAAAAAAAAAGAAAATTAGTGACATTGAAAACAAAACAAATTGGTATAAACGAGCAAGAGAATGTGGGTAACAATGATATTTTGTGTGTGTGTGTGTGTGTGCGTGTGTGTTTATCTGGAAAATGGGTACAAAATTTTATAATAATAATAGAATCTAGCACGAGAAAATGCATGCTGTATGAAAATTTTTCATCTGTGACCAACACACACACGAATTATTCTTTACTTACCCAAAAAAAAGAAATTTTTTTCTTTATAAATTTGTAACAGAATTTTACAGTGCAAAAAAAAAATTAAATGATGCAACTAAGGGACAAGTTTCATCGAAAACCAGCCAAAAGAAAAAAATCGATTATCAAAATCAAAAACAATTATCGATATATTTGATTTTTGTTGATGATGACGATGACGACGATGATGATGATGATAGTAAAAACAGATGAAAAAAATGGAAGGTAAAAGTTTGCTTAAAAAATTGATTGTATTTGTAATTCCTATTGGCAAATATTATTGCCGGTTATTATTAATTTTGATAAAAATAAATATATATATGTGCAAAAAAAGAAAAACACTAAAACGAATAATAATAATAATGATGATGAGAGATAAAATTAATTATCAACACGAAAATTCCAATTTCAACGAAAAAAAAAAGTTTGAAATCCAAACGTGTTTTCTTTAGATGCAATGAATGAGTCAAAAATTATAATAAACGATGTAATGTAATAATAATACAATGAAAAAAGAAAACCAAAAAAAAAATAAAAAAAAAAAAAAAAAATACTCAGGGCAGATATTATTTTAGCGACATTCAATCGAACCAACGAACAAAACGCATACAAACAGCAAACAGCACAGAACACAGGCAAGGAGATTTTTTTTTCCACTGAAAGAAGAGGAAAATGGATATGAGGTATGTGAGTGGCAACACACACACACACACACACACACTTATTGAATGAATGACCCAAATTGGTAGTGGCAAGATTAATCATCATTTTTTTTTTTTTTTTTTTTTTTTTTTGAAATCAATTGTAACATTAATCTTTGCTATTACAATGGCTACTATTATTATTACTACTACCACTATGGGGTGACCGTTGATGATTTACGCCCTTTTCAAAAACGGTAACAGTCACAATTGATTTTGTTTTCTATGTTCTGGCGACGAATTCAACTTTATTTAATACTTTTATTCAGTTGTGGTCAGAATGTTATTACGTATCTACTAAATTAACGAATGTCTGATGGAATTTATATTTGTTTGCTACTACTACTAAACTTAAAAGTATATAGGTGAGTATATGTTTGAAGAAAAATGTCGGCATTTTGAAAAGTAGGTTCTCATGACCATTCAATAGATGGCGCAACAATTGGAAATATTTTTAATTTTCCATTTGAATTTTCATTCCACGAGTTTGATGAATCAATGTTGCATAACTGGCAATGAAACAAATCCAATCCAATATGAATTTCAAATCGATATGCAAAACATCAAACAAAAGAAGATGAAATGATTGTTGATAAATGTTCATCTCTTTGAATTTCAAAACTTTTGAACATTTCAATGGTGATGAATTCGTACTTGTTGTCATTGTTGTCGATGGTAATGTTTGATTTGGACGAACTTTACGTAATTTTCTCAACATAAATCCTTCGATTCGATTGAAATTTTGTAAAACTTTACGATTCATTGTTGAAAGACCAAACCAAAATATCATTTGTTGGATGATATCGGAAAAATAGTAAAGATTTAATGGAAAATCAGCCATTGCCACATCGTTTAATGTTATTGTTACAACGGTAGATGTATATACCATATGAATGGTTAACAATATCGAACAAATCGGTTGCAGTCGATTATTCAATTCAGCAAGATTTTTCATTTCTTCAAAAAGATCACGACATTTTATGATTGATGATTGATTTTTCAATGTATGACGTGTTCGTGGTTGTTGTTCATTTATTTTACCAAATTTTTCAAATGAAGCCGATATTTTACAACGTGACGTTTGCCGCACACATAAACTTTGACATTTTCTTTTATTAGACAATTCAATGGCTTGTTTTTCAATATCATCATCTAGATATCGTTGACGGATTTGTTCCAAAACACGAAAATTAGCCAATTGTATGAAATACAACAAAATCCATGTAATTGAACGATACAATACGATCATTTGAATTGCAAAAAATGTTGGTAAATTGTATGAATCGAATAATAGAAAACTTCGTAGCCAAATAAAAACTGTTGGAATCATAAATGGAGCCATAAAAATCAGAATCATATCTTGCAATGAAATTTGAATCGATGCAAATGTGGATGATTGTAAATGACGAAATAATCGATGTCCATAAATCAAATAAGTGATAACATAATAAAGACAAATTCCTGGAAATATAAATAAACCACACGATTTAATGAAATAATACATTAGATATTGATCGGATGATTTTAATCTTGTTAATCGACCATTGAATGGTTTTTGATCATTCAATACATATAATGTGGCCAAATTGATCACCAGATTTATTGACCAATTCAATATGTTAATTGAATTATTCAATTTTAATGGTCGTAATTGTATGCCAATGATGCCAAAAGTATTGAGCAATAATTCAAGTAATCGATGATGTTCCATATTCGATCGTAGCTATTAATAAATGATTGGAATCATTTTTGGGTGGAATATCAAATTTTGTTTCATCGATCAACTATTTTTTTTTTTTAATTTTATCTCAATTACAGATGACAGAATATAATTCTAATTATCAGTACACACTGTAAGTATTATGTTGTTTTCTAATTTCCTCTTTTCATTTTTTTTTGTTTGTTTTGTTTTTCTATAATTCAGAGGTGACATGATGACATTTTCAAAGCCAACGTGTTTGATGGATCAATGTTGCATAACTGGCAATGAAACATATCCAATCCAATAAGAATTTCAAATCGATACGTAAAACATCAAACAAAAGAAGATGAAATGATTGTTGATAAATGTTCATCTCTTTGAATTTCAAAACTTTTGAACATTTCAATGGTGATGAATTTGTTGTCGAAGGTAATGTTTGATTTGGGCGGACTTTACGTAATTTTCTCAACATAAATCCTTCGATTTGATCGAAATTCTGTAAAACTTTACGATTTAATGTTAAAAGACCAAACCAGACGGAGATTCGAAATAGAATTTCAACAAAATATCCTAGGTTATAGGGAAAATCAGCCATAGCAATATCATTCAATAATATTGTTACGACAGCAGATGTATGTACCAGATGAAGAGTGGTCAATATGGAAAACATTGGCTGCAGCCGATTATTCAATTCAGCAAGATCTTTCATTTCTTCAAAAAGATCACGACATTTCGTTATTGATGATTGATTCTTCAACGTATGACGAATGGGATCGTTTCTTTTTCCGATTTTTTCCAATGAAGCCGATATCGAAGAAATGCATCGTGATTGCCGCCGCAAACATAAACTTTGACATTTTCTTCCATTAGCTAATTGTTTTTCAATATCATCATGTAGATATCGTTGACGAATTTGTTCCAAAACACGAAGATTAGCCAATTGATTGAAATACAACAGAATCCATGTAACGGAACGATAAAATGTAAATATTTCAATTGCAAATAATGTTTGTAAATTAAATGAATCAAATGGTAGATAATTTCGTAGACAAAGAAAAAACATTGGAATCACAAATGCAACAATAATCACTATGTTTTCAACTCTTTTAGGAATTTTAATCGATGCAAATCTGGATGATTGCAATTGACTTATTAATCGATGACCATAAATCCAATAAGTGATAACATAAAAAAGACAGATGATTGGAAATATGATTTTTGCACAAATTTTAACATAATAATACATTAAATATTGATCGGATGATATTAAACTAGCCAATCGACTATGGAATGGTTTTTGATCATTCAATAAATACAATGTGGCAACAATAATTAAATTGTTTAATGACCAATTCAAGATGCTCAATACATTATTCCATTGTAATGGTCGTAATTGTACACCAAGTATGCCGAATGTATTTAATAATAATCGAATCATACGATGTTGTTGTTCCATCATGATCCATTGATCAATGTGACTAAGAACTAATTGTTTTGTTGTCATAATTTATATATAATAAATTATAGATGTTCGATATAAGATGATTGTCATTTTTTTTTCTAATTTCCTTTTTCTTTTTTTGTTTTGTTTTGTTTATCAAATTCATTTGAAATGAATGACAAGACAAGACATGACAATATTTAGTTATTCGTTTGATAAATAATTGTTACATAACCGGCAATAAAAATGATCCAATCCATGAATAGAGCAAAATCAATGATGAAAAAATCAAACATTATTAGTTGAAATGATTCACGAAAAATTTCCATTTCTTTATATTTGAAAATTTTTTTCCTCTTCAATCCAGTTGTAATTGAACGTAATGATTTTTGTATTGAATTTTCAATCCGATCAAATTCCATGATAACAATTTTGTTGGCCATACAAAGTCCAATCCAAAGACTAATACGTATTGGTAATTCAATTAAACATTTATAACTAGATTCAAGATTGAATGCAGCCAAATCGGTTGTAGAAAGAATTAGAAATGATGAACTATCCAAAATATGTAAGCATAATAAATATGATAAAATCGATTGTATCCGTGTGTTTAAATCGGCCAATTGTTTAACATTGATGAATAAATTTTTACATTTGATCAAATAATTTGAAATTGTTCGCTTATGGCCTGATGATGATGATGATGATAATGATGATTCTAAATATCGATCTCGGATCTGACGTAATGCATTCAAATTTACAATCTGATGATAATATAATAGAATCCATGTGACGGATTCATAAAAATAGAATATTTCAAGAGAAATTATGTTAAATATCGATGATTTTTGAAATTTTTCTACTCCAATGAAACAAAAAATATTTGATAAAATTGTTGCGACCATTAATACAAGAATTGATTGATTTTGTGAAAATTGTATCGATGATGAATACGTTGTTGATTGAAGACATTGAATAAATTGATGGCCATTGGCGAAATAGCTCAATATGTAACCAGAATAAATGAGTGGAAATATTACATTTTTATTTAATTTATGAAATTGATTAATCATATAATAATTCAATGTGGTAAGGAATTCTGATCGTCCTGAATAAAATATTTCCGATTGAAATACATGGACAATGAAAATGTTGATTAAAATGTTGATGATGAAATTGCTGGCACTACGAATTTCATTCAATTTTATCGGCTTCAATTGAATACCAACAAAGCTAATGGAAAAATAATTTATTTCAATTTCAATTTTTATAAAAAAAATAATAATGAAACCTACCCATAAGTATTTATGATAAGATTCAACAATCGATTCGTATCTGGTTGTTGTTCATTGTCCATTTTGTTTCTTTCTGTCTATGCTGTCCGAATTGATGAATATTTTTCATTGTTTTATTGAATTTCGAATCAATTTGCTAAAATTAATAATGAGATCTTGGTGGCAAAACACTGTACTTGAAAAATGTATCAAAATTATTGATTATTGATTTTCCCAAAAATGAAATGAAACATTTTTCATTTCTATTTATCGATCGATCATTAGAATAGAATTCATTTATAAGATAGACATTTTAATATAATTGAATCGATAAATTCCAAATATGGAATAGCAAAAAAAAAAAAACCACCACCCTAATGTTTTGTTCATAAATATTCATGAACATTTATTGTGTAATAAGATAAAATTAACATAAAAACAATAATAATTAAATATATACCTGTTTTTGAAATAAAATAAAAAAAAATTGATTGATCGCACCTTTCGAAAAAAAAGAGAGTGAAAGGGGTTCATTTCACGATTTTTTTTTATCATTTTATAAATTCACTGCTGCTGCTGTTGTTGTTGTTGTTGTTGTTGATGTGAAAGTTGAATAAACCAGATTTATATCAGGTTTTTTTTCCAGGAAAATTCGCCTCATCAACAAAAAAATTTTTTTTTTTTTTTTTTTTTGATTATAATAATCATATCATATATAATAATTGATCAATTCTGGATCGTGTTTAATTTTTTTTTTATTTATCCAAAGGTCAATGGCAAATTTAGATGTCTAATTTATTCTATAGATCTGTATAGTGAAAGTGGCCAATGACCAATGGATGTTTGGACCGGTCCTAAAGAATCGGTTTTTTTGCTTGTTTCGAGAATAGATCAATGACCGGATTTTGTAATTTTATAAAATTGCCCAATCAACATCTATTCACAGACTAGCTATATAAATGATGATCGATTCTATGTATTGGAATTCATTCAAGCAAACCAGTTGATACAAAAGCATCAAATTCATTTCATCTTTGAACAAAAAAAAAAAAAATGAAATTCGTAAGTCTTACCTTTCGAATGGATGTCTGGATGGTTTTTTTTGTGATTTTAACCGTTTCTTCTTTTTTTTTCTAGACATTGTTTTGCGCAATTTTCATGACATTTACCAATGTCATCTTGTCATATAGATATGATGATCAATATCAAGCTGAATTACAATCCGCACCAACACCACAGCAACAACCACAATCAATGGTTAGCTATGCATCCGAAACATCTGATGGTTATGTACCAGCCGGTAGTATAAGTATTCCAAGAGGATATCGACAAATGCAAACAAATGGTGGACAAACATATCAATCAACACAATCGGTTTTCCAGAAAATTGGCGATAATGAATCATCATATACAGCATCCATTCGTGGCGCACAACGTAACGTTAAAGTCATTGATATTCCATCCACATTTTCAATGCCAGCCGAAACAATGACCATACAAGTTCCACCAAGTTCACAGCCATTAACATTCATTTTGAAATCTCGTTCAAGCCAATTAAATTTACAATCTTCACATCAATCGGAACCTGGTTCATATAAAGAAACAAATTCCGAAGATGGATTACAAGTTCTGGTACATTCAGTAACTCGTCCTATATTGCATGAAATACGTGAAATTATCACACCATATCGTAGGGTAACACAAGAAGTTAAACCGGTACAAGAAACTGCTGAAACATTGATTGCACAAGATAAACGTAGTGGTTACAGTAACAATAAAAACAATGGACAATCATTATCAGCTAACAAACCAAAACAACAACCAAATGTTTTGGCACAAAAACCATTGAAATTAGCACCACAATCACAACAACAAAAAAATTACAACACTCAGGTTCAACAACAATCTTCAACAATGACGAAACCGGTGCCAAAACAACAACAACAACAACAATCAATAAATCGTCCTGCACCAATGGCAGCACAAAAACCGAAAACTTATTAAGAAGCGAAAAAAAAATTTGATATCCACTGATGATCCAAAAAAAATAATGAAGGATTTAAAAAAAAAATTCATTAAATATTTTTAAAAATTTAAAAAAAAAATTTTTTAATTCACAATGCAATTAAATTAATCTTTGGTAAATAAATAAAAAATGGCTAATCATGCATTCATTGATCTATATCTATCTAGCTTTTGGAAATTCACCACGATGAATCAATTCCACTTGTGAGATACGTGTTTCATGTGGTAATAGACCACGTCGTGGTAGAAACGTATGTTTCAATGAATATTTTAGTAAATTTGTCACTTGAGACATGTAAATATCTGAATAACGAAAAAGGCGGCGAGAAAAATATGTTGGATTATGATGTGTACGAAAAATCGAACCAAATTGTGGATTGAACAATGTTTTCGCTTCAAAACGTAATGCATCTCGTTGTTGTATCAATTGATTCAGTATGGCTTCATCCAAATTATTTTCATTACCTTCATCGACTAATTGTTGCAGTGCTTGTAATGCTGAAACGGCTTCTTTAAATTCCGGACTATTATGTGTTTCAATTTCTTTTTCCAATTCAGCAATAATGGCACCAGTACGCCAACCAAAATCCAACGTTATATCAGCCAAATCGGAATAAATTTGATCACCAAAATATATGACACGATTCGAATTCCAACCGGTCATTTTGAGCAATCCGGATACGGTACCTTCCATGTAGATTTTATCTCTATCCAATGTTGATACACGATTCCAATTCATACGATCATTGCCCAAGTTGAACGTTCGAAATGGTCTAGATATGATATGATATGAATTTGTATTTGAAAATTGACAAAATCTAAAAAAAAATACCTTGATTCTTTTTTAAAAAATGAAGGCTTACGAGCCTGTACGACGATCACATCGAACAATGAACGCCAATCATCACCAATCATATATTTCATTCCATTGTCACTGTCAAAAATTAGAACAATCAATAAATTGAATAATTCAATCAATTTGCAATTATACATACACAAAATGAAACGGTGAATTGGTGATGAGAAATACTTTTTTATTATGTTTTCGAAGATGTTCCATAAACACTGGTAAACGTTCATTTTTTTCCAAATAATCGGGCATTTTTTGTAAATCAACCATTTTATGTATAACTGGATGAATACTTCTTATGGCATTCTGAAAGAATTTCATTTTATTCAATTAGTATTTTACTTATAAAAAAAATCATTTCACTTACGGTTACATCATGATAAAGAATTTCCGGATAATAAGATATATTATTCTGTATAAAATATTCAGTCACATTTGATAGTAGGCACATTTCTGGTACGGAAAATAAATCATTCAATTGTTTCATTCGTACATTTTCCTTTTTGTTTGTTACAGATAAAAAAAATGATTATTATTAAATAGAAAGAATATCCGAGAATTTTCTCATTCATACTTCATAATTATCACCACGAATATATTGCCTTGGTATATAAAGACCATTATAAAGACGTATAATTTCATAACTAGGTACTGGCGATAATCCACGATACACTGAACCTAATTGTATCTGATGAAATGTGTCAATTTTCATTAGAAAACCCTGTACGAAAAAAAGAAACAAAAAATTATTTCGGATCATCATAATCATTCAAAAATCAGACATACATTTTCAATATCATAATGAAGACCACGAATAGCAAAATCTGGAATGTAATCAAGTAATTCAATATCTTTTGGATATTGAAATTTATTAATCAAAACATCACGTCCTAAATCATAGATAAGATAATCGAGTGATTCTTTATAACAGGCCAATGTATAATCATAATCAAAACCATAGATATCGATATCAGATAATGATAATTCATTATTAGTGAAAACACCTTTTGAATCGACTTCACCACCACTATAGGTAGCTGGCAATACAAATGAATCAATGATTAATGATGAAAGCGAAAACAAAAAAAAAATTTTCAATCAAATCAAACCTTTAAATGTTGATTTATAAATTTCAAGAATTTCTGTTTTTGTAAAAAAATTATTTTTTATTTCAATATCAGTGATGAATTTATCATCATCATCACTGCTGCTGCTGCTATTGTTATTATTCGTAAATGGACGCTTCAATTGTCGATTCGTTGATTGTATTAAATTCGTATTCGTAAATATCACATTTGGCGAATGGCTAATAACATTGTTATTAAAATTTGTAGCTAATGTTTGTAAAGCTCTACATTTTACAAGACTAGATTGATTGATTCTATTGATGGTAAACATCATTGTTTGATTGATTGTCTTTGTTACCAGTTTGATTGGCGATATGGATGTTGATGGCCATTTCAGTAGCCTAATATTCATCATCATCGAACAAAAAAAAAAAAATGAATTTTTTTTAATCAAAGGAGAATTTTGTAAAAGAAGAAATACATTCACAAAAATTTTTGTTGCCCACAATTTCAAGGATGTGTAGCAACATAGAGAAAAAAAATACAACAAAAAAAATTTTTTTCACGGCACCACGATGTCATTTACAAATTTTATAAACAAAAAACTTATGATGAATCCATTCATATCAAACATGATACAATGACATGATCATTGGTGGTGGTGATTTGTCATCCAAAATTTTTTTTTGTTTGTTCTTATTAAAAAGGAAATGGGGCAAATTTTTTTTTTTTAAATCACCATCTTCAAAAAAAAAAAAAAAAAAATTATTTTTATTCGAATATCAATGAAACAATGAATGCATGTAATGGGTTGACAATAACCAGAAAGAAAAAATTGAAAATTAATCAAAAACTTTTTAAAATTTTTTTTTTGTTCAATGAAAATAAAATGAAATTTTACACATTTTATCAATTATTAAGAAAAAATCCAAATCAAAATAAAGAAATGTTTTACAAATTTCACAACTTTACTGTGTATGTGTGTGTGTGTGTGTGCTTGTTTGATGTATGTAAAGATGATGATGATGATGGTGATGGTGATTTGAAACCTCGATAAAATACACATTTCATTTAAATCAATCAATCAATTTATATATTGACGACTATGTCATCTGGCTATGTCTTCTTCTTCTGGTTGGTGTTGTTGTATTATATTATTAATATGAGAGATAAAATGATTTTTTGAAACAAAAAAAAAAGAAAAAAAAATTTGTACCAAAGTGTGTAGATTCTGTTTTTGTTTTTTCATTCACCACATTCCAATATGACATGTTTTCTGACTAAGCTTCAGTCAATTGTTCATCATCATTTATATTACTAGCGGTTATATTGATAATTGTTGGTTTACCACTTTTATTACTATTATCATTATCATCACCAGCATTTAGAATTGTTTCATTTTTTTGATTTGTCAATTCTTTCGATTGTTGTTGTTGTTGTTGTTTTTCAATTGTTGATTCTGAATTTGCTGTTGTTGTTGTGGTTGATTCTTTCTCTGTATCGATTCGTGCAATTTTTATTGGTTTCAAATTATCATCATCATCACCACCATCATCATCATTGTCGTTATCGACTTTAGCGACATCATTATTTTCATCATCAATAGATTTTTCTTGTTCTTCATGTTGCTTTCGTTTTTGTGTTGTTTCATTCGATTCTTTTTCACCATCATTATCATCATTATTCGTTTCTTCTTCCACTACTACATCATCATTATTTTCATGATTATCATCATTTGTTTCATCATCATTATCATTCTGTTGAATTACAAATGATGGCCAAAAACCATCTACCAATTTTCGTAGTTTAATCTCAATCTTTGATCTACAAGGACTGATTTCATATCTTGATTCATTGGAATTAATTTCCTTATACAATTTAAATGTAACATTCGTTATGGCTGTCGGTAGATTACATATCCAATTCAATGAATTATCTGTCAATATAATATTGATATCATCTTCATAAAATAAAAATGAACGATTCTCCATCAATTTAATGTTCGGTACATGTATAACAATATTGACATATTTATCATCTTGATACCAATTATAATCCAATGATATTGGTTCTATTATCGATGCTTCTGGATGATTTGGATTATTCGTACGTGTCTGAGTGATTGTTATGGCTTCTGTACTATTTTCTTTCGATTCAAATTCAGCAGCCGACAATAAATTGTTAAGCTCATTCTTTGCATCATGTAATGATACAATACCAATAAATGATTTAGGTCGATTACCATTTTTATCTGGTATTATTTCCAAACTATGCCATCGTTTACGATCAGCTTTTTTCAAATTGATTACCAATTTCGATGTATCCACTGCCCAATTACTATCCGGTACGACAACCGTTTTGTATAGATTAAAATGCATACGAAATTGTCTACCATCCAATAATTGACACATGACATCAAGTGCATCATTAATAATTGTGACTTTTACATCATTCTCTTTAAGATTTGCTATTCGAATCGTTATGATTACATGCGATGTTGTTTGATACCAATCATATGGTACACGGGCGTTTCCAAAATTACCCGGACTTTGTTCCAACATTTTTTTCTTTTTGTTTTGTTCACGTTGAAGAATTCTACCTGAATGAAAAATAGAAAAACTTTTAATTAATGAAACAAATATTGTGAAAATTTGATATTTCAGAAACTTTTTCCATCTAAAAAAAATCATACCAAAATAGAATTGGATAACACTTTATAGACGTTATGCAAATATCAATTACCGGGTTCAATTGATTAATTATAATTATTAAATTGTATCGATAAATTGATATTTAGCCGTTATTTCTTTTATTTGGTCCAATGATAATAATTTTGTTTCAATCAAAAGTACAAAAATAACGATAAAAGCCAACGCAAAGAAAAATTGAAACACAGTCGGATAGTGTCGAAAGACACGAGATGGAGACGAGGATGTATGGCTCACAGTTGAGAGCATTATCGCTTTTTTTTTTTTTTTTGGACACATAAATGAATGGATACAACAACAACACACAACACATACACAGATAGATGTTGATATATCAACTCATTGCAAAGCTAACGGCATTGATAATTGTTGTGAATTATTTGTAGTAGTGGTGTGGTTGTAACAAGTTAATGCCGATCATCATCATCATCATCATCAATTCTCAGTATGACGAATGAAGAACGCGCGCGCTCGCTAGAACGTAGTAGTAACCCTATTTTTCTCAGTTTTTTTTACATGCATGAATATGAGCATTTCATAAACATATGTACAACAAACAGATTGTGAATGTGTATTGCATTTAAAAATTGTGAATATACGGTATTAAATGTATGCCAAATGAAATATTAGGGTAATGGACAACACTATCGATAGAAATTTTTTTTTTGGCTATTCAACATCTTTTATAATCTTTACCGGCTGATATACTGTAATTTAATAGTTTTTTGTCAGTTCGAATTTATAATTAATTAATCATAATATAAAAATAGACAATGTCATCGATGGTAGCTAATCAATCTGCTCGATCAGGTCCTATGGCTAACAATGAAGATAATGTTGATCGTGAAAAGGTATGTTTTATAATGTATATTCAAATGAATTTGAAAAAAAAAAATTTCTCCCATAATAAAGAAATGTCCATTATTATTGCGTGTGTTCATAAATACAAGCGGTAGACATTATCATCTTTCCGAATATAGTCGTGGTAATGTACCGAGTAAAGAGGTACAGATCTATACATGGATGGATGCAACATTGAAAGAATTAACCGGCCTGGTCAAAGAAGTAAACCAAGATGCACGAAAACCTGGTACACGATTCGAATTTGCTCTAGTATTTCCTGATGCACGTAATCCAATGTATCGAATTCGAGAGATCGGCATGACAATTAATGGACGAAAAGAACCAGATGATATGAAAACATTGGCACAATCACGATTTCAGATTGGCGATTTTCTCGATGTAGCCATTTCTAGTGGCAATGGTCCAACACGCGAATCTGATCATGATCGATCTCGTTCAGATCGGATACCACTTGGTGGTGGTGGTGGCGGATCTTCAGCACGTTCTCGTTATAATGGTGATCGTGATCATTTCGGTGATCGACGTGATCGTAGAGATCGTCCTTATTAAGATTGTCGACATTCTTTTTTTCTGCTCTCAATTCATCGAATACATTTTGTATACAATGTTTCTAATCATCATCGATATATTTTTTTTTCTTAATTTTTTGCTTATATTTATAATTGTAAAATAAAATTTAAAAAAATAATTATTGAATCGGTTGTTCAAGTGCAGATTTTGGATCATCACGATTTAGTAGAAAATGTGCCTGAATTCGGGCCATTGAAATTGGCCGTGGATATGTACGGCGAACATGGCGAACAAATTCATCACCATCACTTGATGAAGTTGTAGGAAAAAATCTTAAAAAGGCTCGCTTTAATTGTCGGTCACTAGCATCATCGATGAGCATTTTAACATCAACACGGCCAGGCCTAGTTAATGTATCGTCCAATAATTTCAAATGATTTGTAGTCATCATTAGTATACGGGCATCTGATCCAACTACACCGTCTAATGTATTTAAAAGGCCAGAATATGTAACACGTGATAGGCCTTCCCAGCGTTCTGGATGTCCATCATCTGTTCGTGGCCGTACTGAACAATCAATATCTTCGAGTAATACAAGCGAATCTTTTGGTGCTGTATTGACTAGATGTAAAAGACGATCATCGGTTAATGATGGATCGGATAGATTAAGTACACAAATTGAATAATTAAGATGGCCGGCCAATGCAAATATGAATGAAGATTTTCCAGATCCAGGTGGTCCATGCAATAGGTAACCACGACGATATGGTATACCACGTTTATGATACCATTCAGCTGATGATAAAAATCTTTCCACATCATTCACTAGTGTTTCGGCTACACCATCATCAAGTATGACTGAATCAATCGGTCGTTTTGAACGTGCCTGTCCGAAAACTCTCCATTCATGTCCAAACGGTACATATGTGGCCGTTTTATTTGCAGCTTCAGCCAATGCAATTGTTCGTGCTTCATCAAATATATAACTGAATATAGATTTATCACGACCTAAAGTGGTCAACGTAACCACTTCATATGGTCGACCGGCCAAAGCATCCATTTGTTCACGTACACGTTCACAGCGAAATATTGCACCACGATAACGAAAAAAATGTATACCCGGTGATGGAATATATGCAAAACGTGTGGAAATTCTGCCAGCTTCATCTTCATAAAATTCTGTACACATTGAAACATGTTGTGTTCGATATGATTGTCTTGTGATCCATTCCAAAATCCATTGATAACTTTTATCTAATTAAGATTTTTTTTCCAGAAAAAAATCAGCTTAGTAATAAACAAAAAAAAAAAAAAATAGTGAATCAATATCAAACCTTTAGAATTAACTTCACATGTAACGAATGCATAACGTCGAACACCGGCCCAAGCAATAATAGCAGCTTTACGACCAGCAGCTAAAGCTGCCGTCAAACCTACTAGACCGAAACCGGCGCCAAAATAAGGATTATTCTGGAGCGATCCGATTAATTCACCGATAGCCATATCGTTCAGAAATTAAAAAAAAAATCATGACCAAACGACTATTTCAACTGAATAGATATAACTTGAATTTTGAAATTTTTTTTTATAAATAAAACTTTTTTTTGAAAAATAATCTGCAGTATATAAAAAATGATGCTTGTAAATAATAAATGGTTATAAAAAAATTAATTATAAAATGAAATAATAGATAATTATTGCAATGATAATAATTTCAAATTAATTCCACTTCCACGATCGATCAAATGGATGCCAAACTAGTATGATGTTGTGGTCGATATTCAAAATCATAATCTGGTGGTGATGGTGGCAATTCTGGTGCTTGATCCGGTATATTTAGGCCTTCAATATCAAGCAATCGAAGTTTAACATCTAAATCTAATAACATTTCAACATCTTTTTTCGTTTCATTACTTGTCATATCTTGTTGTAGTAATGAATTCAGGCCATCAATCCAATAATCAAATATTTCTGGTTTTCCAGCAACAAAACATAATGGTTGTGGTTGTTGTCCATTGATTGAATCATCATCACGTGGTATAAGTGCAAATGCCAATGACATGGTGGTTTTTTTACCTTTTGAATCACGCATATGTGGACATTCTTTACCCACAACCAAACGTCCAGCATCAGCAATGTCAAATTTAGAAGTAAGTTTTTCATCTAGATTTTTACAATCTTCATCCACATCACCATACAATAATGTTTTATGATTTGGTGATAGACGACAATACCAGAATTTATCCTTTAATCGTTGACCTATATGAAAATGATGAAAATAAAAGAAACTGATTCAGTTTTTTTTCCTACATACCTTTGGCAGTGTATTTATCAAATCTTGTACCACGAACAAGATAATTTAGACGATTTTGTCGTACTATAGTGGTCATTTCAGGCAATAATAATCGTTTCAATTCTTGAATTGCAGGCATTTCTTCTTTACGTTGTTCACGTTTCAAACGTTCTTCACGCCAACGATGTGATATTTCTGTATAACTTATTTTGGATAATTCTTTTTGGAAATTTTCAAAAGAAACTGTAGCATTTGGATTGGCAAGAATTTTGTGAAATTTTTCTGCTAAAAAATCACACGCTATATCTAGATCATTGAAAGTAGCATGAATTTCATGCCATGTTCGATTGAATAATGATAATCCAATGCTGAAAAATTCTTCTAATGGTTCTTCATGTTTCAATAACATTGGATAAAATTCATGTCCTTCATCACGTGGTGGTTTTCCAATGCCCAACAGTTTAACAATCAATGAAAGTATTCGAAATGATGCAATAATCAATGGACAATCATATGGCCGAGTTTCACCGGATGATGATTGATTGGCCATTATAAAACGAACAAATGATTCATTGTGTTTGCCCGAATAATAGCAAAGAAGATTTAGTATCCATAATCCGGGTGGATCAATAAAAATTTCGGCTGGTGTAGCTGGCGAACCATTCGGTTTGGATGGTAATAGCCCGAATCTATCAATAGTTTCATTGTTATTAAGCATAAGAAGTGTATCATTAAATGTATTTGATTTATTTGATACTGTTGAATTTGAACGATTCAAACCACTACCGGTGCTCGTATTGGAAGATTGATTTGCCGTTGTCGTTGTCGTTGTACTGTTTGTATTGAATTGATTCTTAATTAAATTATCCATTTCACTATCATAATTTCGACGTATTTCACGCCATTTTTCATTCGTTTGTTCTGGTGTAGCAACTTTAGTTAATTGTTCATCATATGAACGAAGTAATAATGTTTGCAATACATATAATTGATGTGTAATTTCACTTCCATTATCACTATTATGAAATTTTTTGAAAAAAATTTAGAAATTTTTATCAAACAAATATGACACGAATAACTTACGTAACATAACGAAGTATAGTTTCTTTGAATATTCGAAATTGATCACGCCGTTTAGATGGATCCAGATTCTGAATAATAGCATTGATTAAAGCCAATACATTTTGTTGAATATCCGGATATTTTTCATGTTCCAATAAAAGTGATAATTTTTTTATCGGTAATTGTTCACGAATAATGGGCAGAAATAATTTAGCCGCATTTAAAATGGCTGATTCCAATATACTCAATGATAGAATGAGAATTCGACGTTCAGCATCTGGTATCATTGGTGCCGACATTGATAAATGATTGGATTGTTGTTGTTGTTGTTGCTGAGATGGTTGAACTAAAATCATAAATCTATTACTAGAAATCAATTCAATAATACGTTCGATGAAATTTTTTTCGATTACAGCAGTCTGTCCAAACCAACGTATTATATCATGTTCCATAATTTTGGCAATGATATCCAGAATGTAGTGTAATTCAAATTCATTGAATTTATTTGCTACAAACGATGTAATAAGCAATTGAAATCCTTTTTGTTCATCGAATTCGGCCACAAACGCTTGATCTGATGCATAAACACAAATTTTCTTCAATAATGGCAAACGATCTTGACATGTCCATTCACGTAATGATTGTTGAAATTCTTCCAATAATTTCGATACAACATAACGAACTGAATAATATAGTTCAATAACGGCACCTTGTGTAAAACATGAACGATATTGATGTTCTTCAGTGATAAATCGGAACAAATGTTGCGTTTCATCCAATGTCATGATAAGTGAATATTCTTTTTTCGGATCAAGATTCCAGAATTCTCGGCTATAATCAATGATTGATTGAATAGATGTTTTTTGACCTTTTGGCAGTTGATATAGAAACCAATTTAACTAAATCGTAAAATAATCGTTAACAATATTATTACATTTCGTGATCGTGACTACGATAATACCTTATCCGATGATTTATTCTCATCTTTTAGTTCGGGATGAAGTTGTATGGCAAATTTTATGAGACTATTACCACCACCACCAGCACCACTATTATCTTTACCTATGGATAAATTTGAATCCATTTTAATCAATTTTTTTTTCGTTGTTGAGAATCGAAACTTTTTCAATAAAATCTTTGGTTCGGTGGTGGTTTGTCGTTGTTATTGTTGCTGTCATAAATTTGTTAATGATAATAATAATAATATCATGAATGACAGTTATATTTTCTACCAAAACATTTCCTTTCGATTTGTCATGAAGGAGGAGTCTATTGAACCAATACAAAATTGTATGGTATATCGGTTTATGATGACCAGATTGGTGATCACGTGATCAAATTTTATTCAATATTAAAGTATGAATAATTTTTAATGAAAAAAAAAATTTATATATTCATTTTAATTAACAAAATTCTTTTTTTTTATCGTAAATACAAATTTGGAATTCAACTATATAATAGTATAGAGTTGTATACACATCTCTCCCTTTGTGGATATAGAAAATTCAACGATATTTATAATGTTTTTGTTGGCCATCATCCAAAGGTAAATAAATCGAACATAATCCAAAAAATTGATTAATTGAGCTATGGAAAAAAAAATTTTGATAAATTAGATAAGTTGTAAAAATCAATAATCGATTTACCTATTTATCACATAATGATGAATGATTGGTTCGAAAATAAATTGCACCAAAGCATACCAAATGATGGCCATAATAGTGCCAATCATTGCACCATGAATACATTGATGTACATGATGATATAATAGATATGTTCTATAACAAAAAATGTGAAAATTTCATTACAAAAATCAATCAACCAATTTGAAATCATAACCATTACCTTGAATGGAATACAAATGCAAAGCTAATCAGATCAATACAAATGAGCATAAAACAGAACCAATATGGTTTCAAACGGCTAAGACGAAAACAAACACAAAATGATGAATAAGTAACAAAGAATGCCATAAATTGACAATGACTTGATGGCCATCCATATGATGATGATGATGATGATCCCGATGAAGTAAATTGATCACGAAATTTATTCGCTGGTCTATCGGCTTGTACATGATTTTTGAGTAAATAATTGATTGCTTCATTAATTAGTTGCCCAATAAAGAATAAAATCTGTAGCAAAAAAAAAATAATAAAATCAAATTGGAATAATTTAATTCAATCAAAATTACAAACCACATGAATGTCACGGACAAAAATGGTCAATGTAAAAAATGCAATAATAATGGCAAATGGTAGTAATGATACAAAGGCTAGAAAATTTCCATACAAATCACCTGTAAATGATATTAATCAATAAATAAATGAAATGATTAATGAAATTATCGATTAATTACCTTTTGGATAAACTACCAATGTTAATGAAAGTGTTTTCCATTCTTCGGACATGATGATTCAATCGATCGAATGTTTTTAAACAATACCGATATGGAGAAATATAAAACAGTGTGTGTGTTTTGTTGATCAACATATGTGTTAGTCATAAAAATTATCGATAGTATCGTCTTCTAAATCCTAGCCATTATTATCGAAAATCATCATTCTTCATCATGAATTTGTTACGGTTGTCATTGCCATTGTGGATGATTTGAATGGATAAGGTAAAAGCCAAAGAATCTTGGGAATATTACCAAACATTTCGCGTAAAATAATCGAACGATTTTTTGATATTGGCTGTAATGATGTCATTCTTGTGGTGGCTGTATTATTATCGAAATTATTATCCATTCTTCGTGATGCATAATAATCACGATAATTTATACCATTGCCTGATGATGAATTATTATTGAAAATATTTTGTAATTGATCAAAGAATACGGCTATGGAAAATATTCCCAATACAAATGATGCCAATGTGATTAGACCAATGTGTACACTATGGAAATAATGTGTGTGTTTGTGAAACTACTACATTTGAAACATTTCAAAACAATTAAAAAAAAACATACATTCGAATTGGAATACCAGGAGGCATTAGTATTAATGAAAAAATGATCGATCCAACTGTATAGAGACAACCAATGACTATTTAGTTCAAACAAAAAAAAATCATATTAAATGAATCAAAAATGAAACAACAACAACCTCGATACTTACAGGCATATGATGTGAATTGTAGAAAATATTTTTGATTATATTGGCCAACACAATTATTGATCCATGGACAATGATGATCCATACGTAATATACAATGACGACATATATGACAATGATGTGCACCGGGTGGCCGATAATGATGGCAATGTTTACAATATGTCCAATCTAATTCGTACATATAATTTGGCTGAATATTTTCAAAATTTTCCGCCACTGGATACATTTGTCCATTGAAATCAATCGATGTTGGATCGATAATGTCTGAAAGAAGAGCAAAAATTGCAAATTTAATTATCAAAACATTTTTTTGTTCTCTCGAAAACTTACAATCAATTTCACCAAAATTTTGTGATTGTTGTTGTTGTTGTTGTTGATGATTATGATCACCATTTACTACTAGATCAATCGAACAATCATTCGTCATTGTAGTAACGACCGGAAACGATTGATGATCAGATGGTAATCGTTTCACCGATGTTTGACGACAATGTTGTTGTTGTTGTTGTTGACGGCCACGACGACTACGACGTTGGCGATCAATACGTCCAGCATCGGAAAATACACACATTAAATGTGACCAGATAATCATAAAAAGGCATATTTGATAAATACCAATTAATGATACATAAGGTATAATACTGACAGATGGACATGGGAAGTGGAAGAAAAAAAAATTTTCGAAATTTTTTTTTTTATTATTTAAAATAAAACAAAACATGACCTGAAATTACCTGAAATATGAATATGGAACAATGTAAAAAATGTAAACAAAATCTACATAACCGATTAGACCGTAAAAAAATGCAAAACAAATCATTCCAAATGGTTCAAAATTAAAAGCCATTGTTGTTGTTGTTGTTGTTTTTGATCGATTTATAATCAAATATCAAAAAAAAAAAATTCATTTCATTCATTTCATCCAATTCCAATTTCAACTATTACAATCATCATCACCAGCATCATCAATTAATCTCGGGATACACCTCAACAAAAATGAAAAAAAAATCAGTCAATGATGTATATGTGAAAATGGCGCAGACGTACGATGAATTCGGATCAAACATTCGATTTGATATATATATAGTAAACAGACTTGAATCTTTTTAATCCGAAATTCAATCAAATCAATCACTAATCAGATTCGTCAAGAGATTTGATTGGATTAGGTTGATGATGATGATGGTAAACTTTTAAACATTTTTACAATTTTCTCCCAACTATAAACAATCGATTTGGTTGGGCCAGCAGTGAAAAAACCTTTTATCGTTTGTGTTGCAGATGATCTAAATACAATCCATTGTATTGCACGTTCTACATAACGACGATATTCTAAATCAGATGCAACCGAATGCATTAAATCTTCGATATCAAATTGATGTACAATTTTTCGTGTATGCCATCGATTTCTTGTATATTTTCGAAGCGTATTTTCAGCCAACCATTTTTGACCAATATATAATTGAACTGTTTTTGGTAATAAATTCAAATGCCATTGAATAGAATTATTTGAATAATTTTGTTCAAAATTCCAATCCAAATCATTTGGTTGATGTTCTGAGCATCGTAATAGATTTTTAAAACGATCACATTGAATTAATGGTTGATAAATATGACGAAATCGTTCCATTTGTGGCCATACAATTTTTTCCACTTTTGAACGATCTTCACCAAACCACATACGAAAATCACCGGAATAACTTAGATTAGCAATAGTCATATAAAGCTGTTTTTCGGTAAATTTTTCTGGCAACAAAAGTAATGCAGCATGCAATGCACTATGACGATTCAATTCAATAGCATTGTATAGATTACGAACGGAAAAATCTTGTTCATCATTTGATTTGATATTTTCATGTAGAACCAATATTGGTTTATGTAATCGACCACTTAGATAAAGAGTTTCCCAATCCAGTAGATCGTTGAGAAAATCTTCAGTAGAAATTATACCATATTTAATGAATAGATCCGATTCGATTGGAACCAATGTATTGTAGTAGATTTTTGCAGCAAATTTCCGTTGTATATTTGCAACGTTTTTTGGACCAAAATAACGTAAACCAGAATAATGTGACCAATTTTTCGACATATTAGCTCGATGCCATCTGATTGGATCATCAACAGCTAAAACTAAATCGACCATTCGAGATTTCGATGATGGCAATGGTGGTGACGGTGTATTATTGACCGTGTTGCCATTTTGAATACTTTGATCAAATACAGCCGAACCATAAGCAAAACAATAGGATATTTCATCATGTAATGGAAAAATGTTTTGCAAAGATTTTAATTTCTGTACATTACGAATCATTTCGTTGAAAACAAAAACAATTCGAATTTGTGAGATCACAAATGATTGTGTGGGTCACATGTGTGTTCTTCTCATGTGCGTATAACGCGGCTATTTAGATCTGAACGGATCACAGTAATACAAATCGTATCCGAACAAAAAATTTTTGCAAAACAAAAACAAAAACAGAAATGAAAAAAAAAATTTATTTATTCAAAATGAGTTTTGAGTTGAAATTAAAATTCAATTCAATTAAAAGTTACGGTTGAATTCGATAATATTGTTGCCATTTTCGTTCGATTGGATCCAATTCAAAAATGAATCGATCATGTGTACGATCACTTTGACCTTGCCAGAATTCAAATCGTTCTGGTTGTATATGGAAACCGCCCCAAAAATCTGGTCTAGGAATGACGATATTGTCGCCGAATTTTTTCACCTCTTCTTGTTGTCTTTGTATCAATGTTTCACGTGAATCAATTGGACGTGATTGTTCGGATACACGAGCACTAATCTGTGAAATTCTTGGTCTTGAATGAAAATATTTATCCGATTCTTCTGGCGATGATTTTCGTGCACAACCTTCAATCCGTATTTGACGTGAAAGATAATTCCAATAGAATAGTAATGCAACATGTGAATTTTGTCGCTGTAAAAAAATCAAATCATCATTCACTATATACACCTGGACATATTTCTCATTGTACTTACAATTTCCATTCCTTTACGACTTTCATAATTTGTAAAAATGGTGAAACCATTTATTGGATCGTAACCTTTTAGCAAAACCATTCTTGATGATGGTCGACCATCTCTTGATGTAAACGAAAAAAATGATAATAATAATAATATAAACAAACAAACATTCAATCATTCAGTTAAACAAACTTTGTAGCCGTTGATAAACATACGGCATTCGTTTCAGTCCATTTATCATCTGGTGCTTTTTGTTTGGCCACCTCAAACCAATGATGAAATAATTCAAATGGATCATTAATTATATCCTTTTCGGCGAGAATTCGACGTCGATCAGAATATTCTTTTCGCATTGCTTTACCATTACCACACACACACACACACCGATAGTATAATCAATCAATTGATCAGATCAATTAAATTCCATCCGGACTTACCACTTAAATCGGCCGACATTTTTGTTGTTGGGTGAAAAAAAAACAATTTCACACTTTCAACAAATCAACTACGACTTTGAAATGATTTGCCAGACAACAACAACAACAACAACAGCAACAATAAAAAAAAAATTTTCGTTGATGTGTAAAGAAAACATTCGAAATACTGTAAACCAGCCACTGTCTATCATCAAATTCAAACGATCGATCGATCATGAGACATTTACAATTCGATTGATAAATTACCAATTTTCTCCACATTCATTCATCGTCATAATCATCATCAATCAATATAAAAGAAAAATTAGGCAACAAGAAAGAATGAAACATTTTTTTTATTTGATCATTTCAAAAAAAAAATGACAAATGAAAAATGAAATGAGATTTTTTTTTTTTTTTGTTAAGGTTTTCTTTTTGTTTTATATGTATATATGATTTGTGTGATGAGCATGAATGATCAAAAAAAAAAAAAAAAAAAAAAAAAAAATGGAAAGTGTGAAAATCATCAAAATGAATCAAATTAATTAAATAATAATAATAATAATAATAATATACCACGATGATCGATGAGAAAAAAAAATAGTTTTTTTTGAAGGACAGCAGACACACACACACAAATGGAAAATGGAATGAAAAATTTGAAAATCCTAATCATTGTTTTTTGGGGACGGGGAGAAAATAAAGTTAAAACACTAAACAACTCCTAGATCATCATCATCATTATCACCTCTCATCGAACAAATTTTTTTTTTACTTCAATTTCATCAATTTAACTGTCATGTTGGTGTGTGTGTGTGTGGGTGTATGATTTCAATTTTGTTGTTGTTGTTGTTGTGAAAGAGAAAGGAAATATTTAAAATAACAACAAAAAAATGAGATTAAAATTCGACAAAAGAAAAAAAAACCACTATCACATATTATATGATTTATACAACGGAAAATTGATATACTGATGATGATGATAAAGGACAGAAGAAAAAAATCAAATGATTCGATTATTCAACTTTATTAAGAGGGATGTATGTGATGGATGATCAATGTGTTGTTTGTTTTTCTTTGTTTTCTTTTTTTTTTATTTTTTTTTTTTTTTTTTTGGTGGACAATTTTTTTAAGTTTATAATTGATTGATTGATAAAGAAATTTAAGAAATCACAATCATGATTGATGATAAAATGAAAATTGATTAATTTGAATCACAAACAAAAATATATTTATATTTCATTCAAAACCGATTTTGGCTGTTTTCTTTCTCCAGATTAGGTCATACATTGGTGTTTAGATGTTATTGTACACCCATGCACACACACACATATACAAACACGAATTACAAAAATCGAATAGCATCGATTATTTAATATTTATATCAAATTATTCGGTTAGACAATGAAGAAAAAAAAAATAATGTCAAATCAGATGCAAATCGATGATTGTTGCATAATTGATGATTGACGATCAATAACGATGAAAAAAAATGACGAATGGAGAATTTTTTTTTTCATATTTAACAATAGTAACACAGCGATCACACACATAAAACAGATGAAATTTTCTAGATTAATCGTCACATCAGCAAATTATATCAGATGAATATGATATTGATGATGTTGTGTGTGTGTGTGCGTGAAAATTAAAAAATAATCATAGAGAGAGAAATATCAAATATGAATGAATGAATGAAATGAAAACATGTTTTTTTTTAATTATATCACAAATTTTTTCGATGATGTTGTTGCTGAAATGATGATGATGAACCAGTTACAATTGGAATATTATTGCCACCAACACCACCACCACCATTCGCATTTGAATGTTGAAACATTAAACCCAATTGTTGTTGTATCGCATAGGCAGCATCTGCTTGTTGTTGATGTAACATTTGTTGCTGATGATGATGATTATTATTATTATTATTATGACGATTATTATTGTGACGATTGTAATATTCATTAGAATTTGTTGTTTCCATTGAATGATTTGATTTGAATTTCTTATTACTACTCATTTGTTGTTGCAGATTTCTTGTAGATAATTGATTATTATTGTTGTTATTATTTATATTACCACTAATTAATGATCGATAATGTTGATTCAACAAATTATGCCTATTTATTAACGAGTTGTTGTTGTTTTGGATGTTTAAAAAATCAATGTTTTGTTGTTGTTGTTGAGCAAAATTACTGATGTGACCATTATTATTATTACTCATAATAACATGATTGTTGTTGTTCAATGCGTTAGCAGTAGAACTACGTTTTTTATTCGTTTGTTGTTGATTCATATTATTACTTTGGTAATTGTTGTTGCTATTATTGGCCATCGAATATCTTGTCTGTTGTTGTTGTTGTTGAGATTGTGAACCAACAGAAATCGGATTCACCATTGATCTGAAATTTCTTCCACCAGCCGTTGAATGATTCATCTATTTATTTATGAAAATCAAAGATCAGAATCGGAATTAAAAAAAGATCAATATCAATTACCTGTAGCTGAGATTTTCGATCACCAGACATGTTTGATGTAGGAGTAGGATTCACCGGTTGTTGTTGTTGTTGATGCTGCTGCTGTTGTTCGGCCGGCGAATAAGCAGCAGCCGTTGAACTAGAACTTGAATATGCACTATCAGGTGAAAAATTTGTCATCAATAATGCTCCTAATGCAGGATGCTGTTGTTTCTGTTGATCATTAGTGGACGAATTGGATTTTTGGTCCGAAGATTTTTTCATTACACCCGGCGGTGATCTATGAAGACGTAGATATTCTTCGGATAAAATTTTCTGTATCAATTGTGATGATGATAATGGTTCACGATATTTTTCACCAATTTGTATCACCATTTTTTTCATTTCAACAGGATTTTTCATATCCGTAATGATAGTTTGACACCAATCATCCGGAAGCTAAAATAATCATTTGATCCATATTATGGGAATGGTCAGAAAAAAATGGCAAACACAAACGAAAAGAATAAAATTGGAAAATTCTAAATTATTTAGCTAGAATTTTCTCACCCTTATCGTTTTGTAGCAAGCAGCCAAATAGATTGATACAGCAGCCAAAAATGGTGCCGTATATTCCAGACATAGGGTAGATAATCGATTCAATTCTGAAGCAATCTGATATGCTGCAGTGTATAATTCTTGTGTAGTGCCGGCAATTGGATTACGTGAATAACTTTCAACCACCAACACTTGAAAATGTGTTACACGTAAATTATCAAATCCTAATAATTGTATCATCAAATTTTCGTCCAATATTAATCGATCACAGTATTCAATATATTCCTAAAGATTATCATAATTGAAAAAAATTAACAAAACAAAAACAACAACCAATCAATGTCAAAAAACATACCTTATCATCTTTATTCAATTTATGTGATGGCTGCTGTTTGTTGACATAATTATTAATCAACAAATATGATACCTGTATAAGATGATCTTTCGGCAACGGATGATCTTCATATTTACAGGCAAAATATAATGATGCCATAGCAATACGTATAGGATCATATTGCCTAAATGATCGTAACATAAAAAAACGATGAAAGTAGACATATGCCGTTTCTTTACAGATAGGTTTCATTTTCAACAATTTCGTCAAATCTCTTATAAATTTTGTTCCTTTACGTCGATATTCAATCTCGTCCGTATAACTAATACCATGTCGCCTTGATGGTGTATGATTGATGATAAAATCTTCACGAAATATCCATGATGAATTATAATGGCTATTCGAACGTTCATTATCATCGTTATCACCACCATCGCCATCTCCATCATCATTATAATCAAGATCATCGTTTTCAATCATAGGCCCATATCCACAAGATGATTGTTCATCTTGATCACCCGATTCAGACAACGACAATAAAGATTGTTGATTATTTGAACCAGATCGAAAATCATTTTCACTAATCATTCTTGATGGAGCCATTTGTGAATGGTGATGATGTTTATGATGACTTAATGGTTGTTGTTGTGAAATAGCTGCTGCTGGTGGTGAAATTGGTAGATGTAAAAATGATTCAAATGTCGAATGAAATTGTTGTTGTTGTTGATGACCATATTTGACTTGTTGTTGTTGCTGATGTGGATAATGTCCTTGCTGCTGCTGCTGTTGATATTTTTGCCGATTCAATGTCGATGATACGGCCGCTTGATGTGGATGATGATGATGATGGTGTAGTTGATGTTGATGATGCATTTGTAATGGCGGCAATTGTTGATGCTGATGATTCTGTAACAGTGACGATGACGATGATGATGGTAGTTGATTATCTAGAACAAAATGAAATTTAGACGACATATCTCATTTGTTGAATTGACAATTTTCAAAAGCAAAAACAATCTTCAAGGTTTTAGATAAATGAATTGATTGGTTTATCAAATCCAGACAGACAGATAGACGATCAAAGATGATTATCACAAATCAATATAATTAAGATGACAATAAATTCGATATTGAAAAGGACAAAAACACAAACAAAATAATAAACAGAATTTAGAAAAAGAAATTCTGATTGAAAATTACAACAGCAGCAAGACAGGATAATCCACAAATACAAAACAAAAAAATCACATAGAATTCAGCAACTAATCAACAGCAACATACATAAACACTCACACATACCACACACCAACAAACCAAAAAAAAAACGAAAACGAAATTCCTTATAGCTTCTTTTCCTTTATGATTTTTTTTTTCGAATTGATCAACAATAACGATGAAGAAAACAAAAATTGAGAAATCGAAAATTCGAAATCACAACAAAAAGCCTATTATTGGCTACTGAGTGGTGGTGATGGTCAATTCAATTCTTCGATTTTGTATTGCATTTCGTCAGTTTTTTGAAGTTTGTTATCATTACTTCAAATAAATAAAAAGGTCACTTTAATGTCGAAAACCTAATTAAAGAAATGACCAAAAAAAAATCTAATTAGATAATAATGACAAACCAAATCCAAATGATAAAATTCGAACAATTCGACACATCACACACACACATGGGTACATTAAATGTAACAAATTGGAGAAAATATTTATCCTTGGAATGAATCTATATACTTACATTATGGTTATAATTTGTTGGCTGTAATTTATCAATGAATATTTCCGGTGGAAATGATTATGGACGGTAATTATTGATGATATGATTATTAAATTTTTCGACAAAAAAAATGCCGACAGCCAACAAAACAACAACAAAAAAAAACGACGCAATTTTGACTCATCAAAACAACGTAGCTTTATGGCTTTATACCGCTACAACAAAATGAATGCGCTCACAAGTTGTTTGTAGTAGCATGAAAATATCGTATATTAAAAAAACACACCCTCTTGTTCTCTTTCTGTACTGTTATCTATGAAAGGCACCGACAATGCCGTTAATTTTGTTTGAATTTTTTATTTTTATTTTTTTTTTTTGATTTTAATTCAACCAACATAAAATTGGCCCATGAATCTGATGAAATCAATAAATGATTTGACAACATCAATTCTTATAATTAAAGTTCAAATTTGTGATGAACAAGCCTGAAACTTTGTGTTTAATAAAAAATCACTTGTTGAATAAATAAATTTCAATTTCATCATTAATCATGTCGATCGAACAAAGAATCAATCCATATCTATCAGAATGGATAATGGTTCATGAACCAATGAATCATACCGAATGTATACATCTACTTGAAGAACGATTTATCCAAAGACGGCTTACTAAATTGGAAGTCATCGAACATATTTTATCCATGTTAATTGGATTCGAATCCGAATCATTCATTTGGAATGATAAGCAAAAACAATTTGAACCGACCAAATGTTATTCAATGACTAATGTCAATCTACAATCATATCAATCCTTTCTATACAGATTTGCTCCAATCGGTACAATGTATCGTCGTATGTCTACATTTGTTGAAACGGAATATTTTCGTGGTAAAACCTTTTTTGCATATCAAAATGTTCTTGGTAAAATCCTTGGTGAAATAATGGAGAAAACCTTAAAAGCTCGACAACATTTCATCAATTTGGCTGATATTCATCCGGATAAAAATGTTCGATTAATTCTGGTCGAATCATTTTTAGATTCCGAACAAAATGATCAGCTATTGTTATCGATACGAAATCTATATGCCATTCATCAGGAAATCATAATGAATCGTAATGACCAACAGAATCAATCCGATGAATCAACAAAATTATCCGATTCATTATTTCAAATGGAAACAAATCTTCATCGACATTATTGTCGTCAAACATTGAATGCCATACATAAACGTCTGTCGATACCTGATGTACGAATTCGTAGTTTAGCCTATACGATGCTTGATCATTGTTTGCGGATAATGTTCATATCATTAGAAACGATGCTCAAATCATTGGATTCTTTATCAGAAATTCAATCAAATGAATTTTTATTTGAATCAAAATTTCGTTCAAAAAATCAATTATATCATACTGTTTGTAAGATGGCCGAAATGTGTAAATTTTGGCATGATTTTCTTTTCGTCGACGAACAATTCAAATCACTGCATTTATTTCAATTCGAATCATTACAATTGATGGCTGAAGCTATAAAATGTGCATTTGTAAGTCGTATAAATCATCTTCGACTTGAATCATTGGATCGATTTACATCGATTCGAATTATGGATTTATTTCGTTCAATAATGTCTCGATTGCTCAAGATTAATTGTCGAAATTCGGATCACGAAATATTCGATATTGATTGTGATTCATATGAAATTCATATTGAATCAAATCTGATGGAATATCATGTACGACGGTTTAAAACGTTTCGTTTACCATTAAATACTGTATTGAATATTACCGATATATTGAATGAAGCATTGAATGAAACATTCGAAACAATAAGTCGACCAATTGTATTGGAATTCTTGCCGAAATTTCGTCACCATTATTTACGGCTATTTAATTATTATACAAATTTTTTTCTCTGTCAAAATGTCCACCATACATTACTGTATATGTATTTTTTGTTTCCCGTATTGAAAGATCATCTTCATCGGGCACGTCATCATCGTTCATTTTCAGAATTGGATTCATTAATGAAACAAATTCATCATTCATATCTACATAATGATGATCATGATGATGGTCTTGATTTTTTCGAACCACATATTTCAATGACAATTCAAACGGAAAAATTTAAAGACTATTTCAACACTAACAATGATTTCGATTGGATTATACATTCATTCGATATATTCTATTATGTACCATCATCATCGATTTTCATTAATGATAATGGATATTCATTTGATTTATCGCAAAAAAAAAGAAAACGAACAAAAATTACCGTTGATGATCATCATGATGAAATTGATAATTTTTGGCCATTAACACTCATGTTTAATGCAAAAATTAATGATCTTTTCAATGAAATGTTTCAATTTCTACTTCGGTTACGATATTTTCAATATCTAATTGGTAATGATTTTCTATTATCATCAAAATTTCGTTATAATGATCTGCAGAAAAATATCTATCTTTTTCGATTTCGTTTGGCTAATCTTATATTTCAATTTGGTTATCAAATGGAATATCGTTTAAAAGAATTAATACAACAAACTGTGTATCGTTTTCAGAATGATACCCGCAATATTGAAGGATGTTTTCAGGTACATCAAAAATTTCTAGAAAAACTTGAACAAATTAAATCACGTGTAATTGAATCCGATTTTATACGGCAACAATTTCGTACTATTGCTAAATTTTGTCATTCAAATTCAGATGTACAATCATTAACGGACACAACCGTAAAGAATCGTCGCCGTTCTATTGTTGATAATATAAATCAATTGGATCGTGTTAGAGGTGAAGATTTTATTATTTGAAATTTTAAAATCATCATCAATATTTATTTATATTCAATTTAATTTCTATATTTTTTCAAAACATTTCTCATTTTAAATTTTAAATAAAATTTCACACAATTGAAATTGTTTTGCTAAATAATTAAAATCGATATTTTTCTAATAATTTGTTTTTTTCTTTTTCATATTTTGGTTATGAATGAGTTATGAACGTGTTTTTGTTGTTGTTGTTGTTGTTGTTGTTATTTTTTGTACGTGTTAATTGACACTAAATTCAATCAATAATGTTTGTTTGGCATCCATTTTTATCTGGCTAAGATTAATATCGATACCAATTATTGAATCTTTTGTCTTTGAATCATTATTGACCATAATGACACGTCTAGAAATGACCACATCTTGATAAGGTAATTCATTAGAATCAATCGATATGGTTTGTGGTTTTGTCTGTTGATTAATCAACAATAGATAGCCATTATCATTTTTAGCACCACGATACAATGCAAACACTGATGATGATCCTTGTACTTTTGGCAGGATAGTACGTCCAGCTAAAAATGTTTCTGGATAATCTTGTCTTAATTTTAGCATTCTTTCCGGTATATTTGATTTATTCAATACAGATTGTATATCTGGTATGGCTGCCAAATCAAATTGTAATGCTGGTGTAACACGTGGCATCATAAATATGGCAATCGTTGCACCTTCAGCCATTGATAGACCCCATTCACGATTGATACGATTACTTGGATCGGCTGGATGCTGTATCTGATATGTACGCCAATGTTTACCAACATTTTCTCTGGTTACCAGATTATCAGCATCGGTTTTATTCTCATTACTCATTGTTCGTTGTTCATGTTCAACATATGGTGCAAATCTTTTTTCAAATAATTCTTTCAATCCTTTTTGTGTATCTGGTTGAAATTCTTTTTGTATATCTTTCCAGAATTTTGAATCCGGTGCCATATCGAATGAAGCTTCTTCTTCACCATCTTCGAATGCACTTTCAGCCAATTGTTGATCAGTGATAAGAAAAACTTTATTCTGTCCGGCTGTTTTCACTGCACGTTTCATATCCAATTCAGCCTCTTTAGATTTGGTCATTTCACCGGTTGCCGGATCTTGAATCCAAACGGCACCATTTTGAATACCTTCAATTTTGGTCTTCATCCATGACAATATAGTATCGCGAATTAATTCTCGTACTTTAGATGAACCATAATTCAATAGTGGACTATTGTTTGAACTCAATGCAACGTATTGAAGTCGATCAACATCATATTTGTAGAACTGAGTTTTTGGTTTTTCACTTGACCAAAGATATACATCTTCATAATCGGATTGATTAGATTTGGACCAATTATACCAATAAAATGATTCTGGTGTTTGTTGTAATCGCAATGAAACAATAACTTTAATTTCTTTATCATTTTTAGCCAATGCAGTGATTTTCGATCGAAGTTGACCAATTGAATCACGAGTCGAATTATTATCGTTTGGTTCATCCATCAATATATACGGATCAAATGGACCGATAATAATTGTGTCGACATTTTTTTCGGCCAATTCTGATAATCGTGATTCAACTTTATCCAATTTAGCTGCCAATTGATCAACATAAATACTACGATTAGTTATTGGTATTTCACTCAAATACAATTCCATTATTGATGATTTTTTCCACCATGGAAGTGATGCTGTAGCTGGACAACCAGGTGCCATTGCCACAATAATCACTGAACCAATAAGCATAGCGAACCAAATTACCCAGAATAAGATGAATAAAAAGGTACGTAAACGAACCCAAAATGGATCGTTAGCATATTTCATCAGTTCTTGTTTAGTCATGCCAACACCGCTACGTATAGCGGAATTCGGCACAGCACCACCACCACTGGAACCAGATGGTGATAATAAAACCTGTCCATTGGTTGGATCACGTTGTGCATTGGAATTCGGTGTAAATTGAACCTGATTCAAAACGAAAAAAATAAAAATTCAGATTACAATACTATTTGATTGTAAAAGCGAAATCATTTTTTTTTACCGAATCATTTGGTGGATTTAACAACATCCTTGCCTCTTTGTCCGGATCGATTGAATCATCAACTGGTGAATGATCTGGTGAATTTGTCATATTTTGTTTTTTCTTTTGTTGGCAACACTGTAATAAAAAAAAAAAATTAAATATGTGAATGAAAAACAATACAATAACAACTACGTTGTCGTGGATTTAACCTAGACGCACCAAATATTTAGCGAGAGAAAAAAAAATCTTATGATATAAATTTCGATGATGATGATGACGATGATGATGATGAAGATGACGAAACAGAAAAAAAAATTTTATTTACCAAAAGATTGGTGTTTGATTTTCTTTTCTTTTCTTGTACTTTGCACGTGAACGGCTTATTTAGTTTGAAGAATTGTGCTGTGTTGTGCTGTGTAAAAAAAAGAAATACGACGGAAGTATAATCAAAACACTCAGGGACAAATGAATGCCATAAATGTAAAGCGAACAAGAAATTAAAAAAAAAAATACTTGAAATCGGAGCAACAACACTCATTCGCTGTTGTTATTTGAAGATGGATGACACGAAAGATGATGACGATGAGTAAAATGAGAGAAGAAATAATGAGAGAGAGAGAGAGAAAAGGAGTTTGGGCGCGGGCGCCAACAACTATATAATCATCATCATGATAATGATGATGGTAGAATGAATGATTTTATATATTCAATTTGTGTTTTTTTTTTGTTGGTGGAATGAAACCAGATTTGGGAGCGTCACACACACACAATGATGTCTTTGCAAACTATATATCGGCAAACGAATAAACAAATCTCATGATTTCTTGATTCAATCGCAATGTATTTTGTTTGTTTGTTTGATTGATTCGAAGGAAATTGTCACTATTTTTTTTCCTCCAAAATATAATGCTGATGTAATAATCAGTTTTTTTTTTGTTCAAATGTTCGGCTATGGAATATGGAATGATTTGTATTCGGCAACAGTAATGATAATGATGATGATGATCGTTTAGTTGTGTTTATTTAGTTCTCTGATGGTCATATACTCCTACTGTTGTTAATGATGATGATGATGAACATTTATTTAACTGGATTAAACATGTTATAACTGGTTTTTTTTTCATAGTCTCAAAATTGTTCATTCAATTGATAATGGTGCAACAAACAGACGAAACACGAAAGAGAAAGAGAGAGAGAGAGAGAGAGAGAAAGGCGGTGAATGATCATCATCCATTTTTGTTGGAGGGTATTAATAACGTTGATGATAAAAGTGTTAAATGATCGGATGATTAACAAATAAAACAATTTTCTTGTCTTTGATTTTTGTCGTATATTATGACAAAAAAATATCCACAAATTTCAATGATTAATGAACAAAAAGTGATAAATATTCCGAATAAATATAATAAAAATATGATTTTCAAATGTTTTAATGATATTTTCTTTATTTGATGAATATTATCATTTTGTTCAGATTCGATTAGATTTGAATCATCAAGTTTTTTATGTTGATGTGTGATTCGCCAAGATTCTAGCTGTTCTAACTTTTTCAAAATACCACTATTAGTTATATAGGAAATCTCTTGATTAAATTCATTTTGATATAGAAACGAATAACTTGTCACTATAGATGCCAATGTATTAAAGAATGTAGTATCATAACCATCGATTGGTAAATATAATTTATCATTGCCAATAATTGTTTGTGCTAGTTCCAATCTTGATCGTGCAGCTATGAATGCAATTGAATCAGAATTCATAATCATATCGATACCATCTTTAAATATTGGTAAAAATTTCATATATTTAAATATCGTATATATATGACTTTGTTGATTATAATGACGAAATGCTTCATTCGCATAGCTATTATTAATTGAATATGGTAAAATTTGTTGTTTACGACATGATTCTGCCAATTTTTCAATAGTGTCAATGTCATTCGATTTTGTCATGGTCAATGTTGAAAATACATATGATTCATAAACATTAACAAGCACCATGCTCATAATAGCCCATATGAGGAACCAAATTTTCGCTGATGAACTTATTATCTGATGATTACGTTGAACATGATATGGTTGCCGTAATAGTATACTAAAACTGATCAAAATTAAATTCACATGTCTAGGCATCATATGTTTGGCAGCCAAATATAATAAACATATCATGATCAATGTGATCAATAAACATGACCATACAGTTGATTGAAATGGTTTGATGAATATATCAAAATCAGTTACAATGGGTATTTTAGCCATTGCAAATGTATAATGGCCATAAAGATATGGATAAAGAAAATCAACAACACTTTTACGATCATATGAAATGGCGAAACCACCGATACCTAAATCGAGTTCCTGTAACGAAACAAAACAAAAAAAACAAATGAATTCGAATTATTACACAATTCTATTAATATTCATACATGTCGTGCCATTCGACCAATCAATCCGGACCATGATCCATTCGATAATCGTGAACCATATTGGTCATGACAATCAATTAAACGATAAGTAAAATTGAAACGTTCAGCTAAAATTCTCAAAATAGCCGTTTCGAAACCATATTCATGTCGATACAATTGTAGTGATTCATCCCATCCATTTATGTTGGTTATTGGGGGTAGCTGAGTAAAAAATTTAAATGAAAAAAAAAATTTCTCTGCAACAAAAAAAAAATATTTACATTATTGAATCCAATTCGAAAAGTTTGATCATGAAGATTTAATCTTGACATTTTTTTTTTCTTTTTCACAAAAATTTCATTAATATCGAAAAACTAAAAAAGAAAAAATACAAATGACTGAATGATGATGATGATGATAATGAATGGTGCGCAATATTCAAAGAAATTCGATCAATAAAAACCTTGGATATATATGGAATATAATTATATATATTCATTGATAATTATGTACCAAACAGTTAAATACGGAATTTAATTATCATCATCATCATCATCATCATCATCATTTATTTCAAGAAGAGCGGAAGAGAATTGTAATATATATTCACAAGAATTAAAAATAAAAATTATATATGGAAATTATACATCACAGACACACACACACACACATTTTATTATTGACCGTTGTTGTTGTATTTGATGGAAAATTTCTATAATCAACATAAATATAGACAATATCATTCCTAGCCAATGAAGTTTAAAAATGATGGAAAAATCTTTCAATGTATATGATATGAATTGAATACGATTATTATCATCATCATTTTGACATAATATTGTTGTTTGTGATTGCCAATATTGTATTTTAGCCACATGAATTTCTCTATTCCGCCAATGATTAATGAAACCACATTCTTTTAGTAGTAATAAGCTAAATTTTTTTTATGAAAAAAAATCATCAAAAAAACATTCTGTTGATTCAAATCATTTCAACTTACATCATATCAAATTGTTTTCGATATTCAAACGATACGCTGGTGACCATAGCAAAATATGATGAAAAAAAGAATGTTTCATCATTTTCTGGTGGTAAATAATAACCATATTTTAACTGGCCAAATAATAATCTTTCACGAACGCCCAATAATGCTAATGGTTTTTGTTCATTAACAAATGCATTGGTAATCATATTGAATCCTTCGTCATAATTTTTCACTATTTCAAATGTATTTCGTATAGCTATCAATTGTTCATTTGAATGATGATGATTTTGTTGTAAAACTTTTAGACCATTACTATTTTGCAATACTAATGGTATAATTTGACCAGATTGACATGCATTAGCCAATTTATCAATACTATTGATTTCCATTATTTCTGGTATGGTGAGCATTGAACTAAGATTACCAGAATAAAGATTCACAAGAATTAAACTTGATATTGCCATTATGATTAACCATAATTTCTTGGTTATATTCAAATGTTGTTGTTTATGATATGGTTGTTGTATCAATAGAAATAATGTGATTACAATTAAACCACAATTATTGATAAAATGATTGGAAATTTGATCAATAATCCAGATGATTAAAAGTGAAACAAGTAAACAATACCAAACATTGGTTTGAAATGGACGTAAAAATGTAAATAAATCCGTTTCATGTGTGGTTCTGGTTGTAGCATACGTATAATGTGTTATCCAATGTGGTTTCAGGAAACCAACCGTTATCGAACGTTCTGGTGATAATAAAACACCACCAATACCGATATCTAATTCATTACGTACTAATCGTCCGATTATACCGGTCCATGTACCATTTTCAATTTGCATTCCATATTGACCATGACAATCACTTAGTTCAAATGTAAAATTATAATAATCAGCCAATATTCGTATGATCCATGAATCGATTCCATCGAAATTTTCATATGAATGGTTAGTTTCATTCCAACCATCCATACGCAAAAATGGTACACCTTTTTTGAAATGAAATGAAAAACAAAACGAATGAAATTAAGCAAAAAAAAAAACAGAAAACAAAAAAACTTACAACATTGAATCCCACACGAAAACGTTGACCAGCCAGATTTAATCTTGTCATTTCTGTTGATAAATGTACCCATTTAATTGAAAAAAAACAAATGGTAAAAATCCAATTTATAATGAAATGGAATCGATTGATGATCATTAACAATTCTAATATCGTGATCGATTGATCGATTCATTTTTGTCTCTGTTTTTCATTTTGCACTTTTCGTCAATTATATAATATATAATATACGGTATATCATATGATGGCCATATATCATGCCAAAACAAATGTTTTTTTTCATGAGAAAAAAATAATGAGAAGAATATTTTTCATTCATGTCAAAAATATGAAAAAAAAAATTTTTTTTTGTTGTTGTCTTCAAAATGTTGGGATCGCTGCCATCTGTTGCATTTAAAATGAAAAAAAAGTTAAATTTTTAACCTTGTGACGACAAGAATTTGGCAACCACATACATTCATATATATGAATCAAAACAAAATTTACTTGTTTTTTTTCAATTGATTCTTCCAAATGGTCATTCGTTGAATGATAATAATAATAATAATAAAAAAATGATTAATGATGAACCATTCAATATTCACTGCTATGACTACATTTTGATCATCATTATTGACGTCGATCAAGATTGTCATAATGAATAAAAATAATGATAAATGATGATGATGATGATGGAAATAACAAATTGAATAAATGGAATTGTTGCAATAAAAAAAAAATGGCAGATGCTGTTGTGATGAAAGAAAGAAAGAAACCAGTTAGTCATTGAAAAAGGTGATGATGTTTGGTGATGTGATTCGAATGTTCATATATAAATAGGTAGATATAAAATATTGTTGTCAATTTTTCTTGGCATCTTTATCGTTTTTTTTTGTTGAAAAAAACATTCGAAATTTTTTTGGACTTACATTCAATCTGAAATTTGAAAAAAAAATAAAATGTTCAATAATCATTATCTATTGATCGTACCGTTATTAATTCTGGTCATAGCAGCGACCGTTGATCTTCGACCACCACGAGATTATGGACAAATATTGCCAGCAGAAAAACATAATGTAACCACAACAACATCGAGACCAAATCGTCATCGTGATCGTAACCAGAATAATAAAAACAATGATCGTGATCGTTACAACAACAATAATGACCGTGATCGTTACAACAACAATAATGACCGTGATCGATATAACAACAATAATAGAAATCGAAATCAGAATCAAGATGGCAATCCACAGTCGTATTCTTCCGGTGATTCTTATGGAGATAATTCTTATTCATCATCATCATCATATGATTCATATGGAAATAATAATTCTTATAATAATGACCGTAATGATAATCGTAATCGTGATCGCAATGAACGTAAACGTGAACGTGAAGAACGTCGTGATGAACGTAAACGCGAACGTGAAGAACGGCGACAACAACGTAGACAAAATTAATAAATGCAAAAATGTTAATCGAATTGAACATTGTGAAAAAAAAGATTTAATTTTCCAACTTACCCGCTATTGTTGCTTATTAAAATTAAAAATTTTTCGAAAATTTTTCTTTTTTTTTTCATTCTTATTGATTGGTTCAATATAAAATGCCATTTTATTCTTATTTGTAAAATTAATTTCTTTACCGTTTGATCTCAATTTTTTTCAAGTCTTCAAAAAAAGAAAAAATGGCCCAATCGATTAGATCATTATTATTTGTCAATGTTTTTGTTGTTTTCATCATCTGGATTGATGGCAAAATTTCTACACGAATGGATTTCTGTTGGGAAAAGATACGTGTGACAAAATTTTTTCATTTTCATGATCAAATATTTTTCACTACAAATAGTTTACATTTTTATGATAATTTTCGTTTATTCAATATAACGAATGGACGTTTATCAGCAGAATTTCAGATACCTAATTTTGGTTCAACAACAAATGATGATAATAATCAACAACAATTAAGAATATTATGGGCATTTACCTTTGATTCATCCATTGATGATTATTGCCTTCTCAATGGTGGTAATGATGGTGGTCGTCTTAGCAATTCTAATGGATCATCATCATCATCATCATCAGCAGCAAATAAGAAATATTCGTATTGTGTTCGAATACGAAAATTATCCAATACAATCGTTGCTCAATTATCGGACATGAATGTTATCTATTTATCATATCGAAATGGGCATCTTATCGAATTGAATGATGATGATGATGAACCATTTTTTGAATTTGAATCATTGGTAAAACATCTCAATACATTTGGTTCAATCAGTTCGATTACATTTGATAATCATAATGGCAATTATTATTATAGTACACATTCTATTCGATTAAATCAGATTTGTATGACACGAATTCAACAAGATAATGTTTTATCGATAAAGAATATGGCCATACCATTGTTGAAGAATTTATTCCGTAATAATCCATATCGAACCAATTGTTTACGTTCACATCGTTCATATAATTCGTTATTGAGTTACAATGGTAAAATCTATGCTATCGTGTTAGGATTCGATTCATCATCAATACATGGCTATATCGATCATATTTATCTGAATCGTACGAATCGAACGTTTGAATTTAAATTAATAGAAACGGTAAATTCTTTTTCTTACAAAAAAATTCTATAAACTAAAACAAAAAAAAAATGATGATTTGATCTTTAAATGTAGGAAAGTGATAAAAAATTTTTCAATTGTTATCACAATTCTTCAATAATCAACATTAATGGACAAAAACGATCATCATCAATCAATGTCAATGATGATAATGACCATTCACCAGCTGTTGAACAATCAATACGATTGTTACGCACGGTAAATCATGATCATCATCGTTTATCATCATCATCGTATCCACGTTTGACAACAATAGATGATCAATCGAAAACAAATCAATCATCATCATTGGAATCGGAAAAAAGAATGATGATCACATTTAATTCATTCGAATCAATCAATAATGTAATTTTTTGGCTCATAATAACAATGTTAATATTGTTTGCTGTAAATTTTTGTATGATCAAACGTATGTATACTGTACAAACTAATTTTATTGTTTTTTTTTCATAAATTTTTCTTTCATAATATAGAATCTGGTATTGATTTACGATGGTTAATACGACATTCACCATCATCATGGGATCGTCATTATCGTGGCCGCCATAATCATAATCATCATCATCATCATCATCATCGTACTCGTGATGATGGCGATGTAAAAGAGAACAAAAAAAATATTAAAAAATCGATTAGTACAAATAGAATGAATAAATCTTCGAATGGTGGTGGTAGTAACAATGTTTTATCAACAAAAAGAAAAAATGATGAAAAATCAAAACAATCGATAAGAGATTCGAATCATTTGACAATATTGGCTAATAATAATAATAATAATAACAACAACAACAACAATGTTGATAAAGTTCATACAAAAATTTCAGCCAATAACAATAATCATTTTTCGGAATTTAAGATAAACATGGATAAAAATTGTGATAGACCAATTATAATCGATAATAATGATCATGTGGTTGTTGTTGATCGTAGAAAATCAAAATATTTTGGACAAAATATTGTCGGATTTTTATCGACAAAAACAACATCATTTCGAAATAGAATTCAAGACTATCTGAATGATAAAATGATCAAATTATTGATTTCTGGTGATGAAAATAATAATGAAAAAATAATAAGAAAAAATAAATTGAAAAAATCACGTACCACATTTATATTATCATCATCATCATCATCGACATCATTTTTATCATCGACCATGGAGGAAGGATTCACACCAGAAGATGGTGATAATGATGACCTAAACACATTATCAACATTATCATCATCAACAACAACGAAAACTGGTTGGACAAGTTTATCCGATAAACAAACATTAACAATGACCGAAACCGAATCAAACCAGATGATGACTATGAGTAGTTTGTATAATGATGATGATGATCGTCATAATAATCATATCGAACGAAAAAAACAGGATTCTTTAATTTTGATTGGTCAAAAAAAATTGGAACAACAAAATCAAAAACAAAAACAACATAGTGATGATGATGATGATAGCAAGGGTCATCATCATCATCATCATCATATTGTTGGCGTAAAATCAATCAAAATAACACCAACATCTTTATCATTTCTTAGCACTAAAGATGATGATGAAAAATTTCAAACATTTGATGATTATAGATCTGAATCATCGTTAGATCATTCATTACCATTGAAAGATGAAGAAAGAGCCAATAAAATGGCTAAAATTAAACGTTTATTGAAAGCAGAATTATCGACAACATCGATATTGTTCACCGATAATGATGATCCAATGGAATCATTAAAATGTCCACGAAAAAAAACATGAAAAAAATTCTCATCATCATCATCATCATCATTATCGACAAATTTCCTATTCAATATGAGAGAAAAATGAACAGCGGCGATTCCTGTTTCAAGAAATTAGTTCATTTTTCATTTCAATTTCAACTTTAAAAAAATAAAATAAAAAAAAACATTCGAAACAAAATCTTTCGAATATTTAGAAAAAAAATTGGAAAACCCGCTATTTTGGTTTGGACATGTCATCATCATCATCATCAGTTTGTTTATGTCTTCTCTCTCTCTCTCTGTGTGTGTGTTTATGTTTTAAATGGTCAAATTCCAATGAATGCGGATTAAACTAGTTTATTAATTATTATATGATTCTTTCCTGAACGAAAGCAGAAAAAAATCCAAAAATTTTTTTTTGTTTGTTTTTTTTTGTTTCGGATGAAGCTATTCTGTTTCCGTCGCAATCAATCAATCAATAACTAATCAATAATATTTTGTTGATGGAATTTTTTTCTTCTAATCACATTTACGTCTGTATATTATCATTTTTTTTGGTGATATGATTTGATCTATAGAAAAAAAAATTGAAAATATGTGTATGGCTGATTTATTGATTTTTTTTTGTCAATTATTTATCAACATTATTTTTGATTGATTGATTGTCTATCGACAACGTGCTATATTTAAAATGATCAAAATAAAAAGTTAGGCAAAATAAACGATCGTTTTCTGCGTACGTGATCAATCATCATCATTAATGGGCCAGGCAATACCCGGACGGCATCAAAATTATTCAATAAAAAAAAAAATAAAATAAAATATCGATGGATGGTTATCAACACAAATGGATATCAGCAAAAAATAAATCATTTCTTCGTTATGAAACATTTTGCAATTTTGATTGATAAGTGATTACGACCAATCGAATACGACAACAACAACAACAACAAATCGAACGTTTTGAATTTTCGATTTTTTTTTTGTTTATTTGATATCATATATCATAATCATCGTGATAATAAATATGATATCAACTATTTTTCAACTATTTACTGAATCGATTTGATTGATTACACAAGAATTTGATTGAAAATTTTATGTGGGAACATTTCATTTTTTGTTTTGTTTTTCTTTATCTTGACAGTAAAAAAAAAAAAAAGAAAAATAACCCATTTTGAATCGGGCAATAACAGCGTAGTATTTTTTTTTTTTCTTCACTCTATTTGGACATGCATCCATGACCAAATTTATTATTATTATTATTAAGGGGTGTGTATGGATCGATATTTTTTTTCATTTTTTGATTACAATCTTCTGTTGAGCCGTTTATCTATTTTTTTTTTAATTTTTGATTCATCAGGATGTGCGTCAATACTTATCTATTCTCATTTTTTTTTTTTTGCTTAACATTTGATCATCGATCGAATGATGATTCAATTGAATGAAATATGATGTATCTTTGATTGAATAAAATTTCAAAATAATGTACAATACACACACACACACACACACACACACACTCAAAATAGATCTTTGATCATTATCTTTGACCAATCATCAATGAATGTACAATTCAAATCGAAATGATTCGGTCAATTGATTGGATGCTATATCGTTTTGATTTTGTTCGTTGTCGTAGTCGTAATTTTATTCAATTTCGAGATAAAATGCATGAACAATGTATGCGCCATATCTTGAATGTGGATCATCATCATCATCATCATCAACCAAATAATGACCATATTCATGATTCGAATAGAGTGTGTGTGTGTGTAGAGGCAGCCAAGTTACCAAGTTTAGAATAGTATAAAAGGAAATGATTATGGGTTCATTCGGGTCATCAAACAAAATAACATCATAAATTGATTTTTCTTTTCTTCTCAAGACGATAAACTCTTCTTCTTCTTCTTCTAATTTTTGTATATCACCCATTTCGAATTTGTTGATCGCACTTTTTTTTTTGATATATTAATTTTTGTGCATACCGTCAGTAACAAAAAAAAAAACAAAACCATGTCTCCAATTTCAACCGAAACGAATGCCATCTATGGCCAACAAATACAATCGAAAACAAAATCAACAACAATCAATTCATTTGATGAATTATTACAACAGATTGGTAAATTATTCGAATCAAATGAAGTTGATGTTGATCAATTAAAACAATTGATGCATTCATATGAAAGTAATCCTGCTGATTGGATTAAATATGTGAATCTTTCCAAAGAACGTTACACACGTGTATTGATCGATGGTGGTAATGGAAAATATAATCTAATGTTGTTGTGTTGGCCAGCCAATACTGGTTCATCGATTCATGATCATCCGGATTCGCATTGTATTCTTAAGGTATGTTTTTGTTGTAAAGATGAAGAATTTGTGTGATTAATTTTTCCATTTAATTATTACAGGTCTTGGCTGGAACCGTATCCGAAGTACGTTATTGTTGGCCTAAAGATAGATATAGAGATGACCATAGTGATAATGGTATTGGCGGACATGATAATGATGATGAATCTATGATTGTTGTAGATGAAAATCGTTTACAAACACAAAACGTTGCTTACATTAACGATTCAATCGGTTTACATCGTGTGATGAATCCGGATCCAAAAATACCAGCATTTTCATTACATTTATATAGTCCACCATTTGATCATTGTAGAATTTTTGATGAAAAAACTGGCAAACATCAAAAGATAAATATTGGTTTTGATCCAAAAGAAATTGAATCTGTAAAATATCGTGTTAAACATACAAAACATGCTCATGTTCATAATCATAATCATCATCATCATAATCATTTTGATTCATTGGGAAAAGATGTGCTTGTATTCGAAATGGAACAACAACAAAAACATCGTCGACAACTGGATGGTAAAACTCGTGCCTAATTTTGTTTGTTTGTTTGGCACTAACAAACAGTACACAAATATTGGATTTTTCTATTCTATTTTTTCTGTTGCTTATTTCCACACACACACACACACACACATTTCTCTATTTAATAATCAATCAATTTATGTATTAATCTTATTTCATTTCGATGATAAATGGCTTTTTATATATATATAAATAAATCAGAAATATTCAATGATTCCAATGTCTGGTTATCATATCTTGATTTCAATGGATGAATAAATGAATCACCGACGTATTTGGCAATGTGCCACACACACAATGTGTTCATTCATCATCATCGTGAATGTTTTTCGGGTACAAAAAGTGAACACAAAAAAAAACAAAACAAAACAAATGCGTCATTTTTCAATAATTTTAATTCATTAGATTTAGTTTTAGTTTAAAAAATTGGAAATTTTTTTTTTGTTTCATCACTTAATTTTTTGTCGTTTTGCTCATTCAACACGTTCATAAACACGAAAACATTCGACACCATTACAGGTGGATGTAACATTGATTTTGTTTTCGACAAATTCACGTACATATTTAATTTCTAATCCATCATCCCATTGCATTTGAATGAATTTGTTTGGTGGTTCAAAATCCACTTTGGATTTACAAACTTTACCATCCACACGGGTTTCATCGAAAAATTCACCCAATTTAAAACGATTTGTAATCGTTTTAATTGGTGTATTCACTTTGATCGTTGTCCAGCCATCATCTTCTTTGATCAATTGTAAATCTGGACTAGTCATATTGGCCACTTTACGTTGCATGAAACCAATTTCTAAACAAATGAGAGAAAATTTTCCAAATGAAAACAAACAAAAAAATAATGGAAAAATTCAACACTTACTGATTTCTTTGAGAAATGCATCGAAATTATCGCTAGAAATTAATTTAAATTTGCCAAAAAATCGTTCATCATTCGGTACAACTTGAGCCATTTTGTCTATGTTGGTTTTTTTTTCGTCGGTAAATGAATGGGATTTAGATTTAGAGAATTTGTGCTGACTAAACTGGATCAAATCAAAAAGGATAATAAACCACAGAAAATGGTCGAGATTTATTACCACAACATATATACACGATGTGATGATCAATTAAAAAAAAATGGGTTCACATTCAATGTGTGAACCCATTTAATTTTTATCTTTCCAATAACGGATTATTGATTTGATAAAATCCATTGATTTCATTCTCATTTTTATTGATAAAAACAAGTGTCACAACAATCGTGAGTCGATGATAATTATTATAAGTGTTTTATTATCTAAACATCAAATACAAGTTGTAGTTGATGATTGATAAAAACAAGAAGAAGAAAAATTCTAATTGTAATCCAGAGATATTGATGGTAAAGCAAAAAATAGAAAATAAAAAATACAAAAATCCATGATTATCAACGATTAGATAATTGAACCACGGGCAAATTGAAGCAGAAAACACTTGTTGTTACTTATGAACCAGTGACAATCGATAATGATTGACGGTGAGAATTAAGATAAGAGTGAAATTGGTAGACAGAAAAAAAATTTTTTTTTTTCATCAAAATTGAACGTTTTTTTCTTCTAGATTCAAATTGATTATTTTAATTCAAATGATGATGATGATGATGATGATGAATTGGAATGATAATTTTATGGCAATAATGGTAATAATAACATTAATATTTTGTGTTTAGCAATTTGATTATAATTATAAAAATGAATAATCGATAATCGATAATAATGGAGATAGTGATGATGATGATGATGATGATGGTCGTCAATATTTGGAATGTGTGAGAATTTTGTGAGCCATTTTTTTTTAATCGGGTGTTGTTTCCGGGTCCATATTGTCATATTCAATCAACACGTGTATAAACACGAAAACTTTCCACATTGTTACAAATGGATTTCTATTTGATTTAGTGTGTTTGGATATTATTATTATTATTAATGGAACAGAATCCAAAATAAAAACATGATAAACATACCACGTTGATTTTATTATCCACAAATTCACGTATATATTTAATTTCCAATGTATCGTCCCATTGAAATTGTACAAATTTATTTGGCGGTATAAATTCCACTAATGACTATTGGAATAAATTAGTTCACCTGGATCAACAATGATGATGATGATGATGATTTGGTACACATACCTTACAAACTTTACCATCCATACGTGTTTCATTGAAATATTCGTTTATCCTGAAACGATTCACCAAACATTTATGTGGTGCTTCAACTTTCATGGCAATATAACCATCTGATTCTTTTACAATGTCCAAATGTGGTCTTGTTAGATTGGCCAATTTTCTTGAAAGAAAACCAACACCTATTTTATGTGCATAAATAGAAATGTAAATTAACAACCAAACAAACAAACAAACAAACAAAAATTCATTCACCAATTTCACGTAGAAATTCATCAAAATTATCACTCTGTGTTAGACGATAACGGCCATAAAATTTATCTGGTATATCATGTTGTTGTTGTTGTTGTTTTTGAATATTCTGTTGTTCAGATTCCTGATCTTTTACCTGCTGTTGTTGAACATTTTCCGTAATCGAAACCATTCTTCGTTTCCAATTTTCAATATCGATCAAATTTGAGAACCACATTTGTGTATGGTAAGAGAACGATCAAGAAAAAAAAACAACGAAAAAAAGATGCACTCGAAAAGAAACAAAATTTCAAATTTCAGATCCAAATTTCTTGTGTTGAAAAAACTTATGACATCACATACACACACACACACACACACACACAGCAACAATAAAATTCGGTTGCTTGAAATGATGAAATAAATATTTCTGTTTTTTTTTTTAGAAATAAACAAAAAACCAAATGATGATGATGATGATGATGATTCACACTTTGAATATTCTTGACGTATTTTTTTCCGATGATGAGCAATATTTTTAGCTCGAAATTAATAATAAACAACGGTCAAACATTTTTTTTTTAGTCATATGAATTTTGAATGAATTTTGAACGAACCGATATTTGTATGTTTTTTTTCATCAGATTGTTGATTACATCATCATCATAGACAAATTATATCCTTATATGTAAATAGTGAAGCCAAAATAGAAAATTTATATATATATAAATAGACGCACACGCTTGGCAACAGGCAAAGCAATCAAAATTTTTTTTTTTTTGCTTTTAGCCAAAACAAACCATCGAACTAATGATCGATTGAATGAAAGAAAGAAAAAAAAAGAAAAAAATTCATTCGAATGATGATGATGATGATGATGTCGAAAAAAGGAAAAAAAATCAACAACAACAACAACAACAAACGACCTACCAACCAACCAACCAACCAACCAAAAACAGGATAAATGAGAGAGAGAGAAAAAAGAGGATTCAAGCAGCAACTTTGTGTTATTGGTTGAACAACAACAACAACAACAACAACAACAACAACAACAAAAACAAAACCTCGAAACCTAAAAATCAAGGAAACAAAAAACAACTGTTATTGAAAAACAAGTTCGAGAGATAGAGCGAGAGCTAACCACCAACCAAACCGACGACGACGACCATTCGTTTTAATTCGTTTTTTTTTTATTTTCACATTCAACTTCAAAATTCAATTCATTGAAAGAACATTCAAAGAAAAAAACTACTGAGAGAGAGAGAGAGAGAGACTCTTTCCAAAAAAAAAGACAAACCAAATGAATGAATATTTCGGTTTTATATTCGTTTCTTCAATTGTCCTTCACCATTTGGATGGCGGATCAATTAAATAATTGCCACTTACCCCACCTCCGCCCATCCACCATAATTGACAAATATTGATTGCTATCAATCAATCAATCAATCAAAGAAACGAAAATGTCTACCTGTCTCTTCTTCTTTTCGTATATACGAGAGAAATATTACACGTGGCCATATCCTGGTTTTATAATTTGGTAGTAATTTTTTCAAATTCTCAATCAATCAATCAATCAATCAATTTTTTGTCTCTTCAATCATTCAATCATTTTAATCAAAATTAATCGATGGACTCATTTCAGGTGCTTTATGCTTTATCCACTATATAGTCGTTTTTTCTCATGTATTTGTATTGACTATTGCTGATTAATTGATTTTAGTCGATAAATCGATTATATTGATATATATTGATTCTTTTTCTTTATCTGTAATCGAATAAATCAATAATAAGTCTTTTCAACAACAACGACAAAATTATTTTCTATTAATGGAATCCATTTTTTTTTTTTTGTTGTCCTTTGATGATTAGATTTTAATCGATCAAACAAATCAAATAATGGCACACACACACACACACACACAAGGTCAACAACAGACAACGGAAAATTTCCAAAAAACTCAGAAATCTACGGAAACGGAATTTTTTTTCAATTTTTAATTGAATTTTTGATGAAAAAAAACAAGATAAAAACAGGAAGTAAATAAATTTAAAAAAAATTACAAAAAAAACATTCGATGACATTTATGAATTGTTGTTGTTGTTGTTGTTTTATATTTTGCTGGCCATATAAATTGTTTGTTTGATTGATGATTTTATTTGCCCAAAAAACCACGAAATGCACCATAGGCACCATTATGTATGGATAAACGATTCATTTCACTTTTCAATATATTACCTTTTTGTTTTTCCAGATCATCACGTATACGTTGTAATTGTCGTATCCAATTATCAAATGTATCACAACAATCACGTACTTTATTAAATAATTTTGTTGTCATACCATCACCATCACCATTACCATTGTTGGTTGAATAAATGGCTTGTTCACGTTGAATTTGTTGTAATAATTTTTTCGCTTTCGGTATCATATCATCAAACCATTCATATGATCCTTCCGGTTGTATCATACGCATTGCATCGGCTTGTGCCATCAATTCATTTATTGATGATGATGATGATCTATTGTCGGGCATTTTTCTGTTGTTGTTTTTTTTTTTTCCAATTGATAAATTGAAATCAATTTCGATGTACACTCCAGACCAAAACAAAAAAAAAATGTCGTCAATTTAATCATTTCGTTCATGTTTTTATACACCACTGGATGATCTGGATGGTTTTTTTTTCAAAAGAAAAAAAACCTGAATCTCTCTTTATATCATGATCCAGAAACTTGAAGTACTTTTTTCTGTTCAAATTCATCAGAAAAAAATTAATAAACTCTGAGTACAATCATCATGTTTTACACATCAAGATGTCAACAACCGTAAAGTTTTTCAAAATTCGTTCGAACGATAAAAAAAAACATACACACAAACATGAACAAAACAAAACAAAACAAACCCATATGGATTGCAATAGCCAAAAATAAAAATTTTCATTTCATGAAATATTTCCTGTATGTGTGCGTTGATGTTTACTTTGATATCAATCTTGATTTAACGATTGTCAACCTGTTGTTGTATACACCAATAAAAAGGTGGAAGTGATAAAAAAAAAATGCAACGAAAAACAAAAATCAAATGAATGATAAATAGATGGGAAGAAATAAAAACAAAATTATTTTAAAGAAAAAAAATTCTTTATTTCAATTCATTTTTTTTTTTTTTTTTTTTGATTCAAATTTTGGTTATTGAATTTTGTTCGATGTTGGTGAAAATTTTCTTATTTATTTTTTTTTTAATCACGGATTTTAGCGTGGGTAGCAATAGCGCAAGCCAAAACACCATTATCACCGATAAGTTTGACTGTAACGACAACGTTTTCAGATTTTGGTGCAATTTTCGGCACATTCCATGTATATTTGGCATCATATTGTTGACCTTTAACCAATGGACATTTGATAAAATGGCAAGCATTGGTATCGATACCGGGAACATCAACTTCAAGACCATTGAGGCTGGCTTTGATTTCAATTTTAGCGGTTTTAGTGTTTTGATTGGCATCGAATAAGGCTTCCAAAGTGAATGGTTTACCACGATGGATGATGCATGGATCAGAACCATGGCAACCATCGACCATTACTTTTTTGATTTCATTGTTGGCTATAAGAATATAAACAATAAAAAGAAAATTGTGTTTAGTGTTGAATAAATGAAAAGAAAAAAAAAATGTATCACACAAACAAACTTACCACAATCTTTAACATCGACTTGATCGGCAACAACGGCTGCTACCAACAATGAAAGGCACAAGATTTTGGAAATCATTTTCGGTTATGTTGTTTTTTTGTTTGTTTGTTATTTAGAGTTGAAATTAGAATGTAAATTCAAATTTGATGATGATCAAACCATGGTTTATGATCAGGTTTATATAGTGGAAAAAATGTTGATTTTTTTTAAAAGTTTGCTTCAATTATTCCCAAATTTAGAATAATAATATGATCAATCCATGATGATAAGAATAGATTCCACTTGATTTGAATACATTTTATCATCATCATCATCATTGTTTTTCATTGAAAATCTGGGAACAAACAACAACAGGTTTATTAAAAAAAACTAGGGAAAATACAGAAAAAAATAGAATGGATCAATTAATACCCACTTGATCTTTTGGTACAGTAATTCCATTTATTTTTGAGAACTCCAAAAAAATGATTATTTTAATTAAATCAAATTTAAAAAAAAATATACAAGTGGAAAAACTCCAGGACCCAAGTTGTCTGGTCGATTTTAATCTAAATTTTTTTTTTTTTTGTTGTTGTTCAAGGATATTTCACAATAACCAAGGATATTATTTCGCAATTTTTTTTCTGAAACTCACGAATGATTGGTTTTTTCTGGAATTTTATTTCATTTATTCTGATGTTGGTTTGTTGTAGAGATTGTTTTTGATTATTAATTTTTTTTGTCCACACATTTATTACGAAAGTCTCCATCTCATTGAATTTGAACAGTTAGTGGATTGATTGATTGTTGCCATGCGTTGATTGTATCAAGTCATCATATATATATACATGACACCCACAGGAAACATTTATTATTTTGCAATTTCAATCATGTTCACCAATTCATTATTAATATTCAATCCAAATTCTTTGATCGAATTGAACATAGTGACCATTATTTCATTCATTTTTACATTATTCATTGGTCATTATCTGTTTTTCGTTGTTAAAGTAAGTTTTATTCATTCATCCATACCAAACATTGTAACATTTTTTTTGTTCTATTCCACAGAAACCTAGATTGGTTTGCCGTAATGTTAAATTTCGAAATTTTCTCATCACAAATTGTCCAATTATTCAGGAAAAATATTGGCCAACCATTTGGTGTTATGAATCACATTTGATGAGCACTTTATCGACAGCATTTCGCCGTTTACGTGCACCAATCATAAAATATAAAAGGTTTTTTTTAGTTTGCAAAAAATAAAATCATCATCATCATTCGATTCGATCATATGATTACATTTATTTCAGGGAAACAATTCCAACACCAGATGGCGCCGTTTTACATTTGGATCATCATCAAAATGATGACGATGATGATGACCATTGTCAAATTGCATTATTCATGTCTGGACTTACTGGATCATCATCATCTGAATACATAACACCATTGGTCAAGATTGCCTCAAAAATTGGTTATCATTCAATAGTTTTGAATGCACGTGGTACTGGCAATAATCATTTACAAACACCACGTGTTTATTGTTGCGCCAATGATGATGATCTACGAACATGTTTAGCACATTTACGACGAAAATATCCATCAAATAAATTAATAGCCATTGGATTATCATTTGGTGGCATAATATTGTCAAGATATCTAAGTTTAACTGGAAAAGAATCGAAAATTGATTCAGCATTCATTGTATCGGTTTGTTGGGATTTTATGCCAAACTGTGATAATCTTGAACGATGGACAAATTTACCATTTAATCGATATCTAACTCGGTCATTGATTGAAATTGTTGAACAGAACAAAAAACTTTTTGAACAAATGCCAAACGTTGATCTAAAACGTGTATTTAGTTCACAAACATTACGTGAATTTGATGATCAATTCACTAGCAAACAATTTGGTTTCAAAAATGCCAACGATTATTATCGTGCTAGTAGTAATAGTGAACGTGTTCATCGTATTGAAAGGCCAACATTATGTTTGAATGCATTTGATGATATGTTTTCCATTGGACCAAGTATATGATCTCATTCGAATCATTTTTTTTTTTTTTTTGCTAACCCAGCTTTTTTCTTTTTCAAATCTTTTGTGTATATACATAGCATTGCCATGCAAACGAATCGAAAATGAAAGCAATCATGTTGCCATGTTAATCACTGAACGTGGTGGCCACATTGGTTTTATGGATGGTATATGGCCAATGTCAAAATCATCTCGACCATTTTATCTTGAACGTTTAGCTGAACAATATTTGCGAGCATTCTATCGTAATATGGACAAAGATTTTCTTTTAAATTTTTGAAATTTTAGATTTTTTCTTTTTTAGTTTAGTTTAGTTTATAATTATTATTATTATTATTTGTTATAAAACAAAATTGACCATCACACATACACATTGTGATTAAATATTTGGCGCCTTGAATTTGTTTTGAAAAATTTAAATCACCTATTTCTACCTAGTATTGGATGAGTGGGTAGAAAAAAAATATAACATTTCGATATATCGAATTGAAATCACTCTCATCAGCTGTGTGGGTGAAATCAGATTTTTTTTTTTTAGTATTTAGAAAATATTTATTTATTTGATCCAAATGGATCAAATGGAAATGAAATTGTTTCGCCATGCATACACCGCCATCATCATCATCATCATCATATTGACTTTGATTATGCGGCCATGTATGATTTCTAGTCAACAACATCATGATCAAATGGTTAATGATTTTTTTAACCGAAATAACGCCGACAATGATCCGAATCAATCAAAACATACGAATAATTGGGCAGTGATTGTTGGTGCATCAAGATTTTGGTTCAATTATCGTCATGTAGCGAATGCATTATCCATTTATCGTAGTTGTAAACGATTCGGTATTCCAGATTCACAGATTATATTGATGATTTCGGATGATATGGCTTGTGAATCACGTAATCCAAGACCGGCTACAATATTCAATAATGGTCAACATCATATCAATGTTTATGGTGATGATGTTGAAGTGGATTATCGTGGTTATGATGTTACTGTTGAAAATCTAATCCGTCTGCTCACCGGTCGTGTTCATGAACATACACCAAAATCAAAACGTTTGCTTACGAATTCTGGATCAAATATTCTCATTTATATGACTGGTCATGGTGGTGATGGTTTTTTGAAATTTCAAGATTCTGAAGAACTAACATCCGTTGAATTGGCCAATGCATTCGAACAAATGTATCAGAAACGTCGTTATAATGAAATTTTATTCATTATTGATACATGTCAAGCAGAATCCATGTCGGCAAAATTCTATTCACCCAATATCATTGGTATTGGTAGCTCAAAAATTGGTGAAGATTCCCTCTCACATCATGGTGATTCTTCTATTGGTGTCTATGTTATTGATCGTTATACATATTATGTACTTGAATTCCTTGAAAAACAATATCAACCATCAAATACGAATATAACAATTTCAAAATTTTTAAAAGTTTGTCCTAAAAATCTATGCATCTCAACAGTCACTGCTCGTTTAGATCTCTATGGTCGTGATCCATCAAAAGTTCCATTGAGAGATTTTTTTGGCAATGTTGCCACTATCAATGTGATTAATATGGATCTCGAGACTACTTGACCACCACACACACACACACTGACCAATCTAACCATATATTATTTTTCTGTAAAATTGATGAATAAAATTTCTTGTTTTAATCATATTTTTCTCATGCAAATCCATTCATTCATTTCACATTAATTAAATTTTAAATTAATCAATTAACCTCCGAACGAAACCATGAATCTTGAACAATATCATCGAATTGGATACGTTTGTTTGGATCCACTTGTAACAAATTAGTGAACCATTTTTTTCCATCATCATTCAATGCCGTAGTCGTATTGATACGATTTTGAATTTCTTGTTCAATTGTTTGCAAATCGTTTGCTTTATATAGATCATATGGATATTGTCTGGATATGATGTAGAAAAATGTTGCACCAAATGACCAAATATCTGCCATAATTGGATCATATGTTTCTTTTGTATCAATTGAATCTTGTATTTTAGTAAAACTTTCTGGTGCCTGAAAATTTGCATACTTAATATTAGCCCATGGACGTTTTTCCATGTTCATGATTGTTCCGGTTTCATGATTCCAATAAATGATTGCATCACGAAAACTGCCCAATTTTGCTGTCAATGTACCACTTAATGGATGTGATTTGAGCATTATATGTTTAGGACGTATACCACGATGTACGACACCACAATTGCCAAGAAAATCCATTGCATTCCATATTGAATATGACCATCTAATTGCTTGGGTTGGTTCGACAAATGTACCTGCTTTTAAATATTCCAAACAATTGCCACGATTTGCTAGCTCCTGAAACAGATAAATACGTCGTGTTTGATCATAGAAAATATCAAATGTTCCCACAATATCTGGACATTTACGACCTAATAAAAATGTATTGCAATTAGTTAGGAATTTTTTTTTTGTTTTTATAATTAACACATTATAATTACCTACAAAACGTAAAATTTTCAAATATAAATCATCCACTGGATCAATACAAGCATTCGATTGATACATTCGACATATTAACGTTGAATCCGGTTCCTGGTGATTATGGCAAGCAAATATTTGTGAATAAACGCCCGAAAACAGTACTTGTTCTTTGCGAATGATGTAATTAAGAAAATTATTATCACCTTTCAATGTTTCAGCTGCCGATACACTTTGTTTGATTTGTTTAACTTTTTCATTCAATTCTTCTTTTGTTGGTGATTTTGCCTGATTTTGCTGATAGAATGGCATCGTTTTTGTTTTTGTTTTTGCTTTTGTTTGTTTGTTTGTTGTTGGTATTTAGAGTTCAGTGGAAAAAAAACAACCGAAATATAAAATTAATAAAAGAAAATGAAAACGAAATTCAAATTATCGTCAGAATTTATTTCGTCGACCATGAAAAAAGCAAAACAAAATTCAATTAATTCTAAAAGAAAGCGAAAAAAAATCATGATTTAATTTCATTTGATCAATTGTTCGATTGCAATGGCAACATTTTCCGTACTATTCGATGATTGCATACGTTTAGAAATGTTGGCCAAACGTTCTTTCATTTCATTATCATTCAATAATTGTTCGATTAATCGCAAAAATTGTTCTGGTTCACAATAAAATGGATTGATTTTGGCACCAAAACCAACTTCTGTAACACGTTGTCCATTATTGTGTTGATCACCAAACAATGGTGTTACAATCATTGGTTTACCAAAATACAATGATTCTAAAACAGTATTATTACCACCATGTGTAATGACTAAATCGACCTTAGGTAACACTTGTACCTGGGGCACAAAACATTCACCCCATATATTATCTGGTAATGTTATAAGTTGATTTTTACGTGGACCAAATGAAAAAATGAAACGATTCTGTGATTTAGCCAAAATCGATATCAAACGATTCATTAGTCGAACATCCATACAGCCCATTGATCCCATTGAAACATAAATCAATTTACCAAGTGGTTTTTGTAGAAATTCTTCCGGTATCTTGAATGATTCATCTTGTTCAGTGAAACGTATAAAATGATCAAAACTTTGCCATTTTTCTGGTAATGGCCGAATATCCAGATAATCCATTTCTTTTGGATATGCATAAATATTAAGATATGGTGATTCATGATGAACACCATGCATTGATGGTTCCAAACCAAATTCATTGGTCATTCGTTTATTAAAATGAACAATTAAATCCATCATTTTCTCGAAAAATGTTTCCATATATTCTTGCCATTGTTTACGATCACCTTTGGTTGGAAAATCTATTCAATTCAATCAAGATAAAATCATTTAAACATATTATTCATCAATCAAATTCAAACCTGTTCCATTTGGTGGTAAATCATCATGTGGTAGACATGATAATGGATGAGCACTGGTCAGCCATACCCATGGAATACCGGATTTATATACGGCCGGTATGGTTGTATAGCTATCAACCACTATAACATCTGGTTTCACTTGATCAATCGATTTCTTGATTCCATCATCTACATTTAACATTGTATCGACAAAGTCCTGTTCAAGTTTTGTATCGGTTTTTTTCAACGCTTCCATTGGTGATAAACCAAACGTCTCTTTCATTTCATCCATAAATTTGATCCAATGTTCATTAGCATCAAGTGTTGGATCTCGATTTGGATCAACATAAATTATTTCTTCGATTCCAGCATAACGTTTAGCTTTACCAGACCATGCTCGTTCCAGTGCAAATATAACACGATGTCCACGTTTAACAAGTTTTTCAGCAACACCAATACATGAATTCAGATGACCATAACTATCCAAAGTGACGAATAAAACAGTTAATTGATTTTTAGACATGATTCAGACAAATTTGAAATCAATAATGAAATGAATAATATGTTCAATAATGAAATGAAAATCGATTGATCGAAATGAATGGCCAAAAGTTGACATTTTTATTTCTCATTGGGTGGAGTGTATCCGCCGTAAATTTTCTACATTATCAATGACACAATTAAATTGAATCGAAATTGAGCTACACTTTTGTTGGTGTATTTGAGTACATCCAATTATCAATCATCATGATGATAATAATCATATAATCAATTTAATCAACATTTGTTGTTAACGATAAATTTGTTTTGAAAACTAACTGTTGATTGTGATTGTAATGTCAATCAAACAACGACTATACAAAGAGAAAAAAAATGCCGACCATCATTATTTTTTTTCACTTCTTCGACGAGAGATAAATGTTTATCGGGGGTAATTTTTTTTTCTTTTCACATTAAACATACATGTAAATGTAATTAATAAAATGAAAATGTTCAGATTAGAATTTTGTAAACTTGTAAAGTTCAATTTCGATTAGTGATAATTTTCAAAAAAAAAAAATCACAAATAAAAAAATTTCCCGTAAAATGTTTTCCCATCCACACACACACACACACACATATGTTGTTACATGATTTTTGTGTTTATGTTTTTTATTTTGTCCATTTTTTCTTGCACATAAAATGGCAATGACATTTCATTATTTCATGATGTTGTTGTTTTGATCATGATCAATCTCTGCGTTTTTGGATTTTCCTCATCATCATCATCATTGAATCGCGATTTCTCTTGTCATTCTATTGATTGATTGATTGATTGATTGTTTGTTTGTTATTGGCCCACCGAAAATAGCCATCAATCAATGATTGATTAGCGATTGTGTTTTTTTTAATTCTTTCCAAATAAAAAGGTCGATGAATTTTTCTTTATTTTTCTTCAAAAAAGAAGAAAAAATAAAAGATTATATTACCCCTGAAATATGTAATCATCAAAAAGTATTTGTTTGTATAAAAATAAATGATGAACAAAACGACGAATGTTATTTGTCATCATTTGTTTCGACAAACATTCAATCAATAATGAATTTAAATACTTTTATGATGCTCTCGGTATTCGAGAATATTATACAGCCATCATTATCATCGGCGATTAATGGGCAAAGAAAAAATCTCATTTGGAATGATGAATTTGATAATACAGATCGATTGAACGATAATGAATGGATCTATGAACAACATTGTGGCCGATTTAATAAAGAGCTACAATGTTATACTAGACATCGAACGAAAAATGTACGAATTGAAAATGGCCATCTTATTATTGAAGCATGTGTGGAACCATTTAATGGTTATAATTTTACATCTGGTCGTTTATTAACACGAAAAGCATGGAAATATGGCCGTTTTGAAATTCGTGCTCGTATGCCTTATGGTTATCAATTATGGCCAGCCATTTGGATGTTGGCCAAACATGAAACTTATGGTGGTTGGCCAACAAATGGTGAGATTGATATTGCCGAAATTATTGGCAATACAGCCGATTTAATGTCATCCAGTGTACATTATGGACCAACTGAAAAAACAATGATATCAATGACAAGTGGTGTGAAAAATTTTTCCATTGATCTAAGTAAAAGCTTTCATTCATACACATTGGATTGGACATCAAAACAATTATTGTGGCTATTGGATGATCAACCATATTATTCAGTCAATTTAGATCGTATGATGTGCTGTAATGATTCTAATATAAAATCACCATACAATAAAAAAGGACAACCATTTGATCAGCCATTTTTTCTCATACTAAATGTTGCTGTTGGTGGTACATTTTTTGGTCCACCACCTTATGTTACACCGGAACAAGCAAAATATTGGCGAAAAAATACAATGGAAATTGATTATATAAGAATTTTTCAATGAAAAAAATAAAAAATTGATTCAGATTTTCTTTTATTTATTTATTAATTTGTTGCTTTTAATCAAATTTTTCAGATTTAAATAAACAAAACACTATTTCCATGTCATATGAGTGACAATAGTCGATTTTTGTTTTCATTTCAATTTTCAATTCGAATCAGGAATCAAATTCAATGATTTATAATACTGTTGTTGTTGTTCCATTTGTGCCAATTTTCTTCGCCGATTATGTTCTTCAATACGTGCACGACGAATTAAATCTTCTTGTTTACGAATACCATCCAAATCGATTGATAAAAATATATTGACGATAAGCAACAAAACAGTGATAATCAATGCAATCAAATAGAATTGTATATCAAATATTGTCATATAGATATCAATCATTATGATTAACATTGCCGTTCCATTGAATGCTACGGCTAATGACCAATTACGTCGTATAACACCGAACCAACCGAATAATGATGCCAAAAATATAACAATAGCAAATAATGTAATATAAAGAAGTTTACCAGCCTAAAGAAGATAATACAAAGATGAAAATCAATGATTGAATGGATATGTGTAAAATTAAATTATACTTACAATACGTGATTCATCACTACCTTTATCGGCTTTATTAGCCACATCAATCCAATGACAATAGGATAAAATGGCCAATGTCACACAGACAATGATACGAATTGGAAACAGAATATGTAACAATAATGATTTCATTTGGAAACGTTTCGTATGTCTTAGATCGTGTTGTTGATAATTCATAATGATTGGATCACCAAAAAAAAACAATGGTACCGAACAAAATGGGAAAATTTTCGATTCAATAAAAACAACAACAACAACAACAAAGGTTATTGTAGAGACGATCAAAGACGTCGGTAATGGTGTTTTTGTCTTTTACATTTATTCTTCGAATTCGAACATGCTCGTAGGATTGAAAAAAAAGTAACGATTCTTTATAACATTTCTACATTATTCATTTCACATTCGTTTTGGTTTAGGTTTATTAACAAAGTTAAGTTTTGATGGCATCATGACAACCAGCAGTAGCAGAAGAAAAAACAATTGGTGTAATTTGGTGCATTGAATAATGTGTTGAACACACACACATACAGACAAACATAAAGAATAAAGTGGCCTAAAAATAAACAACAACGTTAATGTTGCAATTGAATTCAAATAATGAACACAAATACAAACAAGAAAAAAAACGTACGTGAATAAGATTTATAATGGTGATATATATACAGCAGTCTCATTTACGTATTCTTTTTTTTTTCCTGGCCAGAATCCAATAAAATCCAAGAAATGATCGTTGTCTCTGTGCATGGTGGCTGCCAAAATAGAATAAATGAAGAAAAAAGATAAATTACCAACATACGAGAGACACGACCATGATCGAATTATATATGGAGAAAAAACAACGACAATGATGAATCGATCGATTCATCAATCGATGGTATACATTGAGAATGTTTTTAAGGTGGTATATCTTCAAAACATGATCGATTGTCCAAAAATCTAAATAATAAGACAACAACAAAAAAAATTCATTAAAGTCATAAACAATTATATTATATTATTATTATATTCAAAACAACTGAATTTTTATTACCTCATTTTCATTACCTGGATTTTATATTATTAACAAATCGATAAGATTAAAAAATAAAGAGGCGAATAATAAAGTGGCGGTGGATGGTATATTGGATAGAAAATTAAAAAAAAAATCGATCAATCAATCAATCGATTGTTATCACCGTTGTTTGTTTGCTTTACATTGCCAATATTTTAAGCCAAAAAAAATTGAAATCAATCAATCAATTATCTATATTGGTGTGTGTACTCAGAAAAAAAATTGGGATAAAATTGGTTTAAAATTCATTAGATAAATAATAATTAAGTCATCATGTGATCGAGGATTTTTCAATCACTTGAAATCAATTTTTTTTGTCCAAAAAAAAAGATTAGAAATTGATAATAAATCCAAATAAATATATGGTAAATGACAAAAATTTGATTCCATTCATTCGATTTTAATAATGACAATGATGATGAAAATTATTTCATTGATAATCGCAACATTTTCTTTACTATTCATTGGTCAATTTGTATTGGCCGAAGATGATCAACAGCAACCGCCCATTGTGACCATAAAAAATGGCAAAGTTCGTGGCTATACGAAAACATTGTTGTATGAAAAACGAAAATTATTCGTATATGAAGGTATTCCATATGGAAAACCTCCTGTTGGTGAATTACGTTTTAAACCATCACAACCGATTGATAATTGGAATGGTATCTATGATGCTCATGGTTATCGAAATGCTTGTATGCATTCAAACTTGATTAAACCGGATAATGAATTTCCTGAAACTAAACATCAATCAGAAGATTGTCTTTTCCTAAGCGTATTTCGTCCAGCTACTGAAACGCAAAAAAAATTACCAGTTATGTATTGGATTCATGGTGGTGGTTTTGAAACCGGTACAATTTTTTCTTTTGTTTATGATCCATCATATTTGAGCGGTATTGGTGATGTCATCGTTGTTACTGTCAATTATCGCTTGGGTACATTTGGTTTTATGTATGCCGACGATGAAGAAGCTCCAGGTAATGCAGGACTTTATGATCAAATTCTCGGTCTAAAATGGACACGCGATAATATCGAACAATTTGGTGGTGATCCCGATCAGATTACCATTTTTGGTCAATCAGCTGGCGGTATGAGTGTATCGGCTCTTTTATTATCACCATTAACCAAAGGTCTATTCAAACGTGCTATTATGCAATCTGGTGCGGTTAATTCATGGATGGGATCGAACAATAAAAATGAAGCATTGAAAAAAACTAAATTAATTGCCAATGCATTGAAATGTCCAAATGATGATATCAAACAGATGGTGAAATGTATACGTAATGCATCGGCCAATGATATTGTTAATGCTAATCAATATGGCCGTAATATTGGGATGGTTTTATCACCCGTATATGGTTCGGAATTATTGCCAAAAAATCCAGTTGAAGCATTGAAAAATGGCGATTTTCATCGTGAAGTAGATCTTATGTTTGGTGTAACACGAAATGAAGGATCCGTTTTTGCTGAAGTAATATTTCCGAAATTTTTATCGCCCACGATTAAGAATCCACAATTCACACGAATCCAGGCACAAACATTGATTGAATTATTGTTTGGTGTTTTCAAGGCAAAAGATCCAAAAACTATTGCAGAGTTTTATGTGAAAAATATTTCCGATTCCGATGTCGATGGATTACGTAATTCTGTCAATTCAGCATTCGGTGATTATCATCTGATTTGTCCATCAATATTTTTTGGCGAAACTTTCGCCAGTCACAGCGAATCGAACAATGTATATGGTTATCATTTGGTGCATAAACCAACAATATCGGCTATAGTTGAATGTGTTGGATATATGGGTGTATGTCATGGTGATGATCTTGTATATTTATTTGGTTTTCCCATTGAATTACGTGGTATCGGCTATTCAGAGGATGATTTCTATCAATCAATGGACATGATTAAAGCATGGTCTAATTTTGCACATAATGGTCAGCCAGGTAAATTTGGTAATATCGAATGGCAACCAACATTGAAAAAGCATTCATCATTATCATCAAATTCCAGTGCAACTGTTTTACAAATGGATGTACGTGGTAAACATCGTATGGTTGATAATTATTTTGTTCCTTTTTGTGAGAATTTTTGGCGACAACGAATCTTTGTCTAATTTTCATTCTATATAGAGAAAAATAAGTTTCTGATTTGATTCGATTTTGATCAATAAATTCTAAAAAAAATAACAAAATTTCATGCATGTAGCGACATCTTTTTTCAGAAAAAAAGTTTTTTTATTTGAAATAAATAAATAAATAAAAATAAGATTAATTTAAAAAAATAGGCTAATGTGGACTAATTACTTCAAAAATGTCGTTACTCAATTTGTTTTCCAATTTAATCATCTGCAATTCAAGATCATTCAATTTGATCATATCATCTTCTTGTTCAACTTGATCAATGATTGCTTTTAAATCATTGACATCTTTCTGTACTGTTTTACCATCATCTTGACGATTTTTTTCTTTAAGATATGCCAAAGTATTTTCACCACGTTGAACCATATCTTTGGCACGATTCACCAACTTTGTATGAATATCTGGTGCATCCGAATATGCCATCTCGATTTCCAATGACATTTTTTTGATCACTAATGTTAATTCTTTTTCAAGAATTGCCATTTTTTCATCATCCGTTTGCTGATTTCGATAAGTTTGCATCAATTCATTCAACAATGGTATATCTTTTTCCAAATGACGAACTTCACGATTACGATGCTGTGATTTCAACATTTCCAATGCATCTTTAGCTTGTTTGCCAATTTCTTCACCTTTTTTCAGTAATTGTTCTTTACTATCAACATCGGCAATGATGCCTATAAAACAAATAGAAAAAATGTGATTATTCATGAGAATTCAAAATTAATACATTAATTACCGTTGATCAGAAGGGCGAGAGACACGGTGGTGATGATATGATTCATTTTTTTATGGAAATTAATTATGTTTCGTTTACTTCGAAATGATATTGATTGTGACACAGAAAATGATGAATGATGAACAATAATTGTCCAAATGAGATTTTTATATAGTCAAAAATGCAGCTAAAATATGTTGAAATATACGCCATAATTGGTTATGGAAATTTATTATGAATCAAGTGTTTCCGTAATCATCATGTGATTACGACTTTCTATTGTAATAATAATCATTATCATCATCGTAATCAATTACTTTACACAAGACGAGTCATGCAACAAACCAACAAGTGAATTAAATGATGATGATGATAAAACTGGTAATGTGATTTTTGGCACGGATATCTTGAAAAGGTAATGCCTAACATTCCAGGATGTACCCATATTAATTGAATTTAAATATATGTATCTTAAAGGGCAAAAATAACAAGGTCAGAAACACAAAACGATAATTTTTGAATTTTTTTTTTACATTCGAATTCTATGTCAACAGTGACGAAGCGATGACGGTAGAAATAGAAGTGTCACAAATGTGATTTTTTTTTAAATTTTAATTTTGAAAACAAAATCAAATCAAACAAAAAAAATGCTACAACGAATACAGATTAATGTTTCAAGATTAAATTTTAAATTATGTAAAACTTTGGTCAATCAATTTTCAACAAATAAATCTAGTCCACAATTTAATGAATTATTTATGAATGAATTCAATGTTGATGAACAATTCTTTCGAAATGTACAGAATCAGCAAAGAATTATGGAAAATATTCGTGCCAGAGAAATTGTTGATAATTTCAGTGAATTATTCGAAAACAATCTGAATGCCGAACAATTGGGCGATCGATTGATTAAATTAAGTCGAACATTACCTAATGATTTCCATCCAATTTGGTATCATATGTTTACTTGAAATTCCGTGTTTATCCCCTTTTTTTAACACTGTTTTTTTTTATCCCTCCAAAAAGGAATGATCGTCAACATCAAACAACGATCGTTGATCATATTGGTCAGAAACGAAATTTCAATTTTAAACCATTAAAAGCTGAAGATATCCTTTTCGACATGAAATTGGCCGGATTTTCATCAATGACACGTGGTAAACTTGGTATGGTTGGTGGACCAAGATCTTATATGTTTGTTGAACAGTTAGCTGAATTATCACTAGCATTGGCCCGATGGACAATGACTAAATTGATTAATGAATATGGATTTACATCTGTGATCACACCTAATCTTATTTATGCTGATTTTGTTCGTGCATGTGGATTTGAACCATTCGGTGAACGAACACAAGTTTATACGATGGAAGGACGACAAAATGTTTGTTTAGCCGGCACAGCTGAAATGCCATTAGCATCGATGAATTTGGGTGAAAATTTTGCCACCGAAAATGATCTACCTAAACGTTATTGTGCGCTTAGTCGATGTTATCGTGCTGAAGCTAAATCATCTGGTGAAATGTCTGGCTTGTATCGAGTTCATTATTTCGATAAAGTCGAAATGTTTGCTTTGACACAGGCAAATGATTCTGACCGAATGTTGAATGAATTTGTTGAGATTGAAAAATCTTTATTCAAAGAACTTGGATTATATTTTCGTGTTGTTGATATGCCACCAAATGAATTGGGACCAGCAGCATATCGTAAATTTGATATTGAAGCCTATATGAATGGTCGTGATTTTTGGGGTGAAATATCTTCAGCTTCAAATTGTACTGATTATCAATCAAAACGATTGAATATAACATATCAGAAATATTATCTAGATCCAATAAGTGAAGCAATCACTGAAGTGAGAAAAAATTATGTACATACTGTCAATGGTACGGCCTGTGCTATACCACGAATTATCATTGCCATGATTGAACAAAATCAAAATGAAAAACAAGATTATTTTCAAATTCCAGAATGTTTAAAACCATATATGAAAAATGATCGAATCAAAACAATGGAAATAAAATGAAATTCTGACGATCTATCGAGTAATTTCGAAAAATTCAAATTCAGGTTCTGTGATCCATTTTTCCTGTGTAAAGTCACAGCGATCAATACGACTTTGTGGACTGCCTTCAGTACGTAACCAATATTTCCTATCGAAAAAAAAATATGAATAAATACAAATCAATGACAGGAAAATGTCTGAAAATATCACTAACATCAATTCAATTTTATCCGGCGGACCTTGCATTATGCCCATGACGGTTCCATCGATTTCATTTCGTACATAGCCTTTTAAATTCCATGATTTGGCTTGATTTTGTGTATACTAATAACACAGAATGAAAGTAAACCAATGTTAATCGATGCCAAACAGCAATTCTGTTAGCTTACTTTTCGAAAAAATACTCCTAAAAAAACAAAATGTAAGTGAAAATTTGAAACAATAAATGCGAAAAAAAAACAAACAAACCTTGAACTCGGCCATAAACTTTGAAATTAACCGAAAGAATTGACATTGTTGAATGATTATTATTATTATAAATAAATAAAAAAGAAAGACTAGAATAAACAATCAGACCGATGAATATGATTGTCAATTGATGATTTGTGAGCATAATTTTTTTTTTGTTTTCAAATCACCTTTTACCGGATCACGTGATTTTTTAGTGTTTATTTTTCAAAATAAACATCGATACAATCGATAATATATGTGCAGAAGAAAAAAAAACAAGTGTACTCTACTACTAGATGGCAGAGTTTTGATGATTTTCCAACAAAAATCGAGTATCATTTAGAAATTCTGCAAAAAAATTTTCGTCGATGTTCTTTGTTTTTGTTTTTTTGTTTTGATTTGACCAACCAATTCGGTAATGTGATATTGTTGTTGATGTCAAATTGTACAGAATTTTTCTTTTTTTAAAAATTTTATTTCCACTTTTCAAAAAAAAATAGATGTTTGTCCGAGCAAAGAAAAAAAAACATTACAACGGAAAAAACTTTCTGATTTCTGGAGCAACTTTAACATTGTTTTAGGTGTTGGAATTTGAATTTCTCAACCAATCATCCCCCACCATCACCATCACCAATCACCACTCACATTGGAATCTATTTTTGTTTGTTATTACAATGAATAACCATCTAAAAGCAATGTAAGTTTTCGATTTATGCATGTCTCTCTGTGTGTGTGTGTGTGTATGTATGTAACTTTGTATTTTGAATCGATCGATTTCAGAGTAGATCGATCGAGAGAAAAAAAACAGATCAAACTTGTAAATTTGTTTCGTAATTTGTTTTTTTTTGTTGTCTTTGCAATGACCGTCTTTGTTTTGCGTTTGTTAAAAAATCGTATAAATCTTAATCGAATGATGATTAATATATTGACCATAACAAACATGGTTATCTGAATCGTTTTTTTTCGAAATTTTCATCCAATTTGATGATTCAGAATAATGAAAAAAAAAAACACACACACACAAGTGCCAATAAATTTTCCCCATAGAATTAGTGATTTAAAAAAAAATGGAAATGGAAAACAAGGACATGGTTTTTCGTTTTTCCATTCTGTTGTTGTTATTTTGTGACATTGAAACTTTTTATTTTTTTTAGGAAATTTTTGTTGTTGTTGTTGTTGTTGTTCACCATTATTATTCACGAAACTTTTTCTTCTTGTGTTTTTTTATTTTGTTTTTTGCCATTTGTTGTTTGAAAGAGAGAAACAAAATTGAACAATTTTAACGAAATGTAACGAAACTTGAATTCTCGGATATCATGTTTCCTGTGTTTATTGTAGATCGATATATATAGAGAGAGAGAGAGTGGAAAAAAATCCTGCACTTTCAATAGTTGTGAATGAAAACAGGATGAAAATGGCCATTGTGTAGCATCACAGTTTTTTGCATCAATTCGGTATTTATTTTTTTTCACTAGAAAAATTTATCGAAATGAAATAAAAAAAAAGACCTTTAGGGCTTTCTTGAATGTCAGAAAAAAAAAATCAAAATCAAAATGAAATTAAAATTACATCATCATCACCAATGTGGTTGATCGCAAGAAAATTGAAAATGGAATGCAAACCATTGAGATTCCAATTTTCTGATCAACGATGAATGAATGAATGAATGAATGATGATGATATTTATTCACCAGTAATCATCATCATCATTCATTCGTTGTTGTTGTTGTTGTTGTTTTTATCCTCTGCACGGTAAATGTTTTTTTTTTTTGGAATGGACAGATTGGATGTCATGTTTTTTTTCATTCAGTTCCCCATGATGATGATGATCCATTGAATCCAATGTATGTCTCTGGTGACCTGTCTATTTTTTTTCTCTGGTTTTTTTTTTTTTTTTTTTTTTTTGTTGTTGTTGTGTTTCAAATTTTTTCATTTCATTTCATTTCATTTCATTTTTGTTTGTTTCATTTTTTTTCTTTGAAATGGTAAATTTGACGCTTTTGATTGTTGTTGTTGTTGTTGTCCCATTTCACGGTATAAATACGATACGATTTGAAACACAGCAACAACGACAGAAAAGAAATTTTTTTTTTTCATTTATTGTCTAGTCATCATCATCAAACTGTCTAGGTTAGTCTTTTCGTTGCCCATTGTGTGTGTGTGTGTCTGTGTTTATATAGAATATATATGTAACAACAATAGAAAAAGGCCCTGATCTTTGTCGTTGTTGTTATTGGATGAAGTGAAATGAATTTTTTTCTCTGATGATAATGATGAGTTGAGTGGATCAGCGATACATTTTTTTTGCGTTCAATAGTGATGAAGTGGATATTTTTGCCATTTTTTTCAGATACAGATTTTAAGTTTTTTGTTGTTGTTGTTGTTGATTATTCACTGATGATATAAATATGTATCGAATAATAATAAAGAGTATCAAATGACCTCCGTGTGTGTGTGTGTGTGTGTGCATGTTTCTGGAACAAAAACAACCAAAGGAAATGAAATGAAAATGGTCCTTGTGATCCATAAATGATGATGATAAGTTCTTATGATTCATATTTTTCTCTTTCTCTTTGTTGTTGTTGTTGTTGTTATTGCTTAATTGTCTCAAATTATCACGATACCAATTTGGTTTTGTTGTTGTTGTTGTTGTTATTTTCTACTTTATTAAATAACAACAACAATGATGATGACCCCTTATGATATTATTTTTTTCCAGGTCAAATATATTGGCCATATGGTCCTTAGGACATTTTTTGGCTATTATGTCTCTGTCTCTTTGTCGTTTGTTTGTCAATTTCATTTTTGGACCGCTAGTGAACCACTACTGACCTAAACTTTTTTTTTTGTTTTGTTTGAATTGCTATATTTAGACGACCTTTATACAACATTTAGCTCACCCGTATATAGTGATTATTATTATTATTATTATTGATCATCATCAACATTCAGTGATCATTTTTGTTATGGTTATGATTCGATTGATATCGATGTTTACTTGTTTTGCATAATCATCATCGCCAATAATAATAATAATAACGCCGATCAATCTGTTTATTTGTGTGACAATGAGAGAAAAGAAAAAATCTTTGACCTTAGACATACCAACAAACAAAAGTCTATTATGTGTGTGTGTGTGTGTGTGAAAGACATAGGGTTCTAGTGGCGAGATTGACCGTTGTGTACACGGTGGATCAATCAAATGTCCGAATTCACTTTTGTTGTTGTTGTTGTTGTTTATTTATTTGTTTGTTTGTTTGATTGGCTAGGCGATCGGTGGGATGGGTGAGTTGTGGGGGGAGAAGGAGATATTTTACATTTGATTGATATGATTTTTGATCCTAATTGACAACACAATAGTGTATGTGTGTGAGAAGATGAAAATGAAAGAAAAAGAAAAAACATTCATTCTAATTAGTGTTACGTTGACAATGATCATTTGGTTTTTTTCTCAAATCAAATGGAGATCGATTGATTGATTTTTTTTTGTTCCTGAAACATGTCAAATTGTGTTTGGATGTTTGGTGAATAAATGGGCGTCGGTTTGTTTTTTCAAAATTTTCAATTTTATCCCCATTGATTTTTGATTTGAATCAAAATAAAAATCAAAATCATGATGATCATCATTAATAAATTGTGTGTGTGTGTGTGTGTGATTGTAAATCGAATTCGTGTGTGTGTGTGTGTGTGTGTGTGTGTGGTATATCCGAAATGAATTTTTTTTCTTTTCGTTTTGTTTTGTTAACCAAAACAATTTATTTGATTAACTTTGAATGAAAGACAATGATTGCACGAACGAAAAAAGTCAGTAGCATCTGTTTTTTTGTTTTGTTTTTTTTTTTCTTCATTTTCAAATGATAAAAACACGCAAATTTATTTGATTCTAAAAACTGAAAAAAAAATTCAAATGTAAAAAATTTTCATTTTTTTCCATTCATTCAAAAAAAAAAAAACAGACACACCGAACACGTTTGCACGCAAAAATGATGAGCAGAAACAGAAAAAAAAACAAATACAAAAACAAAAAACAATCATCATAATAACAAACAAAAAAAAACAACAAGACGCCGAGCATCGAGATCATGGCATCCATCTGCCTCATCCATTGTATATATGATCATGATCATGATAATGAAAAACAAAAAGAAATTCAAAAATCAAATGAACGAATGATAAGATTTTTGGTAATGTGGTCCCTTTTTAGTTTTCAGTTATTTTTTTTGCAGCCAAATAGTGAAAATATTTTCTTGTTTTGTTTAATTATAAATTATGAATTATGTAACGATGGCAAAGAAAAAAGAAAAGACTTAATTAATAATAATGGCTCTCTTGTTGTTGTTGTCGTTGTTGTTGTTCATCTCTTTTTTTTGGAATTTTGGAATTTATCTGTTTTTTTTTTCTTCTTCTGTATAAATTCTAATTTAATTTTTTTTTTTTCTTTTTCTGTTTGGATGAACCGACTAGGGTCGCATTCATCTTATTTTGTTGTTCACTAGTTCGTTCGTTCGTTGGGTCGGTATTTTTCTTCTTCTTCTTCAAAAAAAAAAAAAAGAAAGGATTTACTTTTTCATTTTCTTACAGGAAAAAAAAAAATGTCAACTTTTTTCTCAAATCCAGCAGGATTTTAAATTATTTCCCGTTTTCAATTTTTTTTTTTTAATTTTATTTTCCCCAGCAATGAATCCAAAAAGAGAAATGAAATGAAATTTTCCACAGGCCGTGTTTATTTTGTTGTTGTTGTTGTTGTTTTTTATTTTTGAAATCATTGCCGCTGCCGCTTCGTTTTGGGGCCAAACGCGAAGATTAAAATAATTCAGCTGACAATTATTATTTATGTAAATGATTACAAATAGAGCTATAGGATTATTTTCATTTTTCTCATTTTTTTTTTTTTTTTTGTATCGAGACAAGCTGATGATGATGATGATGAATTTTTCTTCTTTTCATAATAAGTTTCATTTATGTCTCGATTTCAATTTTGTTTTTTGGTTATTTTTTTTCACCCTCAGTGTTTGTATGTGTGTGTGTGTGTGTGTGTTTGTAAATCAAATCAGATTATCTTTAGCTTTTTCGCTAAACTATTGAATTTTCATTCCGTTTTTCTGTTGTTGTTGTTGTTGTTGTTGTTTGTGATCATCTAATCATTTCCATTTTCCATTACAATGGTGATGATGATAAAATCTGAGAGAAAATTTTCACATTTTCGTTTGTGTGTTGTGTGTGTGTGTGTGTGTGTGTGCGGGTCAAACGTTTTTTGTCGTCATCAGAAAGGTGGTGTTAAAGTTTGTCCTATGAATGATTGATCTATAGCGAAAATAAACAAACATAACCTATATAAATTTTGATTTGATAAAATCAAAAATTTTCTGTTTTGTTTTGTTTTGTTTCGGGTTCATGATATGATTTGTCATAATGTTTTGATGGATGAAATTAGATTTTTCGATTTTTCGATTTTTTTTCGTTAACTTTACCGATACTTTGTTGTTGATGTGTATCATTCATTCATTCATGAAGTCAATCCGGTTTTTTTTATTCGTCACAATTTTTTATCAGCCCTGAGAACAACACCACCAAATGAACCAAATGATTGAATTTGAATTTTTCTGGGTCTTTTTTTCGGATGATTTTCTTTGCTGAAAATCAACACACACACACACAGATGCATCAGATTTTATTTTTTAAATTTTCGTTCCCAAAACAACAACAACAACAACCAGAAAATTAATAGAAACCAACTAGCGAACAAACATTTAAATTCAACAATCTTGGCATCTGCACCCAGAAAAACGTTTTTGTTTTCTTTGTATCCAATCCAATTTGTATATTTATATACCGATTATGTGATTAGTGGTGGGCTATGACTGAAAATTTTTTTTTTTTTCGTTTTGATGCCTTTGTTGTTGTCGTTGTTGTTGTTGTTGTTGTTTAGTTTGGCTTATCACAATTTTTTTCTTGTGGTGCAAATAGCAACAACAAAGAACGAAGAAAAAAAATTCACAAACGGAAAACAACAACAACAACAACAAGGTCCCAAGATTCCTATAGGGCCAAACAAACAAACAAACAAACAAAACAAAACAAAGCAGAAAAAGAAAAAGAAAAGGCGATTATTTATCATGCACAACGACCTAGCATGCTGAGAACGCGATAAATGTTTTTTTTTTGTTGTGTTGCCTAAATTTAAATGAATGAATGAATGAATGGAAATCCAATTTCACACTATATCAAAAAAAAAAAAAATGAAAAAAATGGAGAAAATCTTTCTTTGTTGTCTAACCAGAAAAAAAAATTTATAAACAGCCAACAATGTTAGCTATAGCCCAATACACACAGAAGAGAGAAAAATTGCTTGAGAAATAAAGAAATTTTACGCAACAGAAAATATCAATTTTTTTTTGTTTGTGATGACCTATGTGTGTCTATTTTTTTTTTTTTTTTGTTGGTGAAAAATTTGTGGTCACAGGTCTGGTGCAACGATACTGGCAGCAACGATAATCGATGTGTTTTATGTTGACAAACAAACAGGTTGTCCCCATGGTTGTTGTTGATTTTTTTTTCTTCCATTTGTCGATTCATTCCAATCATGAATTTTTTTTTGATCAATGATGATGATTTCTTTTCACATTTCTTAAATTGCAGCACGATTTATATACTCACACAGACACACACACACACACACAGCGATAAATCCTGTTGAAATCCTCAAAACAAAACCAAAAAAAAATTGGTTATTTATCTCCAACCAAATAATAATTTATAAAAATTTTTTTTTCATTTTACTCCTAGAAAAAAAAATTTGGTTCATTCATTCAGTCAAATATTGACTTTATCTATCTGTCTGTGTGTGTGTGTGTGTGTGCGTTGTGTTTGTTTTTGGACCATGTTTTATTTTGACATTGAGAATCATTGTGGATCATACTCACTACCGTTGGTGGAACATTTAGATAATTGTTTACCTTTTGCTTTGCCCGTTATTTTTTTTTTTTTTTTTTTTTTATATCGATGGATAATGCTGCCTAATCCTAATAAATGTCCTTTTTTCTTTGTGATCCACACACACACACACACACACACACACATACTCTTCTCATTGAAATTCATTCGATTTGATTAATATTTTGTATATTGAACAAACCAAACTAAACTAAAAAAAAAAACAAAAATCAAATCAATAGTGATAAAATGGTTGATTAGAAAGAAAGAAAGAGAAAGAAGCTCATCATTCATTTCATTGAATGTGTGAATATTTTAAAGTTGAAGAAAAAAAACATAATAAATGCGCGTCATTCGATGCTAAAAAAAATGATGATGATGATCCAAATGGCACAAAAAAAACAAACCAACAATAATCAACACAATAGGGTCTTGTCAGGTCTCTTTCACATTGTTGTCGTCCATAATGGACCAGATATTGTGCACCGTTTTTTTTTTTTTTTTTTTGTTTGGATCTAAAAATACACTTCTATAGTATGACATAACATGAAACACAAACAAATCGAAATTTTCATTCAATGCCATATGGTGTGGTGGTGGTATATGGTGAGATTTTTTTGTTTGTTTCGTCCGGTAATTTTCAGCTTAATTCCCCAATTTTTTTTCCACATCTTTACAACAACAACAACAACAACAACGATTATGCATAGCAAATTTTATTTTATTTTATTTTTGATTGAAATAAAGAAAAAACCACTGGTTTTTTTTGTGTGAAAATCATATTTTTCATGAAAAATTTTTTTTTCAAATTTAAATCATTAACAAATTGGTGTTTATTGTGTATCGAATCGAATCAATCGATTGTCAATTACACATTACGATGAATGCAATGTATGACGATCAAAAAGATATTCACCAAGTCCTGGGCCACAACGTTCCAAATTGGTAATATAATCAGCCAATTTCTTGATGGCTTCCACTTGTTCAGTTAGATAATGTGTTTCAATAAAATCAGCAAATTGTGCATCATTGTGTTTGGTGGCAACGGCATGTAAATCCAACAATGCCTGATTGACTGTTTTTTCCAATTCCAATGCAGCACGCATTGCTTCCAATCCTGATGACCAATCTTGTTGTTGCGGTTTATGAATATCATCCAATACAATACGTCCACCACGTTGATTCTGTAATTTCATAAAACGTTCAGCGTGTTCACGTTCTTCTTTGGATGATTCATCGAAAAATTTTTCAAAACCAGGCAATGCAACATCATCACGATTAAAATGATAGGCCATCTGTTGATATACATAGGATGCATACAATTCTATGTGGAAAAACAATGAAAAATGAAAACTTGAATCAATCCAAAAATAATTTGGTTATTAAACGTACCCATATTGATTTGTTTATTAATGCCATCTTCACATTCTTTGTGAAAATTCATTCGTACACGTGATGTTTTACTGGATTCGGCCATTTTTATTCGACAATTTAAAATTGATTAAATAAAAAGAGAGAGAGAGAGAATGAGCGAGAGAAAGAGTTTATTTCATTCAAGTGATCAATCACTGTTGATGCAGCTTATTTGTCGTTGTTGGTCGTTGTTGACGATATGATGTTTTCAAGCCAGCAAATCGCCGTTATTTATACCAAAAAAAATTTTTCGGGTTAAAATTATTATTTTTCTTTGTAAAAAATGGTCACATTTTTTTATCATTATGGATGATGATTACCATTTGATTCGATGAATCAATCAATCGATTGATTGATTGATTGATTTATCGCAATTTATTTCACTTTTATTTTATTCGATTGGAACATTTACAACTAGATATATATTATTTATTATTGCCAAAAAAAAAACAAAAATTGTAATTTATAAGAAAATATTTCGATCGATAAATCAATCAATCAATCAATTTTTTTTTGTTTTTGTTTATCAATTTACAAATCAATCACTGCCATTGAATGTACTTTGTAACAAAATATTTTTTCCCAATCACAATCTCAATTCAATAAATGATGCCATTTTTATTCAGTTTATTATCGATTTATTTTTTTGACAAAATGGTGAAGAAAAAAAAATCTCCTTATTTTTTTTATATATATTCGTCCAAATGATAAACATGATAATGATGGATGAAGATGTGAAAATGGAAAATTTTCACCATTTTATAAATCATTTGTAATATATAACCATTTTATAATTGATAAAAATTTATTACAAATAAAATGAAAAAAAATTTCATCCATTGACTGCAATGGGTTTTTTTTGGTTTTTTGGTTTCTTGGCTCTTGCCATATATAGAATGTCATTTGTAGCAGTAGGGTTTGTCTTGGAACAAAAAAAACACAGAGAAATTATGAAATAAAATAAACAAACAAACAAACTTCTGGTTGTTTATTGTCATGGTTGGCTATGCATCCCTGTATATATAGCAATAAGAATTCTTGTTCTACAGTGTCTGTGCAAAATGGCATCTCTTTTCCATTCTGGTTGGTATGAATTTCTCCACCACTCTTGGAATGCCATATCGGACTATCCCACATACACACTCACACACACACACACACACCATCACCATATAAATAAATAAACAAACAAACAAACAACAACAACGACAACAACAACAAACTTGTTTCGGCCAATTGGATGCGTTTTCAATGTTTTGGTCAAAAAAAAAGAGGCCTGCCTTTAAGAATGATGATGACGATGTTATGTTGAGAGTATGCCACACACACACATTCACGCAGATGTGTTCATGTGTGTATGTGTGAATCTTCCTATAAAAAACAAAAAATGTTTCAAAAATTTATTTTCAATCAATCAAAAAAAAAACAAACGAACGAACTTGACCTAGATTTTTAAGAATTTAAAAATCTATTGATCTAAATAAAAATGGTACAATCAAGCAGCAGCAGCAGCCGCAGTTGTTGTTGTTGTGATTTCAAGTGTTTCCGTTTGAAACAAAACAAAAAATAGAAAAAAAATCATTCGAAGATGATCCATATTTGTCATTGTTTGATAATCCAATGAATGAATTTCCATTGGATGTTGTACCCCGAAAAAAATGGGGAAAAAAGTCTATGTAAGCCACGCATTTTACGGACACTTTTCCATCCCCTGCCTTACTGTTGCTGTACAAAGTTTGCACTTTTTTCCCGCTAGGATTTTTTTCAATGTACAGTTTTTCAATATATAGCCATTATTTATGGTGTGAACATAATAAGCATCGTATGAATTGAAAAAAAATTTGCTGATACTGTGATCTGAGTCAATATTTGGTTTATGGAAATGTAAAAAAAAATCCAGTTTCATTTTTTTCTATCTCTCTCTCTCTCTCTGTTTTTCGGTTGTTTCAAGTTTGAGATTTTTTTTTGGGGGTATTTATTATTATTGTTATTATTGGTATTAAAATACTGAATAAATGAATGATCCAAAATGATGTTTTCGAGTTTTCGAGTCGTCCTCGATCCAAAACCGACCAACTGTCCGACTGTATCGACCGACCAAATATTATTATACAACAAATAAATCGTAAATTAGAGAGATGTCACCACTATTTTCACACACATATTTGTGACAACACAACCATTTTTTTTTTTTTTTTTTTTTTGATGATGATGAGACTGATATTTTATTTTTTTTTTTGCTTTCCATTTTTTTTCTTCTTTGATTATTATTGGATGACAAATCTTGTTAGTTTTTTTTTATATTTTATTTTTCATTGTCCTCATTGTAACATCTGTGTGTCTTTGTGTGTGCCTGTGTGTGCGTTGAAAGCGAATTGAACAACTGAATATGAAATGATGATCATGATGATCATGATGATGGTGAAGGATGATGTTTACTTTTTTGGGCCAATTTCGCACGCGTCGTCTACGTTTTTACGTGGTGCTGCCCAAAATGGATCCATTTTTTTTTTTTTTTTGCTTCTGTTTTGTTTATTTACAGCGAAATTTTTTTGTTGTTGTATCGATTTTTTTTGTTTTTGTATTTTCTTTTGAATTTTTAGTTTTATTTTTCAACGAAAAATGAAAAAAAATAACAAAAAATGCCGGTTATGTATGGTGTACCCCGGGATCCACCAATTGATCCAATTGTAAATATAAATATATTTTTCAACAACAACAACAACACCAAAACCTTGTGCACACACACACACACACACACTGAGGATATATCGATCGATATATCAGTGAAACCAATTGACAACAGGAAAGAAAAAAGAACAGACCTCTCTCTCTCTCTCTCTCTCTCTGTGGTCCAACTGAATTATATAAATATATGCGTATGTATGTCATTGGGCCATAAATAGCTACTGCTGCTGCTGCTGGTGTTTGTTGTGTAAAAATTCAACAAAAAAAAAAAACTCATGCGCGCTCATTATGTTTATCACGATGATGATGATGATAAACCATCATTGGTTTTTTTTTAATTTGGATTTTATTTTTTTTCCTCTCTGGACTTTATGAATCAAATTTTTTATGGGCTTGTGGTGGATAGGAAGCTTAAATTGATTTGATTTTTTTTAATTTCAATATGATCGATTCGTCGGTAGATTGAGATTAAGGATTAACACATGACCACCGTTGAATTAATTTAAAAGTTTTTCTCTCTCTCTCTCTCTCTTTTTGTTCCAATAAAATTGATCGATCCAATATGGCAAATTTAATTGATTTTTAATTTTCATTGATTCAATTTTTTTTTGTCATCTATGGTGGTAGTGATTGTTGTGGCCAAACACGTGTGGTGGTTGACCATTGAATGTTGTTTTTTTTCTGTCTCTCTCTTCTCTTATTTAATTTTCATGAAACACAAAGAGAAAAAAAACGAATGAATGAAATGAAATGAAAAAATGATTTATGAATTGAAAATTGAAATCAAATTGAATGTGAAAATGGAAAAAAAAATTTTTTTTTCTTCTTCACTTTTCACTGTCCAATAAATCATCATTGTTATTGTTAGCGATGGCGGTGGTGGTGGTGGTGGTGAGGGCTATTTTTTCGTGTGTGTGTGTGTGTGTGTATGACCGATATATACTGCACACAAACAACACCCACCGATGAATTTAATTGTTGGATATAAACATTCGACTGGTGGTACTGGTGGTGGTGATGATGGTGGTGGTAATTTTTTTTAATATCTGAATTTTACTGAATTACTTCTGTCATAATCTCATTTCATTTTTCGATTCTTGTATATGTGTATGTGTTGGATAATTCAATTCAATCCATATTGATATATTCAAACAACCAAAACTGAATTCAAAGTTGCTACCAGAGAAAAAACAATTTTTTTTTTCATTTGAAATTCGTCTAGAATTTCTCATTCATCCATACATACATGCAGAGATGATGTCATCAACAATTGAAAAAAAAAATTTTTTTCAATAGTCAGCAATCATTTTCAGTTCGTTAATTGAAAAAAAATTCTGTGGATTCTCCACCAGATTCTGATTGAATCTTTTTTTTCAGCCGGAGAGAGAGAGAGAATTTTTTTTCTTGTTGCAACTCATTTTATCTATAAATATTTGAAACTGAAAAAAAAGTTGAATTAATATTAATTATTAAAAAAAAAAGAAAAAAAAACTTTTAAAACAGAATCAGACACAAAATTAAAATTTTATATCTACGATTTGTAAATGATGATGATGATGATGATGATGTTTTATTCATTCTCATCATCGTTGGGTTTTTTTTCATTTCATTTTGTTCAGTTTGATGATGAGAGAATTTTCTTCTTTTTTTTCTTCTGTTATTATTATTTTTTGTATATCAACCAATATATTCCATAAAATCAGAATATTCTGCATATATGAAACAAATGAAGCCTGAATACACACAAAAATGCCATATGAAATATAGAATGTGAATGTAATGGCACATCAGCAAAAAAAAACAAACCCAAGGCATGTTTGCAATTAATATTCTTTTTTTTCTGTGTTCCATATAGAAATTCACTGGATTCATCTTGGAACTTTAACTTTTTTTTCTGCCGAAATGAGAAAGGGTTTCATTTCATTTCATTGTGAATGCAAAAAACAACGGGTTGATTCATTAGCACATACTAGCCCTGTTGTTTTTTTTTATCTGACTGTTGGGTAATGGAAATATTACATGATATGCGATATCATGGGTAGCAATGGAAAAACTTTTTTTTTTTTTTTTTCGTTCCCATTTCACGGTGGGGTTTTGTTTTTTTTTTTTTTTTTTTTTTTCTTGAAGCTTGGTTTAATTAAAATTTTGCCTTTGGCCATCATTTGCATCTTTCTTTCTTTTTTCTTTTGCTCCTGTTGTTTTTTGCATTTTGCATTGTTATTATTTATTGACGACATTTCAATATTTTTTTTTCTTTATTTCCAATTTCGATTTTCTTTTTTCACTTTTAAAATTGTTCTGAAAAGAATTCTGTTTCTTTTTTCTTCATTCACTTGAATTCAGGTGGAAGAAATTGAAAATTTTCTTCATCTACAATTCTTCGATATTGACATACGGTTTTTCTTTTTGTTTCAATGTTGAAACAATGTTTTTTTCCATCTCATATGCGCTTCATTAACATGTTTGTGTTTGGTTGATTGGTTGGTTGGTTGGTTGGTTGATTGCTTAAAACGAGAATTTCACTTTTGATTA